CCCCCCCTCCTCCTCACCTTCAAAACCAATTCCACTCCCGGTGGGAGTCGGCTTCCTGCTCTTCTCACCCACCCTCTCCACCTCCTTCCTCACCACCGCCCTGCCCATACTCCTAACCCACCGCCCTGCGGCAGTCTGGCTCTTCGCACCCCGGCCCGAGGAAATAGCCTCAGGCGTTCTGACGGATGTGATTGCTGCGCTGAAGCGGGAAGGGTTTGTGGTGCTCTGGCAGGTCGGGACGGTGGCGGCGGCGCGCGAGGCCGTTGATTGCGGCACCGACGTGCTGGTCGTCCAGGGCGCTGACGCCGGCGGGCATCAGTTTGCTGCCTGTGGGGCCGGGGTTGTTTCGTTGGTTCCTGAGGTGGTTGATATGCTGCGGCGAGAGTTTGGTGAGGGTAAAGATGTGCCTCCTGTTGTTGCGGCTGGTGGGATTGTTGATGGGCGAGGGGTAGCGGCGGCCATGGCTCTTGGTGAGTTTTTCCACTGCACTGTCTCTTATGTTCTGGTCTATGAGGTGGGGGAGCTGACTCGGGTTGGTTGAATCTATTCAGGGGCGGAGGGGATTGTGATGGGGACCAGGGTAGGTTGAAGTCCCAAATGTGCGATGGTTTGCTGTGGGTGGTTGATTGATTGATCAGAACAGTTCATTGCGTCCAAAGAAGCCTGGGCCCCTGAATGGCGACAGAAGATTGTCATCGAGACGGCAGACGGGGGGCCGTCGACGGTCAAGTAAACAGGCTCCACCTCGACTAGGTGAAGGTGGCCCGGCTGATGATTTTGGCTTGCAGGACCGCTGTTCTTGACGACATCCAGGGCACTGGCGTCTGGCCTGATGTGTACGACGGGCGGGCCATCATCGGCAAGTCCTGGGAAGATCACGTAGCGGGCATGCCTCTGGAGGAAAACATTCGGCTGTTCAAGGAGGCAGACAGCGCAGGCGATGTATCACGGAAGATCACATGGGCGTGCGTGTTTGCCCAGCGATGCTCCGAAACCATCATCTACTAACGTCTTCGCAGAGGAACCGGGGTTGGCATGGTCAAGGAGGTGCGTCCGGCGGGTGATATCGTCAGGGACGCAAGGGAGGAAGCCATTCAGTTAGTCCGGAAGCTGCAGTCTGCAATTTAGGACTGGCGACAGCTCTTGCATGGCATGTAAACGCTCTATTTCTATTTTTGTTCCGCTGTTCTAACGCTCGTCAATGGTCTGAACGCAAGACGACGCTCTTCTTAACAATCACTCAGTTACAAATCCTCCTGGACGTCTGCTCCCCCTTTCCTTCTCGATTGGTCCGCCCTTTCATACACTTTCTTCCCCCCCACCCACGTCTCCCTCACCGTCAAGTGCCTCAGATCCTCTTCCTCAACAGCCTCAATATCGTAGTCCAGCACCACCCAATCCGCAAACGCCCCTTCCGCAATGACCCCAGCCTTGCCCTCTAGAAAGGCTCCCCATGCAGCACCCCTGGTAAACCCATCTAGAGCCTGCTGCACAGTAAGCGCCTCCTCGACGTGCCACCCGGCCTCATGTCCCGGCGGGCCAATCCCAGTATGCGGATTCTTCCTCGTGACGGCTGCATACACTCCCTCGAATGGATTGGGCGGTTCCACGGGAAAATCACTTCCAAGCACCGAGCCGATGTCCAACAGTGAGCGCATGCGGTAGGCCTCTGTGCGAATTCTCTCGTCACCAAGGCGCAGTTCGGCGTAGGCCATGTCCGAGGTGGCGTGGGTAGGCTGGATGGAGGGGATGATTCCGATGGCGTGCATGCGCTTCTGATCGTCTGGGTGGATGATTTGGGCGTGCTCGATGCGGAAGCGATGACGGGACTGGCAGGCTGAGAGATCTCCTTTCTCGTGCGGGCAGAGGTCTACCAAGGCGGCTTCGAGCGCGTCGATGGCGAGGCGGTTGGCGAGGTCGCCTATGGCGTGGATGTTGACTTGGAAACCGGCGGCTGCCCAGGATCTGGCGAGGGATGTGAGGGTGGATGCATTGACCAGCAGCGAGCCGGTTGTATCAGGCCGGTCGGTGTAGGGCTCGATCATGGCGCTGCCCCAGCTTCCCAGGGCGCCGTCTGTCCCACACATCAGCAACTTGCAGCTGGGAGGGACGCTCAAACCAAGCCATACCCGCAAACAACTTCACGCTCCGAACCGAGAACATCCCGTCATCATGCTCAACCTTGACTGCATCGCCAGAGCAAAAGGTATTCCGCTCGTCGCACTCGAGCATGGCGTAGACCCTGAGCGTCCAGTCCTCGGTCTCAGTTCGGCTCATTTCGTCGTACAAGGCAATCGTACCCGGCAGCGCACCAGCATCGTGCATGCCGACGAGGCCGACCTTGTGCAGCTCCCTCATGGCCGACTTGACGAACTCCTTTTTCCTCTCCTTGCCGGGCCTCGGCCACAGCGCCGTGACCAGGTCCATGGCGTTGTCGCAAAACACGCCCATCCCGGGGTCCCGCACGATTTCCCCGCCGGGGACATCCTCGGGCAGGTCGTCGGGGGATAACAGATCCAGCACGGCCCTCGAGACCCAGGTACAATGGACATCAACGCGGTCGAGCATGAAATACCTGCCCTTCAGCCGCTCATCTTGCTCAAGCATATCCTAGAAACCACCGCCACCCCCCTCAAAATAAAAGGGGGAACCCACCATCAGCCCCCGCGTCTCAAACAATCCAATCGGACAAGGAAATCACCTGCAGCAAAGGGCATCCCGCCCAGAAGCATCTGGTCCCATCCGACCCCTCTGGCCCAGTTGTCCCTGGAGCCCGCGGCCGGGTTCTGTTCCAGATACTCGACCAGGCGGCGGCGGACCTCGTCGGACGAGTCGGCGCCAAACAGGTCGGCCGAGTGCAGGAACTCGCCGTACTGCATCAGATGGCCGTGGCCGTCCCACAGGCCCGGAATGGCGTAACCAGGACGGATTTCCAGGCGATCCTCGGAGTCGGAATCGGAGTGGTGGAACACGCGGGTGAAATAGGTCCCACCTCGTCCGGACGGCGACGGGGAAGACGATACTGAGAAGCAATTTGGCCTGGGGCTGCTGGGGTCGCTATCACTGCTACCTGCGCCGATGCTGGCGGTGGTGGTCAGGATGCCTTGGTAGCAGTATGTCTGGGCGTGCTTGTCATGGTTGTTGCTGTTCATGATTGTGAGAGGAAAGTGGCGGCCGACGAGATCATGGATGCGGTGCTGGAGGTTAAAGTTGTTTATCACGGCGGCGACAGCGATCCCACCGGCGGCTGCTGCTGAGAGGAGCGAGAGGTTGAGGCCCCATCGGGACCGCGGTGGTGGAGATGGCGTCGTTGCCGCCATTGGCGTTTCAACACTCAAGGACTTTCTCAGGTTGGAAGTGAAAACTTCACAGTTATGGTAGAGGTTAGTCACTTTCAGTGTCAGGGGAAAGCTGGCGGGGAATGCTTTTCAAGAATGCAAGTCGTAAAGATAAGATATCGAGCCGACTTGGCCATGTAAATACTATCCGATAGTACCTATTTGATTATGCAATAAAAAATTGAAGAGCTCCGTTGCCGGTCCCGATCGCCGGCCCCGATTGCCGTGCAACCAGTTCCGGACTTCCAGAGCAGGTTGACCTGGGTTGCGATCCAACGCACTCAGTACGTCAACAACACCTTCTTTTCGCCAACCACCCAAAAGGGATATCCAAGCTAAGACTGAATGCTAGTATACTGTAATGTACTAGTAGTAGGTAATAGCTGTAATCAAACTCGCTAGGCAACACAAAGAGCCCCTCCCTGCAGGAATCAAGCGAGGTCCAACCATCCAAACGAGGATAACACAAACAGGCCCAGACCCGGATCCCGTGTTTGCTTCAATGCCAGCAAGAGCCACAAACAGAGGCACCAACACAATCTGCACCCCGAAGTCCCTCGGTTTCACTCCGTGCTTCAGGTCACTCAACGCATCGCATCAAATCGAGGGGGCTGGTTGGGAGGGAGAAGGCCCATCTATATACAACGTTTGCTCAGATGCAAACCCGGCTCCAAGAGGTTAATAGGACGCAAAGAGCAGAGCCCCACGACAAAAGACCAATGCAAAAAAAAAAAAAAAAAAAAGGTATGCCCGCTTCGAATCTACTCCTGACCGAAACCCATCGTCTCCTCCACAGCAATCGTCAACTTCTGCTGCAACATCTCCAGTGTCTTGTATGGAGGCAGCTCCAGGCGGTTGAAACTACAGTAGTCACAGCGTTAGCAAATCGATACAGAACAAGGGGATGGACGGACAACGCACCATGTATGCGCCTTGGGCAAGTTCGTAATCTCGCCGGCCTTCTCGATCGTGAACCTTCTCGGCCCGTCGCTGCCCTGGAGATCCTTGAACCCGTTGACCGGAATCCGCGATGTCCCCGTCGTGAACTGCAACAGCCGTGACTTTTGCTCGCCGTCCCAAGACCGCACCGTCTGCCAGAAGAACTGAATCACCTCGTCCGACTCGGTATAGCCGCGATAGTCGGTGTGCTTCTTCCAGTCGTCCACATCGATCTCGGCGATGCCCCCAATTAGCAGCTCCAGCTCACGCTCGTCAAACACATTAATCAGATCCTGCGGGATCAGCTCATGGAACCCTTCCTTGAACGCCTGGAACTGCTCGGCAATGCGCTTCTCGATCCTCCACTTGACCATCAGATCCACATATTCCCTCTTGTTCTCGTTTGTCACCTCAATGTTGCGCCCGTTCGGCTTGAGGTCCTCCACTGTAATCACGCCGAACCGCTCGTCCTCGGTCGAGAACGTTTGCTCCAGAATGCCGCCAGAAATGTCATTATCCAGCATCCACTGCAGTGACCGGTGAAAGTCGGCATCTACACCTTCCATGTCTGCTAGCACTACCGACTTGCCCAGAATCATCTTGTACAGGGCCCCGATGAAAAAAGCGTCAAGGAAGCGCCGGTGGAAGATGGCTAGGCCAACCACGCGCCCAATGAACTTGAAGTAATTAAGATGTTCTGGGTTGATGCCTGAGTGCGGGTTGATCTGCAACGTGTAGTTGTCGTGCGCTGAATACTCAAACAAGCAGTAGAAGGGATTGAACATTTCATGCGACAAGAGGAAGAAGAATTCTCGAGAAAGGCCGCCGTAGTCCAAACCGTCTTCGCCGTCGAACTTGATCATCAACCGCTTCTTGAGATCTGTCGCCGACTGGCGCATGATTTCTGCAAAAGAGTCCTCAAAAATGTGGGATCTTCTGACCTTGATGTGGCATTGCCCAGAGAGAATGCGCATGGCCGGCTGCGACCGGAAGTAAATGAGTTTTCTCCTGAAGTCGCGCTTGTACTGGGGAACATTTTGGTCGAGCGATGACGGAAGTCGGGGATCGTCCCACGTCGTCGTCTTGGTGTTGTGGTCGACAAAGTAGACTCGCGCCGTGTTGGTCAGCCTCATTTCCCACCCGCTAGGCAGGGGCCCAAGCTGCGAGACGGGCTGCTGCTGAATGGTACCGCCAGCGTTATTCTGCCCGCCGTACATCCGGATATACTGCTGGCGCCGAGGGTCGACCCAGGTGGTTGTCCGTGTGTTGTGATCAACAAAGTAAGCCCGGCCTTCAGGAGTCCATCGCTGCTCCCATCCTGGAGGGAGCTCGCCTGACCCAGCCGTCGTCGTCCCGGTGTGCATCATGGTGCTGGCAGCGGCAGCTTGGGTCGCGGCCTGCTGGGCCTGCAACGTCGGTGAGTTCGCACCGGTCCGGTCTTCGGGAAGCGTTCGGTTCTGGTGCCTCTGCCGCTCGACTTGGGTGTTCGCCTCGGCCGTGCGGTTTTCGGCGGCCCCTGTGCCTGTTGGCCTGTTCCAGCTGGTAGTCCTAGTGTTGTGGTCGACATAATATGTCCTCCCTAGATTATCTTCACGACGCTCCCACCCGGCTGGCAACCTGCCCTGTGCGTCCTCGAACGGGCTCAGCGGACTGCTGGCTTGTCGTGGCTGCGGCTGCGCCGACCCGTTGGTCGTGACTGACGGCGACGATGCTAAGCTTGCCGGGCGGTGGGGTAGAGTCATTTGTGTGCCTAGGGTGGGCGTGCCATTGGGCCCGGACACGGCCGAGGACGGTCTCTCGGACATGCGGTCGCCATTGGGGACGATAGACGGCGTCGGGCTGAGGAGGGACGGTCGGGTGGAGGACGAAGCTGAGGGAGGGGGTTGATTGCGAACTGGAGCTGTCAGGTTCGTCGACAGATTAAGAATGAGCTTCCCGTGTACCACAAGATTATCAGTAGATTTCTTGAGATCCCGAGTGAGCATCTGGTCTGCAGTGGTTGAACTCCAGTTAGCGGCGCGGCACGAGAAACAGGGATGGTGGGGATCCATACCATCAGCCTCTGGGACTAACTCGATGACGTCCCCTATCCGAATATTTATGACTCCGAGGAAGCCCTGGTCCTTCTTTTTGAATTTTTTCTGATCAAACACCTGGACTGCAAGAATGCTGTCCTCGTTTACCTTGCTGTTACCTGTTAGCTTCAGAACCCGACCTCGGATATCACTGAGCCGGCACCACTGACAAGTCAAAGGCTTCATTCCAGTACGGGTGAAGAGTCCTTTTGGACACCTGTGTTGTCTTGGTTTGCTCGCCATTGATAGTGACGACGGCAAACGGATCAGGAAACCCTGCAGGACATGAATCAGTATTATGCGGCTTTAGAAGACCAGAAAGCAGGGCATGATGCCTCGACGACCAAGAACGGGAGGGCAGCATACGGAATACATCTCGCTTGTATAAGCCATCGGCAGCGATGACTATATGACCTAGTTAGCATAGTTTGCTGGCGTTGAATGGGTTGACCGAAGAGGCAAAGGGAGAGTCGATTACTTGTAACACGAAGATTCGGTTGGCTGTTGCAGTACGTCAGCCACAGTCCTCATTCGGAATGACTCCTCAGACAGGCAAAGGGGCCCTGCCAACACCATTCGAAACTTACGCTGGAAGCCCTGAATCCGCTCGACTGCTGCTCATGATTGCCAACAGACAAAGTCCAAAATGGACCTCGCAGACGGAACCGCAGTTTCGTCCACCAGGCTGGTGGCTGACGCGGGTTTCGACAGATCAATACGCTGTTCGATGCCGGACGTGGCGGCGGACAACAGGGGGGGTCGATCGGAGGCGAGAGCAGGAATGAGAGCGACCGGAAAATGCAGACTCGATGGGAGAAGACGACGCGCGACGCCCTAGAAAGCGCCCAGTCGGAGAAAAACAGCCAAAAGCGACGAGGCAGGCTGACAGAAGCACGATTCGAAAAGGCGAGGGAAAGCGAGCGAGCGTCGAGAGTTGAACGTAACTAACGTAGGTGCAAAGTGATGAGGCTGTGCTGTCCGGGGCACCCCGCTTTGGGAACCTCCTTCTCTAACAGGCGTGATGAAGCGAAAGCCAGTCGAAGGATCTGATACTGCGATAACTGATGCCACACACTGTCCCAGAAACAAACCCACTCCGTTGTCGATATACAGAAGGAACGGCAATATCCAGAGTCGATAGATGCACGGACAGTCAGTGGTGCTTTAGAGTTGAGGTGTTTGTGTCAGGCGGACCGACCCATGCAGAGACCAAGCCGCCCTCATCCACCCGTGCCCCCCCTAACATTTTAGCGAGGTGCGCCGCCCTGTGCTGTGGAGTCACATCGTCGCCTGAGGGTCCATTCTTAGAGCTTTACGCTCATTGCATAGGTATTTAGAGTAGAGCAACCTTTCTGGAACCATTGTTCTGTATCTCTAAATAAATTCCTTTATATGCAAGGTCATGATGGATAGTATATAAATTTGTATATGCTCCTTTCTTGCACTATTTCGGTTCATCTCCCTTGCAACACGGCATCCATTGTTCGGTCCGTCATTGTTTTTACCTACCGATGACAGAAGAATGGACGGGTAACGTTAACTGCCATAACGACAGCTGTGGAGAGTGGTTTGGCTTCTGTCCATCATGACATGCATGACGCCTGTGACGGAATGCCCCGGAATCAACAATGAGTCAAATTCTTTCTCTCGTTTATCCTTTCATATTAACATACATTGCTCTCTGTCCTCGCCTCCCAAGAAGACACAGAGACCTGCTTGATGAATCAAGGCATGCTACAGTAGACTTGGAGAACGCACCCTTTTGAGAGATAGCAGGCCAAAGCTTGCCTACCGTCGATACCGTTGTAGATTGATTTGTGACTTTCCTGATCTGTCCCGATCTTACGGTCACGTAGTGACGAAAAATGCTGATGCCGATATAAAGAAAGAAAAAGGATAGAAATGCTCTGTAAGAAGTATCCTTCCGTTCTTTTTGCCATCCCCATGACGCCTTGCCGACGCGAAAAACGACTTGTCCCTACTTCAACAGTCCTTCCTGGCTCTTATCGTACACCCTGGAAGGCTGTCACCATCAGATCAAACATGGCATACCATGTTCCATCCAGCTCTAGTAGATGCGCCTTGAGCTTAATACGGGGCGAAACCGCGACCCCGACCCCTGTAGCCACCACGATATCCTCCTCTTGGAAACCCGCCTCTTCCACCGTAGCCGTTGTAGAAGCCCCGACCGCCGCCACGGAACCCTCCCCGGCCGCGGCCACGGCTCATGCCCGGCACGTTTGTCCGCTTCGGCTCCACCTTAATATTGCGGCCCTTGAAGACGCTGTCATTGAGAACAAGGGCTTGGGCGACGAGATTTGGCTCGCTAAACTCTACATATGCATATCTGTGAGCAGTACTTTTGTCAGCAACCCAGATCGTGAGTTCAGCGGTTGGACGCCTGGATGGTACAGACCCCTTTGGCTGGCCTGTGAACTTGTCCAGCAGGATTGTGACGCGGTTGATTGACCCGCAGCTTTGAAAGTGGGCCTGCAGCTCTTCTGGAGAAGTTGAGTAGTCGACATTGCCGACAAATATGCTCCGGTTATCGACGTCCTCCTTGTCCTCGCTCAGCTCTTGGCGAGTCTGGTCCAGGGACGCCTGCATCTCTCTTAATTTAGCGGCTTCTGCCTCCATCTCTGCAACGCGTCGCTTCATGGCCGAGATCTCCTCCTGTTCATCCAGTTAGTCGTTTCGTTGCCGATGGCTGAACACGCGACGGTCGCATGAAAGGCGCACCTCGTCATTGGCATCATCACCCTCCGGGTGTTCCCGCGACTCATCGTGAGGCTTCTCCTCCTCTTTCGGAGAACTCATCTTGCCTCTGGACCGAAAGTTCGACACAGGTTGGGAATTGCGAGAGTCTAGCCTGCGATTAGTGAGGGAGCTTGTGCGGGGTGCGAAGCTTGGGGGAACGTGAGTCGCGACTCACGACTGGCAAGCCCTATCAACTTACAGGATCAGCTAGGACAGAGCAGAAAAACAACTTACAAGATCAGCGACAGCAGCTGGTCGTGGAATATTCGCCAGGTAAAGTAGTGCTGTGAAGCAAGACTGTTTCTTGGTGCTTGAAAACAGCGACGAGGCTGGCGAAATGGAGGAGCCCGATCTTTTGGCGCACGATACGGTTGCAGCAGGTACTTGTACGGATACGGAAAATACTGTACTATACGGATAGATTACGCTTAGTTATCGAACTGCGATCGAACGGCGGAACGTCGGCTCATCAATTCAGACGCGCTACTCAAAATTACATATACAGTACAACCCTGGTTTGTTTGTTAGCGTGGAACTCATGACAGGGGTCCTGGTCCAAGTTTCAAAAAGATGCATCTCCACAGCCATAAGGAATATATCAACGTAGAAAAATAAAGCATCTAGCAATATTTAGAATGTGCCATTTCATATGTCTGTTTATCTGTGCAAAAAGTGGCTGTTTTGCTGCTGAGATTTGGATTTTGGGGTTGAGCCCTGTCTTCAAGTCAGGCGCTAGCGAACAAACCAGGGGGGCATTGTATTATGATAGATGCAAGTCTCGTATACCTCCCCGTAAACAGCTGCTCATATCATCACTTCAATTCACCCTTACCTACTACTTCGTACAATAGATTGATTTGTGCTTCGAAATCAGACACGGCGGCTTTGCAGTTGTGATCAAGGCATTATGTAAAGTAGTCACTAGACGGCTGAGAATTTACTTGGTATTTTGCTATCTTATTTGAGGACTTTCGGGCTGCCAACGAGCTAACCTCGCAGGTACTGTACAAGTACATACAATCTGAACCGGATATACGGATACATCGGTTTCAAGAGTTATTCCTGGGTTCATCGTGCAACAATGGCTGTAGTAATGATTACAGAAACCTCCTCTCCTTCAGTCTATCTCTTACCTTGTGATTTCTGGAACAAAAAGCTGCGGATGCCAAAACTGATGTTGGTCTTGGAACTGATCTGAACATCAACCTGACGGCCTGGGCCTTGAGGGCGACACTCAAAGGAAGGCAAGCGAGGTTTCCGCTGCTTGTCTCCCGCAAGGCCAGGAGATACAATGGGCGAACCCACCGCGAGACAGCATTGGGAACCACAAGGTTTCATGGGTGACCTCTATGGATCGGCTCTGTGAAATTATCTGTTAAGCCCGTGGAGGTTTCGATCAACTTTGCGTGCAATGCACATCAGACAACCTTATGGTATGACGTCATCCTATGGCTGCTGCTTTCGCTGTGTTCCCTTCGTTTTCGGTGCATCTACGGATACACAACCCGGCCTCTCGGTGTTTGATCAGCCACAGTAGCAACGTCTCAGCGGGAGGTTTCAGCCACAATTTAGGCGTCAGCTCTCACGGCATGCTGCATGGCTGCCCCGCAACCGCTTCTGGCCCCTGAACACAAGTGCCCCTCCACAGCTGCTTGGGCTCCATTCCATTCTCGGGTAGCTGTCCGTCTGCCTACAACAACCTCTCTCCTAGCCCTGTTGGACGATTCTCTGCTGTATCTCTGTTGGGAGCCTTTAATCTGAAATCTCTGGGAGTATTCACAGTTCACCAGCCATGTCGATTGAACTCGAGAAGATCTTGGCCGCATCCCCTGCAACAACGCGGGGCCAGCCTACGCAGCTCTCATGCGACGCCAAAGGAGAGCGCATTGCATATGCTGTAAGCTTCTTTCTCACCTGGTGCTCTTGCGTGCCGTGCCATGAATTTATTCTCACATTCAACCCTTCAACTTCTAGTCTGGCAAGTCCATCTACCTGCGGAACATCGACAACCCCGCCCTCAGCAAGCAATACACGGGCCACACGACCACGACAACGGTAGCCAAGTTCTCCCCGTCGGGCTTCTGGGTGGCCTCGGGCGATGTCTCAGGGAAGGTACGCGTGTGGGACGCCGTCGAGGCGGTCAACACCAAGGGCGAGTACGCCATCATCTCCGGACGGATCACCGACATTGCGTGGGACGGCGACAGCCAGCGGCTCATCGCCGTCGGTGACGGCCGCGAGCGCTTTGGCCACTGCATTACGGCCGACAGCGGCAATAGCGTCGGCGAGGTCAGCGGCCACAGCAAGGTTATCAATGCCGTCACTGTGCGCCAGCAACGGCCCCTGCGTGCCGCCACCGTCTCTGATGACAGCACCATGTGCTTCCTACATGGCGCACCCTTCAAGTTTGCAACCAAGGCCGCGGGGCTGCACAAGGGCTTTGTGATGGGCGCGGCGTTTAGCCCAGATGGTGCGATGCTTGTTACTGTTGGCGCAGATAGGAGGATCCAGCTGTACGATGGCAAGACGGGAGAGCCGACAAAGCAGATCGGCGAGGGTGCGCACACCGGCAGCATTTTTGCTGTGAGCTGGGCGAAGGATTCGAAGCGGTTCGTGACGGCGAGTGCGGACCAGACAGTGCGGATATGGGACGCTGAAGGCGGCGAGTGCCTGCAGACATGGCGGCTTGGGCCGGAAGGGAGCGTCAGCGTGGCCGACCAACAAGTTGGTGTAGTATGGCCGCACGGCAGGAGTGATGGGCTTATTATCAGTCTAAGCCTGAGCGGTGACATTAACTATCTCACCGAGGGGAGCGCCCAGCCTATCAAAGTAGTTCAGGGGCACAATAAGAGCATAACTGCGCTGGGGGTGGGGTCTGACGGCAAGGGGAGCACCGTCTCCACGGGCAGTTTTGACGGCCGGGTGTGCAGCTGGGACGTCTCTACTGGCATTGGGAGTGTGGTAGAAGGCCAATCCCACTCCAACCAGGTGACGCAATTTGCCTCTACAGCAGGCCAGACATTCAGCGTAGGGTGGGATGATACGCTCCGCATCATCCAGGAGTCGACGAACAACTTCCTCGGTACCTCGATCCCGCTGGGCGCCCAACCAAAGGGCATTTCCGCCAGCTCCGGTGGTCACGTCTTCGTAGCCCTCAACAACGGCATCGCCGTCTACAAGGCCAATCAACTGCTCGGCCAGCTCCCCACCGATTTTACGCCAACCACGATAGCAGCGGATGGCTCGCTCGTGGCCGTTGGTGCCAACGAGAACGCCGTGCAAGTCTATAGTCTCGACAACAACAGCGGCGAACTCTCTCCCAGAGCCAGACTGACCAACTCAACCGCTCAGATCTCCACCTTATCTTTCTCACCGGACGGCAAGCACCTGGCTGCGGGTAACGCATCGGGCAAGATTGTGGTGTACAAGACGAGCACCGGGACATCATCATGGGAGGTGGCGACGGACCGGTGGTCGGCGCACACGGCGCGCGTGCTTTGCATCGCCTGGAACCGGGCCGGTACACACGCCGTCAGCGGCGGGCTCGACACCAACGTACACGTGTGGAGCCTGGCGAAGCCCGGGAGCAGAGTCAAGGCGGCCAACGCGCACAAGGACGGCGTGTACGGCGTGGCTTGGGTGGACGGGGACCAGAAGGTTGCGAGCGCCGGGGGGGACGCAGCCGTGAAGATATGGGCGGTCAAGGGCCTTCAATAGTAAATCTGCTGAACCGGCCTTATTGTGAGTTCAGTTGTTAAGTGGGTGGATGTCGTGTGAGCTGAGGCGCGGCATCTAGCAGAGCTCTCAAACCGGCGCTGGGCAGATAGGGACGATAGTCATGACTGATATGGAACGAACATCACTTCATTAGTGTTAGGCGCCTGGGCATCGTGTCACAAATCGATGAACTGTTTGATTTCTGATCGGCCTAGCAGCTAAATAGGTGGCATCTCCGGAGATCAGGCCCCGATTGCAACCCCTCAACATGCCTTGCAGGAAATCCATCGATAACCCATGAGTACCTCCCAGTTGGATGCTAGCACAAATGCTTATCCAGCTCAGTTGCCGAAACTGTCCCGCGAAATGCAAGCCAAATCAAAACCCCCGGTGATTGAGTATGCCTCGTTATACATCGCTTCAGACCCATATGCGACCATGAGAAACCAAGTCGAAATCGAATCGTCCGGCCTCCAACGACTACGTGTCCCGAAGATCCAAGGCGAAAAGTCGCACACGCTGAGAAGAACCAGGGCAATGAATGGCGAAAAATCTCAGGATAGCCTTAAGCGAACTGGACGTCGGCGCCCCAACCCCAGCCGGCATTGACGAGGGCTTCCTCGTTCTGGCCAGTCTCAGTCTGACCCTCGCCGCCACCCTCGCCGGCAGAGGCCTCAGAAGCATCCCCCACGACATCTTGGGTGCTGAGGGCTGCCATGCCAGGCACAAGCGCCTCATCCAGGTCAATCAAAGACGCCTGATCACTGCCAGTGCCAGTTCCAATGCCAGTGCCAGCGCCAGTGCCAGCGGCAGCGCCAGTGCCAGCGCCAGTGCTAGTCCCAAGTTGGTTGGGGACAGCGATGGGGAAATGGCCGTCAGGGCCAGTATACGGTCCGATTTCCTAGTCGATCCGCATGCCCGTGGTGGTTTCCTGGGCGACTTGGTAGCTGGGGGCGGTGCCGATCGGGACCCACTGGCCCGGCACCATGGTGGCGGCGGCGCCGGGTCCCTCCTCGTCGTCATCAATCTCCTGCTGCATATTGGCAGCCAGATTCGCAAGGTCTTCCTCGTACTGCTGGCGGGCGAGCTCGTCTGGGTAGCAGGTCAGCACCATCCAATCGAAGAGGGTTACGCGTTCGGCGGCCGGGACGGGAAACGACGGCGGCGTGTACGGCGGGAGGTTGTCTGACGTGCCTTCGATAATCCAATCGTCGATCTCGTCAATGGCGTCGATGAGGTTTCTGTGGAAGCACACATGCCGGGTTAGATGGGACCTCATGGGAGTAGCGGGCGGAGTTGTGAGCGTGAATGACTTACCCGATCTCCGCAACAACACCCCAGTTCATGTCTATAACCAATTGCGCCAGTTCTGCCTGGTGATTGTCCATCAAAGTGGGATTCGGAACAACAATGAGAGGAGCGTTGATACGCTTGACCTCTATAACAGTTCCGGAGCCTAAGATCAGACGCTTAGTTAGCTGCTATGCGAAGAAAAGTTGCGATGCGACGAGAGAGCGCGCTTACCAGCATGGGAAATGACGCAACCAGCAGGATCCTGACGGCAAGCATAGATATTCTCAACCATCGCGTCGGTATATGCGAACATGGTAATCAAGATCTCACGTGCCACATCATCACCGAGGCTCACGATCCGCTGGTGAGCGAGCTGGAAGTCGGTCTCACGTGCACCGAGGCTCACGATCCGCTGTTCAGCGAGCTGGTATTCGGGACCGCACTGGATAGTGAGCCTGTCGTAGCCATGGCGGATGAGGCAGTTCAGGAAAGCCGGAGTGGTGATTTCCTCAATCAGGCTGGGGAAGCCAGCCGTGGCGCCAACAGTAACAAAGCACTGGCGACCGTTCCAGTCATGAGAAGACTCTGCATTTGTGTTAGTTTGGCCATCACCATCAATTCGCTGCCGTTTGTTCTCGGGCTCACCCGAGTTGCTGTGATGGGTGCCATTGACCATGTTCTCGACGATTTGCTCGTCACCACGGCGGACAATGGCTGGACCAGGCTCAAGCCAATACGCGGCGGGGATGGTGTAATTGTAGGCCGGAATGTAGCCCGAGCCACCGTTTCTATAGGCCATTGTTATCAGCGGGCAGAATGAGGCGATAACGTTAGCGCGAATGCTAAGTGAGGCGGTGAGGCGGTTAATTCACGGGTGATCCTCGGTGACAGTCGGTGTTGTGGGAAAACTTCGGTTGTTTCTCGGAAAAATCTCTCGGTTGCGCTAAAAAATTGTGGGTTTAGCGCCCTGATGACTCATACTGAAATCTCGAGGCTCCGCTCGACGAGCGGGTCACCCAGCTGATTGCCGACACAGACAACAGGTCGCCAGCTTTTGGACTTTTGCACCTTCACAGTCTTCTGTACCTTAAGGTATCACGGACCATGATGACAACGGGGAAAACCACCATGGCGATTTGAACTGTGAATCTACGGATAGATTCCTAGTGAATATCCATCCTACTTGAGGCTATTAGCAAATAACACGGTAGTCATTACATCTACCTTTTAGCTGTCTGCGTCGCTTTTGATCCCTGGCTCTACAGGTTCTCCAAGTACCTCCGTATCTCTGGCATTTCCTTGACACGATCATCCATCACAGCGTGAAGTTTTTTGGACAAGATGATTCTTGAAGATGATGATAATGCAATTGATTGCATGCAAACCTTTACATGTATCCTTTGTATGCAAGAGCTTGATCAGTAACTCCGTACCCCGAGGAAGCGACCATTATACCTAGTAGCGTGGCGGTGCCTGATGTGGCTGGTGGTTCCCTTGGAGGCTTGGAGCCAGGGGGGTGGAACTTCCAAATTTTGGCGATCCAAAGTTACAACCGCGCGCCGACTGTCGTGCCCAACCACGACAACCTCGATTTGCGGCATGGCCTCCCCAGCCAATTTGCTTCGGCTTTGCCTGCGGGCACCCAGCAGGCGGTTGCCAACCGCTAGGGCTGCTGTTGCGGCTCAAAAGACCGTGTTTCTCCGGCCCTTGTCGACAACGCCGGTGCGATGGGCCGAGGAGGAGGAAGAACGACGCGAAGATGACGATCCCTCCAACCAGGTTTTTGCCGACCCCGGCGAGTTTCTGAGGAGCTTTCTCCGCGATGAGAGTATAACCCAAGAAGAGCGCCAGCTTGCGCAAAGCATGCTCGGGGACTGGTCAAAGGTTCCCAAAGACACGCAAAAAAGTCTTCAAAACCTAGTAGCCGAGATCAACAACGAGGCGGCGCCGCTACGGAGGGTTAGAGTACCGAAAAAGGACAGCTTCTGGAACGAGGACAACGCGGATACGGATCTGATCACGGACGAGAACGGTGAAGACGATTTTGAGGAGGATGATATGCTGGCCATGGGCCACGCCAAGCTGGAGGAACACCGCGAGTTTAGAGAATACGCACGCATTGCCGTGTGGGAGATGCCGCTGCTCTCGAGTAAGCGACCCCCAAAATCTCCTGGCTTAGGAGGTGGACCCAGCCGACTAACTGGCGAGCAGAACTTGCCAAGCCATTTCAGCCGCCTGTTGGGGACGAAGTCCTGCGCTTCAGATACACGACCTACATGGGCGAATTCCACCCTGCAGACCGGAAGGTTGTGGTCGAGTTCTCGCCCAACGACTTGGCCGACTTGACAGAAGCTCAACGGCTGAAGCTCATGAAGCTTGCTGGGCCAAGATACAACCCGGAGAAAGGAATCATCAAGATGAGCTGCGAAAGATTTGAGCATCAAGCCCAGAACAAGCGGTATCTGGGAGATCTAATCGCCAAGATGATTGCCGCTGCAAAGGTAGGAATTGCGACTCTCGGTTTTCCTACCACCCATGCTAAGTTGAGTTAGGATCCCACCGACATGTTTGAAGATATTCCCCTGGATACCCGCCACCACAAGTTTAAGACAGTGATCAAGTTTCCCAAGGAATGGTACTTGACAGAGGAGCGGAGGCAGCAGCTAGAGGCACAACGGAAACAGGCATATCTACTGGACGAGCAGAAGAGACAGTCCGGGACATTGGTTAACGGCGTGGAGGCCATTCAAGAGGGCTTGCGTGCCCGTGTAAACCGCATTGGGGAGCCCGTTCCGGTACGGAGACCACTCGCGCCGCCTAGGCCTCCCCTAAGGAGGTAGCCGGCCGCTGATGGTCCCGACATCGTTTTCATTCGACCGGAGCAGTGAGGTTGCCGCGCTCGGCTGATCCTCTGCCCGGGGCAGTGCCATGACAACGTGCTGCTCCGTGATTGCCCCGTCCGGGCAAGATGTAGTACTGTGTATGAGATCCAGTGTATATCATAGACCTGCATGCCATTCGAGGTCTCTTTACTTGCTTTCAAATTGGGTTTCTATCCGTCGGCTGGGCCGGGTATTACACGATCTACCAGACTGATGGGCGGGTTTTCTGGGTTTTATTACTGGGGGCCAGACAGAAGGACCTCTGCACCGCTTCTTGTCACAGAAGTCCGTTGACAACGGTCAATAGGTACATAGGCTCACCAGTGTCTGATCTCTTAGACTAAGATTTAGTAGAAGGGGGCGATGCCCTTGTCGAAGAGACATCAGGTCTATTTTTCGAAAGACTTGCTATCGGGATTAGAGATCAGGGTGAGGATTCGGTGTACGGAGATTATGACAGTACCTATGTGAGCTTGGTGACCCTTGGTCAAACTGGAAGTTCCAGTTGTGGTAGCTGGGCACTTACGGCTCAGTCATTCTGCATTATTAGCTCCATTCGGTTAGCGAAACGTTGGAGTATGGACCCCACCTACCTCCAACGGCTGCCAAGCAGGCCAGGGGCACATCCTGCACATCATAAGACCTCCGGTGACATGCAGTTGAAAGATTCCCTGCTTCCGTTCATGTTGTTCTCAACGTTATGCATACCGCAGGAGACTTAGGATGATATATTGCTTGAACTTACTGGTATATCAATGATAGATCTATACTTCGCTGTCCATCCTACGTTCCGAGAAAATATCACATTCGCCACGGACATTGAATTAAGTACTGGCCTCGCCTGATACCGGCCCCATCTTCACCCTGGCTAGGTGTGATTTGCCCCATACATGCGGGCCGCATGTAATCAGCCTCGGCATATTAATTAGTATGTGTAGGAACCTGCCGAGCCTGCTTGCACTTGCAGTGATGCAAAAGTATCCTGCCTCCCTGCATCTCGACAGATATTACAACGGCGCATGCGGCAGAGCATGCCGTTGGGGTACATAGCTCGCCATTCCCAAGCGTTCTCTTTGGCTCGTCTTTCTCCTTGCTTCTACTTCTGCTTCTGTTCTTTCGGTTCGAAATCTTTTACAGGGAGACTGGATTAGGCTTTGTCGGCGGTACAGTACATTGAGTACACTCGTCTGTCGTTTATTCCCATCTAGAATTCTAGTTCGTCTCGTCATACGCCTGGCGACCTTGTCTGGTGCAATGGAGTACACCAATGTGTCGATTCCGGCATTCGAGCCGACGCCCCTCGAAACGATTCCTGCCATCGCGAGCGCCGCGCGCGGCGCTTTCCGCAGTCACAGAACCAAGAGCTTGCAATGGCGCCAGGTGCAGCTGCGCAAGTTCTACTGGGCCGTCGAAGACTACAAGCCCCAGCTGCTGGCTGCCCTCCAGAAGGATCTCCACAAGTCCACCTTCGAATCTCTTCTCACCGAGATCGACTGGCTCAAGAAGGATTGCATCTTTATGCTCGACCACCTCGAAAGCTTCGCCAAGGATGAGAAATTGGGATCCCCCGCGGTTCCCGCCGTCTACTCGATCATGAAGATGCGTGTGCGGAAGGACCCAGTGGGCACCGTGCTCATCATCGGCCCTTACAACTTCCCCGTCCAGCTCCTCCTGGCCCCTTTTATCGGTGCCATCGGTGCTGGCTGCACCGCCGTCGTCAAGCCTTCTGAGCTGACGCCCGCCTGCGCCATGGTCATCAAGGAGATGATCGAGAAGAGGCTGGATAACGACGCCTTTGCTGTTGTCAACGGTGGCATTCCTGAGACCACCGCCCTCATGAACGAGAAGTGGGATAAGGTCTTCTTCACGGGCAGCGCGACGGTGGGCAAAATCATCGCAAGGAAAGCTGCCGAGACACTCACCCCCGTGGTCCTCGAGCTGGGCGGCAAGAACCCTGCTTTCGTCACCAAGAAGGCCAATCTTGCGCTGGCAGCAAGGCGGCTGCTCTGGGGCAAAACCTTGAACGCGGGCCAGGTTTGCCTCTCGCAGAATTACATTCTTGTCGACAAGGACGTTGTCACGACCTTTATCGAGCATCTGAAGCAGGCATACCGTGAGATGTTCCCTAACGGCGCCAAGGCCAGCCCAGATTTCGCCCGTGTTGTCAATCAGAGGCATTTCTTTCGATTGAAGAAGATGCTGGACGACACGAAGGGCAAGATCGTCATGGGGGGCGCCATGGATGAGTCAGAGCTCTTCATTGAGCCCACCGCCGTCCTGGTGAACTCGGTCAACGACTCCATGATGCAGGAAGAGTCCTTTGGCCCCATCTTCTCCATCTACCCTGTGAACTCTCTGGACGAGGCGCTCAACATTGCCAACCTGGTCCACCGCACCCCTCTGTCTCTGTTTTCGTTTGGCTCCAAAGCGGAGAATGAAAGGAGTAAGCACGCAGATCTTTCTTGACGTTTCAACCCTCGTGTTCCCCTTGCTGACAAGTGGTATAGTTCTTAACGAGATGACCTCTGGCGGCGCCACGGTGAACGACTCGTACTTCCATGCCACTCTCAACACGGTGCCCTTTGGCGGCGTCGGCGACAGCGGCTGGGGCGCGTACCGCGGCAAGGCCAGCTTCGACTGCTTCACGCACTTCCGTACCATCGCGGAGCCGCCCTCGTGGGCCGAATCGCTGATGCGGGTGCGCTACATGCCGTACGACCTGTCGCGGCTCTCCATGCTCTCCAGGCTGATGGACAAGAAGCCCAACTTTGACCGCAACGGCCAGGTCATCAAGGGCTTGGGGTACTGGATGTCGATGATCCTGTGCTTGGGCGGGACGGGCGCGAAAGGTGCGTTAGTGCGGTGGGCGGTTATTTTGGCCGCACACTATCTCTATAGAATCCGGGCTGGGCAATAGGTGTCTGTAATCTGGGAGGTTTCCTTCTTCCCCTCTTCACCTCTCTCCAGCTTCAATGTCTAATGCGCGGGTTGGTTCCATTTAGGAGACGACGAATGAGGCAATTAATTGTGGAATTGCGTCGAGCATGGCCATCTCGATTGATAGCTAGCTCCGTCCTTCTTAATATTTCTTATGTAGATACTTTCTGTTTATCATCCGAGGATACCAGGTCACATTCACCCATATTTTCTGTTTTATGTTGTTGGAGAATTCTAGGCCGGTGCCCAAGTACTCAAGAGTCAATTATACTCATTATCGTTTTTAAACCATCCCTCTCTGATCTTAGGACCATTATCGCCCAGTGAGCGTTGCAGCCAACTGCTGGCCCTTTTCTCCGCCGAGATAGATGTCGTCCACCCCATCTGCCGACACCAATGCCATCTCCACCGCTTCGTGATAGCCCCTCGTTACCATGTCCTCATCCACCCGGAGCCCATTCTCTACCAGCGCTGTCACAACGCCGCGTAACCTCGCGATCTCGCGCATCGTCTCTACCCCGATCCGATCGTTCTGGCTTGAGTACATGGTCGCGCTGACCCCTTCTTCCATATTGGTAATCCCCGTCTTCGCCTCGGCTTCACCTGAGGTTGCCGTCTCGACGTGCTTGCTAATCCAGACGTACCCGTTCACGCCGAGTATGACATCGACGGGACCACCACCGTGAGCCGTCTCCATGGTCCAGACCTGCCTGCGGCTCCTCACTACGCCGCCCCCTTCACTCCCGCCCATACCGGCAACGGCAACAAAGACACCGTTGCGGAGCTTGCCGTAGCGGAGCGAGCGCGTGTGCAGCACGGCCCCGCCGTCGCCAAAGAGCTGCTGCACCTCGGCGACGAGCAAATCGCCCTCGGCGAAAAAGGTGCGGATCTGCAGCTCGTCCGTCTCGGTCCGCTTGCGCAATATCCCGCCTGGCAGGTTGATGGCGCTTAGTGGTAAGGAAGCCAGCTGCGCGGCGCCCACGTCCACCCGCCACCGCCGCGCCTGCACCTCGGTGATGCGCCCTACTACTAAGTCGCCGACCTCAGGCGCGTACCGTGCCCGGAGGGGGCGCACGGAGAGGAGCTTGTTGGTGCGTGTCAGGGTGCCGGCTACCGAGGAGATGATTGCCGCCTGTGGACCGTTGTCGTCGCCGCCTTGTTGTAGTTGAGAGTGAGAGAGGTAGGTGCCATGGCCGCGCATGAATTGCGGGTCTGAAGTGATGAGCTCGCCGGGGGTGACGATGTCGCTGTCGGTTTTGCTGAAGAGTCGCGGACCGCGGGATCTGCTGGTGCCGGATGACTTCATGGGGATGTCGCCTTCTAGGTCCGCGCCGCCATCTGTGGATTCGTCCTCCGAGTCGTATGACATATCTGAGACGACATCTTCGGGGTCGTTGATAGGCCGCGAGGGCCGGGGGGCTATGATGGTGATGGGCATGGCGGGGTGAAGATTAAGCCCCGTTCTGGCTAGACGCAGGCAGTCGAGTAACTTCGAGATTCTGATTGCTGCTCAATCTTGCCTGAGTATCGACTTGTCTAGTGAATATTTTGTGGGGTGATGCCTGAGTTTACACGGTGCGCTGCAAAGAGCGTTTGGTCTTGGGAATGAAATGCATGGCCCAGTTGTGAGATGAAAGTTCAGGCAATCTTTCATGTGAAGTGGGTCCAGATTGAGGGTTAGGGTTCTCTGCTTATCCCTCCGGTATAAGTGACCGAAGGCTTCCATAGATGATAGATCGAGCACATAGCTCGGGCTCTGCACAGGATTGCGGATGCAGAGATAGCTACAACTTGTATTGAAGTCCTCAGCCTTCGTTCAAACGGCCAGGGCCAGCCCCCTTGATGCAAGCAGATAGGATGTCTCTATCACGTATTGCGAGTGCCAGACATAGTATGATGCTTCCGAGAGGACTGGAAGAAATTTGGAGTGATTGTAAACTTGAAGTGACTAAATGAGACTAAAAATCGTCGGAGCAACTTGATCGTGGCATGAGGCATGTAATGAATCCCCGCTTAAATTTCACAACCTCAACCCTTTCAATATGATCTATGATTCTTGGAACTTGGGAAGTCTCAGTAGCTTCCCAACAGCCTTCATGCGTCGGTCCACTCAAGCAGTGACATTGACAAGCGGCCAGTTGATTCCCTTGTCCGCGGCCCCAATGTTGCCCAGCCCAGCACAGTTGTACAGTCCGACGGGGTTGTTCTCGGTAGCTCGCATGTACTGAAGGTCGATGCACTGCTCTGTTCATGCCGTCAGCATGCCTCCATCCTTAACCCGGTCTCCCTACCAGCTTTCCTAGTTGTTCTAAGGTAGTTATTGTGAGAATAATTGCTTACTCTTGTCAGAAGGCGCCAAAGCAATCCGGCCATCACCCATGACAAGCCAGTTCTGGGACTCGACGGTGTCGGAGCACTCGTTGACGTAGATGTTGCCCATGTCCCTCCAGTTGCCTGTTCAAATCGACACGCATCAGTTTTGTCCCTTCTCCGAGTCATAGTCTCTGTCAAGGCGTGATTGAAATGCAAGAAACTCACTCCTGGCTCCTCCATCCATGCAGAGCGTGCTGTCTACCAGTTGGATCTTGGTAGTGCCATCCTTGATGTACCACTGCTGCTCGGGCTTGTTGTTCAGGGTCTTGCTGCAGCCGCCAATCCAAGATTCGAAGTTAGGTCATTGTTTTCTAAGCACGCCGTAAGGGAGCTATACGCACACAATAGTCGTACTTCCAGCTGTGCGCGCTTTCGGTACAATGACGAATTTCGTGTTCACGTTTGAGGTGATATACACCTTGCGGTAGCCTTCAGGGGCCTGGGCGAGGCCAGTAGCCGTAAGGGCAAGCAGCAGAACAGATGTACTCAGCATTTTGAAAAGTTGAACTGATGATTTCGAGTTTTGGCGGCTCTACAATGTTCTGGAGCAATCCCGGCGACCCGGCCTGAAAGGGAGGGCTAGGCAAGCCATATGTAGGCGAACCTATATGTTCTATCAGGCAACGTTATCCCCGCTCCATCTACACATTGTGCAGTTCTTTAATTAGTTGTCAGCTACCAGGGAATTTCAATCGTTTGGGAGCCATGTGGGCAAAGGGGCGCACTCATTTGAATTCCACCCTTTGCATTAATGGGCGGCCAAGGGCGGTTTGTCCGGAGATCGGCAGATCACATCTTCGACCAAAGTAGGGGTGCGGATATTGTCCTTTGCCAGTACTCTTTGCCTCCTGTGACCCGGTTGGTTAATCCATCACGCTCAGCCTGGAAGGGATAAACTCATCAGCTCCGCTTGAGAGTGATTAAGCCCCGTCTCATTCCCTTTGGCAGCCGCTTCGTTCGGGTAAATCGAACCCAGTATCATGTCTCTGGAATAAAAAATAGGAGCGAAATCGTGTGGCAGGATATAGGCGTGGGCTTTGAGAGTCTTCTAACGGCGGAACACTCTTTTCCCCATCTCTCAATCGCAGCCAAATAACATGGCCTTCAGTAGCCGGTACACTCGCGAGGTTCCAACCCTGTTCTGTCGGTTAACGCTTGACTTAACGACTTGAGTGACCTCCAGGCTCAAGGTGTCAAGCTTTTGTCTGCATTATAACCATTGGATCTTGTATGAAAAACAAAGCAATTCTTATGGCTGTCGACATGTGACTTCATGAATTTGAATTTGAATTTCACTTTAGCTCGGCCAACCTGGTCGGATTCAGTTCTTAACGGTCTACCGCACATGATATACAGACTGTGGGCCTGCGTCGGGGGCAGGAAGATCTTAAGTTTGAAGTGCCACACTCTCGATTGAGTCATTTGCTATAGAAGCACTTGGACTTTTGACTAATGATGTACGGGCAATCATACGACACAAGGATATGACGACCAGGTCATACACTCCCATGATTTGGTACCGTACTTCCAAGTCTGACCCAAGGCTAACATACCGGGCACCGATATGTTCGCTACTTCCTATTTAGCTTCAGAGATGGACTAGGCCGTTTCGCTCTTGCTGTCCTCCGAGCTGAATGTCCCGGATGCAGGAAAGTTCAACCCAGTCTTACTGCTTCGCGTCAGTATACCCCCCGCCCCGCCCCCCCTCCCTCCCCGGCGAGAATTTCAGATCACAATGTCCACGATCCTCACTGGCAAAACCCTCAGAGTCCAAGAAACTCTTACACTCTTTCCTCACTGCCAAGGCCAATGTCTCAGCTCCGGATCATGATATCAAACTGAGCTGGGATGTACATGTAGCATGAATACACAACGAGGAATCTGCAGCCCGCAAAGACGTTGGGAAAGATTAGGACTCCTCCGAGAATGAGATCATTTCTTTGTCATATGCACCAATGAGGCGCAAGGAGAACCAGGAACCTAAGCGGAGGCTGAACGAACTATACCCGAACTTCCCAGTCTATGAAAGATTGTGCCAGCTAAGCAAAGACCTAAAGATGGTCAGGACATAACGAGAGACGAAACGATAACCAAAACCATTCCCTTCAAGACTCCTTCCCAAATCTCCCTCAAAGTGATTTGCTACTAGTCCAACCCGAGAACCCAAGAGGAACTCTGCCTTGCCTGGAAGACAATACATACGCCAACAGACCCACAAAGCCGACAGTCTGCACCCACCCGGCCAATCTCCAAAACACCCTCTTCCTCATGGCCCGGCACTTGCTCTTCGCGGCCGCGAGCATCGACGCGCCGTCGTTCAGCCTGGGGTACTCGGCTTCAACCATGCGTCCATTGACCTCGACCATGGGCACAGGGACGCCCAAATGCTTGCAGAGCGGTCCCCAGCCGTCCTGGACACGGTACTCGAGGACGCGCTCCTTGGGGATCTCCTTCCGCCACTCGTCATAGTAGCGATCGTAGAACGCCAGCGCCTTCTCCTTTTCGGGCCAGGCAAACCCCTGCACCTGGGTGTTGACCTTGTGGTGGAAGATGGCCTGCTGGCGAAGGTAAGGGTCGAAGAGCATGATGAGGATCTTGTCGAGGAGCGTGATGGAGCTGAAGGCGGCGTGGATCGACGTCAGGCACGAGTTGTACCACTTCTCGCGCTCGCGGTTGAGGATGATGACCTTTGCTTCTGGGTAGGCGCGCGCCAGTTCGGTGCCGAAGAGCGAGGCCGGGAGATCGGTTGTGGCCTGGGTGTTCGAGGGTAGTTAGCACGGGGGATGGAAGTGTACCAGGGGAACTATAGAAACGGCTGCGTCACACTCACCTGGTAGGTGGCCAGGAGCTTGTCCCAATCCTCGCGGGTGAACTGCCCCTTACCGTTATACTTTGCGTCGATTGCCCGCATCCAGTCTGGGATATCTTCGGGGTTCGTCCCAGTTGTCTGCATGTGGTATACATCGTGGATGCCCAGCTGCCGCAACGCAGCCTTCACACCTGTAAGACGGTCAGCAAGAGTAAGACACGATTTACGACCGGGTCATGGGCGCTGCTCCTGCATAGTAACAGAACGATGCCAATCACCCCTTAAACGTGATGATGGATGGAATGAGACACTCACTTAGTGTGCCCGTCCTCATCAGACCGCAGACAATCACCTTCATGGGCACGACGCGGGGACTCGGGGCCCTCTCAGGCCCGGGTGCCGCTCCGTTCGACATCTTGGTCGCCATGGCAGTTCAAGGGAACACAGATCAGACGGGGTCAACAATAGGTTTGCGCGAGTACAGAGAAAATTGGATTTCTTAAGTACGTGTGCGAACTAAGTAGTTAAGAAAAGAAAAAAAAACCAAAGCCCGATCCTAGACCGCCTTCTTATCACATTCCCGCGCAAGTGCGCTTCAGCCTCTACGGAGTAATGAAGGAAATGTGCGCTTTCCCAGTGTCCAGATCTGCACATACCCCGACTCACGGAGTCTCCCCAACGATATCCCGTCGGACAGCGTAAGGCACACTGTAATCAAGCGATAAATTGGGGGCCTTTTCGTTGTGGTTTTGTAGAAAGATGCACCCGACGCGGCCGCGTAGAGAACTAGAGAATCGAGCGTGTTCTGGCTGCGAGGGGCTATTATATATGTATGTGGTTCGAACCGAATCGCGCGATCGCCCACGCTCATGGTGCAATCATCAAGCACAGTGAAGCTACCCAAGTCAGCAAAATAACTTCCGGGCTCAGCCTTTACCCTGAGAAGCCTGGCGTTGCTGTGGCTGTCTTGGCCTTCTTGGGCGTTTGTTCACTTCAGCTGATGTTGGCGAATTGGTGTAAGATGATTGGCCAATGTAGGCACCCCCTGCACGCGATCTGCAGTACGCCATAAGCGGTAAGATACAGTACCGGCACAAGGGCTGATCTATATAGATATGTAGTGTAAAAGTTACACTCAAAGACCTTGTCAAGTAAAAAGCTGCTGAAACCGCCAAGTTGTGGATGGGAGTTCACTCCGTCCAGTTGACATGTAACTGCCAACGTTAGGTAGTGCTACGGGGTACTTGTGTAATTTATGTACAGTCTCGATGTTTCCAGTCTCCATGGGCCGTGGAGTAAGTCAGTTAGTATCCATGTAATTACAAACACATGCACCCCGCGAACCGGAATGGACTCTCCGTTTTGGGACTCCCGCCAAGGCTGCTTTTCCCCGGCTACTCCCCGGCTACTCCCGGCTACTCCCGGCTACTGCATGCTGTTCTTTCCTGTGACATATTTGCTGGCACGCACCCCACTGAGATTACCCTCCGCAACCACTTGCACCAGCAGCGCTGGATCGTCAGAACCCGCACAATCGATGAGGCGGCCGACCTGATCGCCCCAGCTCCGCACTGGCTGGCCGCTGGCGACAATTACTGCATTCCATCCTAGCATGAGAATGCTTCTGCCGCGCGGGCCCTGTCGCGCGCTCGCCCCCAATGCAGCCCGTCATCTAAGCGCAGCCTTGGCGTCCACGTCACACCTCAGACTCAAAGAGCAGCCGGCATCGCAAGTGCAATCACACGTCCGGCATGCTTCGACGGACAAGGTCCGGCCAAGAACGGCCGTCTTCTTCCCAGGTTCGTGCAATTGCTCTGCAGAAACCCCCCTGCTTTTGCCGTCATCTCCGGACTGACATCCTGACTCCGATAGGCCAAGGCGTGCACAAGGTGGGCATGCTTACACCTTGGCTAGAAGCCTTCCCTGCGACGGCTACGCCCATCATCCAAGAGATCGACCACATCGTCGGATTCAAACTCTCGGACGTTATTCAGAATGGACCCGGGAAGGTGCTCAACCTGACGCCGAACGCTCAGCCGGCCATCATGGCGACGTCGATCTTGATTCTACGTATTCTCGAACAGGAATTCGGCTTTAGGGTATCGGAGCGGGCCGACTTCACGCTGGGCCATTCGCTCGGCGAGTTCGCAGCACTCGTGGCGAGTGGCTTCCTCGAGTTCGAGGACAGCCTCTCCATGGTGCAAAAGCGCGCCAAGGCCATGGCTGCGGCCACGGCGGCGGCCGCGAAGGAGTACGGCGGCGAGTACGGCATGGTGGCCATCGTGAGCGAGCCCGAGTACATGCCGTCCCTGATCAACGCGATCCACGAATTTGTGGGCTACAGCAGCGCCGGGAGCAAGGCCGAGAGCGCCGAAGACCGGTCGCCCATTGAGCAAGTGCTCATCGCCAACATCAACAGCAAGAACCAAATCGTGCTCAGCGGCAACATTGAGCGCATCAAGACGCTCGTCGCGCACGTCAGGCAGTTTCTGGGCCATGACCCGCGTGCCGTGCGCCTCAACAGCGACAGTCCCTTTCATAGTCCCATCATGAAGCCCGCTGTGGCGGTGATGCACAACATCCTGGCAGGCAAGAGCCGCGTCCGGGGGAAGGAGGACGATGACATCGTCACGTGGCCAGGCACGGTGCCCTGTATTAGCAACGTCACGGCGCGGCCATTTGAGAGCAAGGCCGAGCTGAAGGACCTGCTGGCTCGGCAGTGCCTCGAGACGGTGCGCTGGTGGGACAGCATAAAGTATCTGGACCAGGAGCAGAAGGTCAGGAGGTGGGTTGGCATTGGCCCGGGCAAAGTCGGGCGCAACCTGGTGGGCAAGGAGGTGGGCATGAGGGGTAGGGATACGGTGAAAGGCGGCGGGGTCTGGGCGATTACCGACCCGAGCGAAATCGACGAAGTGCTCAGGGGGTTGGAAGAAACCGAATACCTTGCTGCTGACGAGGAGTAGACTCTCGTGCTGTCCTGTGCAGGGAAGGCCCGTTGACGCACTCACATTCTAGAGGTTGCGGACGGTGACGTGCATGCTGTTGGTTTACACGAATCAGGGGAAGCGGCGGACATGGATGTGATCGCTCAACAGTGGAACACAACGAATGCAACATCCTATGCATTCGCGAGACTACTAAGTTATCTTGCGCTGTCTTATGCCTGCGCCGAGATTTATTAGGTATTCGCATTAGTCTAACATTTGGATAACGTTAGTCGTCTCAAGAAATGTTAGACGGACATGGCATCGTCTCCACGTCTGAGGTGATATTCCGTTATAAAACGGTCTTCTTTGGTGGCTCACCGTTTGGTTGCGTGTGTTTGTAACGTTAGGACACTTCGTATTTCCAGGTACTGTACTCCCGTGCAACTAAAGCCCCTGCAGTGGCAGTAGCAGCCCCGGCAGCATGAGCGTTTCCTTAACACCGAGCTCTGTGCAATCAAATCGGAGCTCGTCGGGTTACCGTCAGCATCCACGCAAGACTCGAGAGAAACTGGTCCGGCTCATCATGGCGACCGCAATCCCCTCGATCGCCTGCCTCGGGGTGATTGGCCGAAATGTATTTATTATCCCTCTTGCAACGACTGTCTCCGAGTTTGCGGCGGGATTGACTAACTAATCAACTGAACATGGACAGAACAATCCCCTCCACACCTCGATCTTCCCATCTTACGACCCCTCGACCAACACCTTCCGCCCAGTCCGCACCCCGCTGCAATTCTCACTCATCCTCTCTAGCACTCTGGACGTATTTGAGCTCCGCGCCCGCCAGAACGCGGCCGCGGGCGTCGGGCTGACAGGCGACTTTGGGCTGCTGCACGCCATCGACGACCGCCTGGCCGCCTACGGTTTTGAGACTAACACAGGCACGCGCTTCGTTGTGGTCGTCGACATGCGCGGGCGAAGGATCGACAGCGCCGTCGCCGCAGGGCTGGTCGAAGGCGGCGGCAAGGACAAGCGGCTGCTCGCCAGCACCGCCGCCGCCGGACTAAGAGAGGGCGAGATGCGCCCCGTTTTCAAGGCCATGCACGCCGCCTACATCCGCCTGACGCAGAACCCTTTTTACGAGCCCGACGAGCACTCGCCGCCCGCCGGCCACGGCGGCAAGAAGATTACGAGCAGGAAGTTTGCCGAGGACATGCGTCGGATCGGGGAGAACTGGACGCCGGGGGTCACGAACCTCTGAGAAAGGCTGCTTTGCTGGGATAGGGATGGGCGTGGGCGAGGCAACAGGCGGTATCCGGGCCAGCCAAGTGCACTTATTTCACCAGGCTGTCTCTCCCCCGGACTCAACGATGATGGACATCGGCGCGCAACTGCGACCGTCGCTACAGAACCCCAACGCCAGAAGCATAAACAAGTGGAAGCTCTTCCCGAGCACCAGCCCACCCGTCAACCGCCATTCGTCAGACTGAACGCCTCAAATGTCACCCCTTCAGTTTCCTCCCACCCCTGGCCTTCAGTCCTCGCCATCTTGGCCCAACCCCTCACCATAGCCCGCCAGTAGCACGCCTCGGCAGCAGGACTGAAATACCCGCCTCCGTGGAACAGCTCCCTCTGTCTCCGCGCGATGCCCTCGGCCACATCCGGACGCTTCTCTAGCCATGCCACGGTATCCCCCAAATCGGACCAGTCAGGTGCGACAAACACAATGTTGGCCTCCTCTGGTTTGTAATGCAGCGGCCAGGACCGGCGGACCCTTTCCGAGGGGACCCAGCCGCCGCGGCCGCTGCCCGACTTGGGGGCCGCCAGGCCGAGGTCGCTTGAGAAGAGCGGCCGGACCAGGTGCGTCGTGTGCTGCAGCCACTGGATGGGCGGCGTGAGCACCACGCTGGCGCACATTTGCAGGAACTGGAACCGGCCGCTGTAGGCGATGCCCTCGGTGTGCACGACATACTTGTATCGGCAAAACTCCTCGATCGGCAGCGCGTTGCTCGCGTTGTGGTTGTTGCCGTTTCCTCCCGTCCACTCGAGTGGCTCCACGTCGGCCCACGGTTTTCCTCGAGCTGCCTTGACCAGGTTCTGCCGCAGCCGCGGGCTCTGCACGCTGTTGAACCACGTCGTGCCTCGCCAGACGGCCTTGGGAATTTTCTTGTTCCAGGGAACCCCGCGCTCCAGATCCGTAATGGCCGCCGCCGCCCGACCCATGGAGCCGATAAAGGGCAGGTTCCACGCCCAAAAGGAGAAGTGCGGCATGAGAAAGGACCGCGCGTTGGGGTCTGTGGGCCGGAAGGACGGGTCGGCGGGGCGGCTGTACGTCCAGGCTGTCCCGAACGGCTGGTCCTGGAAGTTGAGCGTGAAGATGGTGTCGGGGATCGGCTCGGGCGAGGTGAGCAGCGCCCGGTGGAGTTGGTGCAGCGCTGCGGTGCGTGACTGATGGCCCATTGGGTTGGTTAGGTAGGGAGTCGGCAACACAATGTACTACCGGTAGAATTGGAAAGGGTGCGGCTGCTTTGCTTACGTTCAACATTTCTTGCGAGAGATCTGATCTGCGCTGCGCGTGTATTATGTATATCTGTTTTTCAGACTGCCGTGAGCTGTCGCCTTTTCTTCCTCTGCTTATTGTGTCTCTGGAACAGCGGGCGTGCATAGGTACCTGTCCGTCCTTGATCCTCCCTTGAAGAGGGCCCAGATCGCCCGTCTGCTTCACCTGGAAAGGGCCCTCGGCCACGGCATCGTCAATCTCCTTTGTCAAGCCGGGGAATGTGGCCTTGCACTGCTCTTCGCTAAGCGACAGATTGTTGAGCACCTCTGGTGGTGGTGGTGTTGGCGGTTGCCGGTGTTGTTGCTGCTTAGAGGATGTCACCGACGACGACCGTGCTTGCCCGGCGTTGGACCCGGATGATGATGACGAGGATGGCGTCCTTGAGACGAACACTAGGCAGTAAATCCCTAGACAGAATCCTAGGAGGAGCGTGATCTGTCTTAGCCGGCGGTTTGCCCTCCTCCGATTAGGCCGTGGCAGCAATAACCTCTTGTCGCCCATGATGGCGCCCCCGACGACTCCTGCGAGTCCTCGCAGGTAAGATTTTGAAAGTACGAATAGTTGCTGTAATTAGTAGGAGGGGCAGAGCTACATGTCACCATAGGCTGCTGGAGCTTGAAAAAACAATGGAAAAGGGTCCAGTCCGGGCTGCGATGGATACAAGTCGAGACTGGATTTCCTGGTATGCATCATGGCATCTAGGTATCTTTCTATATTGTCTGCCTACCGTTGGCTACTTTGTCATGCATGGCCAGATCGAGGGTATGTGAGGGACATAACAGGGGGGGATTGGGGGAATGCAACGGGGTGTTGGATGCTAGACTCCGGGGGGACTGGTTCCGAAGCTCTACGCAGTCTCTGGTGATTTGGCCTTTTCTCTTGCCAATTCGGCTCGGACGGGAGCCCAAAAGGAATTGGAGTTGGACGCCGGGGCGTGGTTGCACGAATGGATGGCCGGCAAAAATGGCAACGTAGTAGTTCAAGTTGTTGAGCTTCCTTCGGGATGGTGATGAAACGTTTTGACAGGAGAGGATCAAATACGGCAAAGCATGGATAATTGGATTCTTTGCCATCTCCATGTGAAACCTGGACAATGGCGTGGTAGGAGTAGCGCCAACAAGTTTCGACTCTAGGGATACAGTTTCTAGACTACTACGATAGTAGTTCCTCCTACCTAGTAGTATAATCATTCATCATTATTAAGCAACTCTAATTCGAGCCTTATGGTAGGAATGCCGGAACGAATACACAGTACAACACTAAAATACATTATGCCGGGCACCATAACCCGGTACGCATGCGCAGGACAATCTGAGCAGGGGACAAGCACTGCTCAGTGAGGCTTTGAGCTGTGAACAAACAGTGATAGCGGGTTATCAGCTTAGGGCGACGCTTCCTCATGCCTCAAGGGGAGCTTTGATTTGATAGCCCTGGCAGTGTGTCTGATTGTATTCGCGCACTCGTTTTGTTAGAGGAGATGGGAGATGCCTTGTCGATCTAGTCAAGCAACGCTAATTCTGCTAGGCGTGCCTGGTAGAAGGCGGAACACCACAAAAGTAGTTGATTCTATGGGAACAGCCTCTCACCTTGTATGGACTACATCCATGGATGTCAATAGAGGCAAGCCATTCTGCCACCAGGGCAGTAATACCTGGATCAGTAGCTTGGGCTGTTTCTTTGAGGGAAACATAAGGTATGCTGGGTTGTCAAGTCTACCTACCTACTATAGCAGCTAAAATGTCATACTGTAACCCTCAACTCCAGTCACCCACCGCTCTTCAACCTAGCAACTCTAAACCGCGCCAGGCCCGCGGGTTCCTCAAGTTCAACTGACCCGCTTGTCGTGATTTCGCTCGGCAGACGTTCTGGCAGACGCGAGGGGAGCGGCGTCGACGCATCCGTCCCCTCCCAATGCCTAGCCTCCCTGGGCAGCGGCTGCCACCAACCATCGCCCGTCCTCGCGTGCCACTGGGCGCTGCAAAGCTCCCACAGCCGGCTCGTAGCCCGCTTGTAGGCGAAGCGTTCGTCCTCGCCGGTAAACGCCGCACCAGCCTTGTTGAAATCAATCATCTTTGTGCTCGGCTCAGCCGTGCCAAAGTCCGAGTCCTGCTCCGGGTTGTACTTTGAATTCCGCGACGCCGAGTACGTTGAAATATTGGGACGAAAGGGAGCTGTTTGGTCCTGGTAGACCTCGGCAATGGTTTCCGAATACGTTGCATCCATGCCGTGATCCTCTCTGGCAGCTGCGGTATGCTGGCTCTCGTTTAGTGTTGGTGCCGCTTGTTTTCTCATCTCCGGGAAGAAGAGGCCATCGGGGCCAACCTCTGCTCTGATGACCAGTTTGCACCGCGCCTCGTAAAGTGCGTCGAGGAGCGTAATGAATCGTCGTGCCTCATTCTTCATGGCGATACTCAGGACTGGAACTTGATCGATAATAAACGTGTGGAAGTGTGATGCGAGAGTAATATAGTCCGCCGGCCCTAATGAGTCAACGAGCTCGGCAAACGTCCAATACGACACGCCGTCATGTTGCCGCGGAATATCGACCCGCCTCCCATATACTATCACGGAGGATGGACGCCAACTGAGGTCTTGAATATCTCCGTAGCTCGGATTCGCGTTGCTAGCCAGCAGTACCGTCCTTGCCCATGTTTCCACATTATCGGATAGTATGAAATACTTGGCCGGCCTCTGAACTACGTTTTCGAGTTCTTGTTCTCGACCGTCGCCATCTGCCGTTGACACAGAAATGCTCTCTGCTTCGGAGTGCCCCGGAACAGACTCAGGAAAGGGAATTCGAATTGATTCGATCTGCTTGACAAAGCAGGCCTCTCTCCTTCTCCAATCTCTAGAGCCTTCCATATGCCAGAAATCACACCGAGCTTTGAGTACTTCTAGAAAGGCGGCAAAATCACTGGTGTGACCAAACAACTCGCCGCCGGACCGGTTCTTGCCTATGCCCAGAACTCTGTCGACCAGGCCACCAGTAGCCGGCGGCGAGTAATGACCTCCGGTGGCCTTTTCAAGCTCCTCGGGCATCCGATTAGACGATGCCACGAGCACACCGCCGAGCTGAAAGAAGGCAATGAAGAGATTGTTCATGATTTTGCTTGCAGCCCTGTCGGGAAGCTGGAACTCGTCAAGGAATAAAATCGGAGAGGTTTCCACCATTTCTTTTGCCATCCAGAGAAGTGAATACTCTGGGTTATCGGCCGAGAAAAGGGGGTGAGACTTTCGAAATTCTTCCAGTCTCGCGAACGCATGAAGCATGAATGTGTTGAAATGCCATCTCTTCTTGCGGCGATTAGGCAAGCCCTCGGCTAGCAGGTCGAGAAGCATGGATTTGCCTATGCCTACCTCGCCAAAGAGAAACAGACCCTTTGGGGAGTCAACAGTAAGCGCAGCTTGGTGGCTCGTCAAGACCCTTGCCAGGGCTAGGCTGTCCTTTCCAGCATCCTTCTGAAAGAAACGGGCAAAGAGCGGATTGCGTCGGATGGGATGAGCGGGAGAGGCGAGCTCTTCCCCGACCGGCCGCTTGCGCACATCGACGGCCTCTGCGACCTGACGGAGCCTGCTCCTGTACTCGTGGGAGGGTGTGTAGTCCTTGAGTCTCAGGTACACCTTCTGTAAGTGGTGGACTAGACGGTACTGGGCCGCATCTGGGCTGTAGACACCCGTCGCAACGAGAGATGTGTACTTGACAAACGGGTCAGTGATGGTAAGGGAGGTCGCTGCCCGATTCATGGCCCAGTTGTCCAATCTACCTGCGCCAGATGAATGGATATGGAAGGTTGAAGGAAACAAAGAAATTGACAGGCTGACACAATAGAATAGTGCCACCGGGTTCCTTGATACGTATCCTTCACATCAGCGGTGTCCTGGTTATCAGCGGGGCGTTCCGCAATGCCGTGGATGTCATGTCATTCAGGTGCTCCTAAATAGTACTGTATCCGTTGCGCACAAGTCAAACCCAACATCGAGATCAAAGTGACGATTCGGCCGTTCCTGATGAGGTTCTGTATGGAGTGTCTTGTATACGTTGAAAGTTTATTGTGCGCGATCCTCGTCAAGAAATTGTCTCTTGATCGAAACTTGGTCCTCGATGATTGGATCATCAGGAGGGAAAGTGCAAAAATGGAAGGAAAAAGGGATCTGTCAATGCAGCGCTTGTTGAGCTGTTTGTGGTCGTGCGTCTGCCAAGTGCCTTGTGGATCTGGGTGGGGCGCATCTTCCATCGGAAGCTAGGGGGCTAGAGTGCGCGTGGAGATCGCGGGCAGCCAGTAGCAAGGCCCAAAATTTTGGCCAAGGTCAACACAGTCCAATCGATGAAGGCTTCGTCACTCATGCTTTTTGTGCCTTCTGCCCGCCGTTGAGAAGAGGTCGTTCTGACCTGTCCCCGGTCACATTGCAGCTTCCTTCTCCGCCTCCCTCTGGTCTTGACGATATCCCATCTACAATTATTATCCCGCCAGCATTCGCGACTTATTTCTTCGAGCTGGTGATGGTATACTGAGCATTGCCGTTGCTGGCATTTCTTAGCTCGACGACGTCTCGAGGGTTGCGGAGATTCGACAGCCGGGAGGAACGAAATCATCGCATTGCCGGCGAAAATGTTCTCACCCGCGCTTCAAGAAGGCGGGCCTGCAAAAGGCACGCGAAGCAGTCGCCGCCGCCAGCGACCTGCCGGTTCCGATGCCTCCCTTCAGCAACAACCCAAGGCGAAGCGCCAGCGGGTGCCCCTGTCGGAGAGCACATTCCAAAATCCCGATGCTGCGCCCGAGATGTACGAGGTCAAGCCCGACAAGATCGACCTACTTGGGAAGCGCGACGGCATTGAAAATATCGTACCTCCGCGAAAGGAGCTCAGCGTCCGGTCCAAAAAACCCAAATTGGGCGAGAGAACGAGCAAAGGAGACGGGAGCATTATTTTGGTTTGCCGGCCCAATCTTTGCTCGCTTGACTTTGAAAAGCGACCAAGCTGACCGTGTTTATCTAGACCTCGAATAATGCATTCACAGTAAGCAAGCTGCCGGCGCTTCCAGATAGACTCCGCGCAGACGCGCAAAGTAAGACCAATTCCTTGTGCTCTCCGCTTGATCAACACTTGGCTTGACTCCTTGCTGACTCGTCCCAAAAGGTCGACAACACGGCGAGATCTACGCCTCAAACGGCTACGCCCTGACTCTCACCCATACACATGCTTTCGTCTGGCCCTATACTTCGACCGCGGCCTCTCCCGAGACTTTCATATTCACGCTTCCATACCCCTCAAAACATGCCTCCGATCCTCTCCCGCTCGGTTCCCTGGTGGCGCCGTCATCATCTTCGGACGAGCCCGGCTTGGTCATTGTCATGCCAGTTAGCGGCAAGATTGCCTACTGGGAATCCATTTCCAGTGCTGCGACGCTCGACTTCATCCGCCAACAACGGAGCGGAGTTGAGGATTCTATATACGGAATGTTCTCGGGAGAGCACGTCATCCAGGTCGTCAATGCCGAATCTGCCGGATTCGTCTTGGTATTCAGCAGCGGGAGATTAGCATACATGAGCGTAAGGGATACCCATGGGCGGCCTGGCATCTCGGTCCAATTCCTTCGGAGTGGTTTGAGCAGCAACGCCCTAGGATTTTTTGGTAGCATCCGGAATGTGTTGAGCGCCTCGATCTCCCGGGGAGATATCGCTGCTGCGCGGGCCGGTTACGGATCCAAAGTTGGAGAGCGAGTTGTCGTCACGGCAACGTCCAAAGGAAAACTTCACTCCTGGAAGCTACACCGCGGTGGTCACCATGAATTCTTGGCGGAATCCGATATTCGCGAGCGATTGCTCGATGCGATCCTTGAGGCGGATCCTGCTGTGGTCAATTTTCCACGGGATTCGTTCGAGGTCCTTGATTTTGCCTTTGTACCTCGGGGATTAGATCAGAAATATGTCGACGCGAGTCGCCTCAGCGAAGCGCTGACGCACGAGGACGACTCCTTGCAGCATATACTACTTCTGGTATCGTTCTCCAAGCAACATCAGGCCAGACACTCACTTGTTGAGGTAGTCATCGCCTCGGAAGGCCCAAGAGTGGGATCGGTTAGGCCGTTGACCTCGTATACCACCCCCGTCCGAAAGACAGCTCCTGAGAAGCCCCGGATCTATCTTCCGCGTCCCGGCCTCGTCGCGGTTATCGTCTTTGATCGGGCCGTGGTTGTCGCGTCCATGGTCTCACCGCCCGATAATCCGGATTCGCAGCTGCAGGAGGATACTCACACAATCCCCCCTAGTTTCGAGGATGTTATCGACTTCAGGGACGAAGAGTCTTTACAGGTTGTTGGTTCGGGCGTCGAAGAGCCCACTGGGAACGGACACTTGCAAGACGAGCTACGGAGTGCACACCGCCACAAGGCAAAAAATCCAACCGCCGTGCTGCTGCTGCAAGGGATAGGAACCGTCAGGCTCGCAGTCACCGATATCGACCGATTTGCGAGCGAAAAGCCCCCAGAGGTGACCGCGAAGAGCAAGCTGGAGCAGGCTGTGTTCTTTGGGTTGAAGGATGACAACCCATTGGTTTTCCAGGGAAGGAGAGCTCTCCAATTCTCCAACGAAGAGATTGGGAATGCGGCAATCGAACTGAGCCATGAAATCGTGAGCTCAAAAACACCTTTCATCCCGAACCTCCCGGCTTCCCTTGAAAACAACATGAAGAGCAGGATGGCGTACCTGGACGCCATAATCATCTACCTCAACGCGGCCAGAGTGAAACTGGATACGCGGACGAGATGGATGTTGCTCTACAACGCGGAGAAGATGGCGGTCGCGACTTGGATCTGGAAGAAGCACGAACAGTTCCTCGCAGAACGCCCCAAGGGCGACAAAAAGACGCTGATCTCCGAGACGGCGGACTACATCCACGAGAATCAAAAGACAGAGCTAAATACGGCTGTTGGTCAGGTGGATCCTGTCCGTCATTGGTTCATCTACGACGTGTGGCGGTTGGACATCTTCGTTGCCTGGGCTTACCAGATCATCAAGTACCAGTTCACCGAGCAGCTGGCAGATGAAGCGGGCCTAAATCGTATGATCTGGGAGGCTATCACTGTCAACAACGGAGCGCTTTTTGAGGCGCGCCAGTTTCGGTTTACGAGAGCGAGTCAGTACGGGATTGACCCTAAGCATGTCCCAAGCGGCGATGCTGCACTCGAACCGTGGACTGCTACCCATTTTATCACGAATAATTCCAAGCGATTGGTCGAGTTTTGCCACCAATGGCTCGACAGGTACTGGAAGGAGCCAGCAGAGGATAAGTCAATCGACCATCGCCTCATTAATTCTATTCGGCTCCTTCTGCCGTCCTTGACGAGCCAATATCTCACCTCCCTGACCGAATACTCCGCCTGGGCGGTGCTGAGCGATGACGCGCAGGCCCAGGAGCGAGGCAAGCTCTATCAGCAAATCTACCAGGATGATGCTTATGCCAAGATTCTGAGGTTGAAGGATTTCGACCTGTGGGATGAGGCCACCGAGCTTGCAAAGGAGTTAAGGGCATTTGATGCCCTTGCGGAGGTTGTGGTCCAGCAGATCCTAGTACTAGAGCAGGCTGCGGCGGAGGGCAACACAACAGACAGCGCCGCGCAAGAAAAACTCGCTCAAGCTCGAGTAAAGAAGCTGCAATTGGGCCATTTATTCGATGAATACAAAGAGGACTTTGCGTTCCGCGCTTATCATGTTCTTCTGGAGAGCAGTGGCGTTCAGTCCGTCCTGGACTTTCCTTTCGACAAGAATGGCTACGGTACCAGATTCCTCCGGACCAAGCCTGAACTTGCCAAAATATCCTGGATTAACGACGTCCAGAGAGAGAAGGACATTGACCACGCCGCCGAAACCCTGCTTAATCTAGGCCTCACCCGCGAGCAGCAGATCTGGAATAAGAAGATCGAGCTCAGCCTGAGCAAACTAGCACTCCTTGCTGAGGAAGCCGAACAGTCTACAAACGGCGATGGCGCCAGCAGCGCTCCGTCTGAGAGCGAAGAAAGGATCGGTGTCCACCTCGAAAAGATCGACCAAGCCCTGGAGCTCATCAAGATCCAAGATGACCTGTACAGCCAAATTCGACCTACCATCCAAGGGGGTGTCGACGAGTCAGCTGAGTTGGAGCTGGCCCTGAAGGAGCACGGCACCCTGATCCCCAAGAAGCAAAAGGGTCTGCAACAAATCTTTGAGACTGCCATGTCCCGCCTGCTCAAGCACGAAGCATTGGAGCCGCCTACCCTGATTGATCTGCTGACTTTGACATCGCTCGACGTCAAACACTTCGACGCCATCGGCGACCAATTTCTACTCGCCCTCAAAGTGGCCAGGTTTGGCCTCAAGGACGAGGATCGCGCCAATGCGGAGCGACTGATTTGGCGGCGATGCTTCATTCGCGACGATTGGAAGGTCGTCAATGAGACCAACATGAAGGGGGACCTTGACCAGCTCGCCGCCGTGGGGGATACGACCACCTACCGTGCTCTGTTTGCGGTGATTGACGAACGTGAGTTACTTCATCCTGCCTTAGCAATTTCCATCCCAATCTCCACAAAGCTATAATCATGACTTCTAACCCTTTTCTCACAGAACACTCCGACGAAACCTTCCACCCGTTTGTGAAGCCCTCGGAGGCCCTCGGCGTCTATGCTGAGTCGCTCGATCGTCGCTTCGACAGCATGGACGACGGGTCGCGCAGTAAGCTGCTCGAATCGATGAGGTGGGAGGATGCCCGCCTCAAGACCTTTATCGACAAGCACCAGCTCGAAGCCTGGTACCGCACCACGAAGGACTGTGCCGAGAAGACGGTCGCCGCTGCGTATGACCAGCTGACGGCAGAGAAGCAGCAGGCGCCGGCGCTGTCGCCGGCGAACAGGAACGGAAACGGATACGGCGCTCCCAAAGTGAGGCTGTTTGCTTCGACTTCTACTTCTCACGGAGGTCAGGACCGTGATGGTGCTGGTGGGAGTGGGAGACGTTTGTTTAGGGTTTGAGGGCGAATGGGGTAGCACGGATGGGGTATGACGGTTCTTGTTTGGTGTGGGCTTTTGTTTTTTCTTTGTCCTTTTTCCTCTCTCGGATTCATGAAGAATGGGATCCAGGGAGGAAAAATGGGTTGGCGAGTGAGAGGAGGGTTTCTGTCCTCTGCCTGAGGCAACCTGACGCTCGCTCTGGATCAACCTTTCTCTATTTGCATTGGTCTCTAGATGCAACACGGGCGCTGTTTGTTTCCTTCTCGTGAGCACTTAAAATGTACAAGTACTTGTGATATAGCCATTTTCCTTTTTATTTGGGATGGTTTGTTAATGATGACATGTCATGGAAACTAAGCAATGGCTCGGTGGGATAAGACTCGCTCTCAATATCGGAGGGGTAGAAATTGCATCTTGTTCACTCACCCCTGATGGTGTTCTGGTCATTTTATTATTGAATCCAACCTGTCTACATACTATCTGGTGTTGAAGATTCGTGCTTCAGATTGCGGCGGAGAGATCGATCCCTCGGCAGGAACGCGGTACGTATTGCTAAGGCACGCAAGAGGCATGAGGGAAGATGGCGAATCAGGATAGCGAGCTGAGATATAGGGGAGCAGGGTTGAAACTCTCAGAAGCAAAGATTACACTCAACGAACTTCCCGCTCGCACAGTAGCGACTTGGCGTTCAAAGGACGGCTTTCCGCATACGGAGTTAGGCACATCAAATCAATGAATTAAGGCAGGTAGTGTATGTACGCTTGATGATTGCCGTCATGCAAGCTCAATGCCACGCTGATTGATTGGTTTGACACTCTCAGCCGTTTGTTGTTCCAACTTTGCGCTGCTCGCAAGCTGTAACATCGATACTGCAGCCACAACGCTGGCTCCAGGCTACATCTCGTTGTCTAATGATTTTAAGGGTCTCTCCCTCTCCCAATTCAGCTGCTGCGAAGTTGCGCCTTGTTTATTACTCTACAGTGCCGTTAATTACGAAGCGAACTTGATGTACAGGATCAGGTATTGTACAACACCTTAGTGACGTTAAGTTCTCGTTGACCTTAACCGCTAACATTGTAGTCAACGGTAGCCTTGCTGTCGGAACTAGCCGTCTCGCCTCCCACATTGCGGCTGCGTCAATGCGGTCAGCAGTGCGTGCTGAATACGGAGTACCAAACGTTAGCGCTAACGTTGAATGTATCTGTACATTACAGTACTGAGTGTATGTACGGAGTGTGTACGAGGGCACGGATACTCATTACTCCGTACAATACTGTACTGTACAGGCGAGTTGAGGCGAACAGTTCACTGGCTTTCGTCTCATCAGAGCGGTGGTAAAGGTGATAGACAGGCTCGGTTGGGTAGTCGCTGAGGTTTGCTATTGCTATGTCTGTCATCTCAAAGTGCCCTGGCAGCATAGAAGCTGCATTCGAGAACAAAGAATGAGCTATGTATCGTTAGGTAAAATTATGTACTATGTATTTTACATACATAACCTCTGGCGTTACCCCAGACTCGTGGGCAATGGCAAACTCCACATGTGTGGAATCGAAACGGGAGCCCAGCCTTGGGAATAACGCTCTTGACGGTTCTTGATCTGCCGCTAGCGAGCCCAGGCTGTACGATTTGCGTGCCGTCGGTCGCTATCCCATAATTCCATGACTTTGCTTTGATGAGCATCGTTAATTATGGCAACACGAGAGAACAATCCGAGTCCCGGGGCTGACGTTACAATACAGTATGACTGCCGGCATAACTGCTGTATGTAAAGATAAGTATCAATACGAAGTACATACTCCGTAGAGGCACTTGAGTGAGGATGGAGCATTGGCGGCTGAACCCTTTGTTGCGTAAAGTTCTCATGCCTTTGGCCGCTTGTCTACCTCTGCTAGCTGAAAACCCAGCTACAGTACGTGTACGGAGCAACGAGGCTATGTCGTCCATCTAGGTAGCCTACTGTAGTAAGGAGTAAGGACGTGTGCAAAGTTCAAGATTGTACAGTTGCAATGGTCTGTTTGAAGTGGGGGCAACGCTCTCGTTGGAGTACCTATGCACATAAGCATAGGACGAGCACAGAGCAGCAAGAGATCTGGGCACTCAAAACCGGCTGACAAGCACCAATCGAGGCATGGGTTCGCCACGACTTCCACCTCTGTTTCTGTGGACGTGATTGGAAAATCCCAAGGGGGGATACGCCTATGATTATCCCGAATCTCTGCTTGAGTTGCTCTTCTCCAATCCAAACCAGTTCAGCCGCCGACGCGTTACGCACATCTTATCTTGTTATGGGCACGGCCCGGCACAGAGCAGCGAGTGCAGTGGGATTGACGGTGAACTGGGCCAACTGGCAGACAGCGGGAGGCCAAGGACTCGCTAACTTGCTGGGCGGGCCGTCCACAACAGCTGTTAGCCACTGGCGGATTTCCGGGATTGGATTGGCTGGATTGGCCAGGCCTTCAACGCCCCTTGCCCTGTTCGCCTGGCTCCACTGCGACGGGCCTTCCCTTCTCCCTTCTCTCGCCTTTTCCTCCTTCTCCATTTTGTATTCCGCCACACCGACCATCCGCCAAATCCTGTGTGCCTTTGCAAAGGCCACAGAACGACGAGTCGTGTCCGGGCGATTTGATTGTACTGCAAGAGCGAAACTGCGGGGCCCGCCAATCGGGTCTGTCCATCGGGGAGCCTTTGAGGCGTGGATTGCCCGTCTTCGGTGAAGGAACGGCTGAAGCACCGCGAGTGAAGTCACGTCTCGAGGCTCAACTTGCCCATACCATTCGCATATCCCACGCGGCTTGCACCGACAGCAACCGGACCGAGAGGCATCGTAGCACGATTTGTCTGCTTCGCAGCCGTCGCTGAACGACCACAGTGTATGACAGCAACGCAACCGCCTCATGCGAACAGCTGAGCTCCGCCCACCGCCTGTTGACAAGACCATCTGAGGCATTGTCCGAACTTGGGTGAGTTGGCTCGTGTGGCCTCCACCGCAGTTTAGATTCCCCCAACCCATCTCCCAAGGCTCCCAGACCCATCCCAGCATTCTTTTGATGCATCAGTGGATTGTTCACAGGCCAAAATATCTCCATCCATTTTACTCAAACGCATCACGACCGCCTTGACCCGCATAGCTGTTCATTTGAAATTTGTCCGACGATTGTGATGTCTAACTAATCCGGACAGATTTGTTTGCAGATATTCTGGGACGCGTCGATAATCAAAGTTCCGTCGCTTGCGCCCAGTCTCCAAAATGGCTTCATCATCGTCGAACGTTGTTGGAGTGCATTATAGAGTGGGGAAGAAGATCGGAGAGGGCTCCTTTGGCGTCATCTTTGAGGGAATGAACCTTCTCAATAGCCAGCAAGTGGCTATCAAGTTTGTACGTCGTCTGGCGCAAGCTCGTCTCTTCGCACAATTGGCTCCGCCTACAGGTGCTAACATCTTATTACCTTGCAGGAACCCAGGAAAAGTGATGCTCCTCAACTGCGAGATGAATACCGGACATACAAGATTCTCGTCGGTTGCCGTGAGTCTGCCCATTGAGCTCTCTGAGAAACGGCTGATGTGTTCTCTAACCACATGACTCTGCAGCTGGCATCCCAAACGTGTACTACTTCGGCCAAGAAGGGTTGCACAACATCCTGGTCATTGACCTGCTTGGCCCCTCGCTCGAAGATCTCTTTGACCATTGCAATCGGAGGTTCAGCTTGAAAACTGTTGTCATGGTTGCAAAGCAGATGGTATGTGCTCCTTGTTGTGGCTTTGTTCGCTCGTCGGTCTAATCTGACTGCTTCTCGCAGTTGTCGCGTGTGCAAACCATCCATGAGAAAAACCTGATCTACCGAGATATCAAGCCAGACAATTTTCTCATCGGGAGGCAGGGTACTAAGACTGCCAACGTTATCCATGTCGTTGATTTTGGCATGGCGAAGCAATACCGAGATCCCAAGACGAAACAGCACATCCCCTACCGCGAGCGCAAGTCCCTCTCTGGAACCGCGCGCTATATGAGTATCAACACACATCTCGGCAGGGAGCAGTCAAGGCGAGATGACCTGGAGGCATTGGGCCACGTCTTCATGTACTTCCTCCGGGGCGGTCTTCCTTGGCAAGGTCTTAAGGCTGCAACGAACAAGCAAAAGTACGAAAAGATTGGCGAAAAAAAGCAGACGACCGAGATCAAAGACCTGTGCGCAGGCTTCCCCGAGCAGTTTGCTCATTACCTCACCTACGTGCGCAACCTCGGATTTGAAGACACCCCCGACTACGACTACCTGCGGGACCTTTTCACACAGGCACTCAAGGAAGCGGGCCTTGTGGAAGATGGCGAGTACGACTGGATGAAGAAGCAGGACAAGAAGGGGGACTGGAACCGCCAGACTCTGCACGACCCAAACGCCCGGCCCGGGGCCTCGGCCATGGAGATCCACGGCAACTCGCGGGGGGCCACCACTCGTCACCAAAGCGAGCAGCCAGCCCCGGTTTTGACGCAGGGTCGTTTAAACGCGACGCACCCCCCGCTGCCGAGGCCGGTGATGGGCCAGCCGCAGCAGAAGCAACAAGGGCGGCCAAACGGCCCCGGATTGGCAAGCCCACGCCCGGCAGTTGGGGGTTACATGCAAGCGGCTCCTACACCAACAGGCTCGAGCAGCGCCCAGAATCTACCGCAGCGGCCAATGACGCATTCGCCCGCCCTCAACAGCCCGACCCAGCAGCAGAATAACCCTCAGCCGCAACCGACGGGCTTCCAGAAGTTCATGAAGACTCTATGCTGCGGTTAGAGGAGCTTGATGCTTGTCTTGACCTGATTTGGTGTCCTGTCAGGTAAGAAATCGAAGCCAACCTACAAAACATGCAACCAAAAACCAGCTTGCTAAGCTAAACGAAGTAGCGCGAGGCGGCGACGGGGGGTTGCGCTCTATATAGAGGCTTCCTGAGACGAGCGCGGCACGATCTGCCTGAAACATGCGTTTTTTTTTGCTTTTTGCATGGGACATAGAGGGTGCCTTCTTTCCATAGCGGTTTCCGGCACATGTGACGCCTCCTTGGACATCATCATTACGATCATGATAATTCGGTTCTTTCGGTTGCGGAGCCCCCCACCTTTCTTCTCTCTCCGGCCTGGACCCCTACCTGCTCGCTGGTGGCCCTGTCGAACGGGCAAGCGCATGCCGGGGAAAGGCTGCTATTCTCTTGGGCTTGGCAACGGGGGAAAGACAACACCACACACATGGCGATTGTTGTTTGGGACGTTCTTCCAAGCCGTGCCTCCGCAGATAACTCTACCTCATACCTATCTACCTACCTAATAATCAGCTCTATGCATCTCCCAATATCATTGCGACCATGAGAAAGGAAGAATTCGAGACCCTCCGCTCGCAACAAAAGACGGCATTGTAGACAGGCGTGGTTCGGCTTCTTACTAGCCTTGGCCGCGATTGGTCGGCCTGGATTGGATTGGACGAGGTGTCACATTTCTTTAAGCATCATGTTTTCCTTTGTCACGGATGATTGTGTCGCCTTTTTTTTTTCACTTTTTTTCCTTGTTCAGTTTGTTCTCATTTCAGGTTTCCGCCCTCGGCCGAGAATACATAATGACAATGGAATGCTTCTGAAGGTGGGCCTTACCGGAACGGGCTACAAGAGCGGTGCAGCCGTTGCTGTTGTCAGTGTTCTCGAAGGATCATTGTTGGTAGTCATATACCTCTTTCCTCTTGGTCTTAGGCACGGGGCAGCGGTTGCTTGGTTTCGTTATTACCGCCTTTAGTGTATGGTCGTTTCTTCGTTGTGCTTCAGATTTGTTTATGATGTGTCTTTTGCAAGGGCAGGCTGCCAGTCCTCAGCACTGGATACAATCGACGATGAATGGTGGGTTGGGGATGGACGGCAAGAAGGACCGGAGAAGAGACATGGAAACAGCCCGAGAACTCCAAGGCAGGAATGCCTGCTGTAGCGCCACACTATTTGATGAGGCACGGCATTGCATAGAGAGAAACAAAAGAAGAAGGATATAAATGGGGAGGAATAGAACGCATGGAGAAATTTCAACATTGGTGATTGAAAACGCCTGCTTGGTCCTGCCCTATCCCTGGATGAAAGAGATGTACACTGATGCTCCACTTCGAGGACGCCAGCCGTTCATAGCCAAGCATGTGCTATCACTACAGCGCCCAAATCCGTAACCATTGTATCTCATACATAATCGCGTTGGAAACAAACTCCCTTTTCCCAAACCCTTGGAGCTCCGCTCAGCTTGAGCCCAGAGAGCATCGTGCTTCCCTTCATATTGTCTACGTGTAGCAGCGGACCATCCAGAAAAACTCCACATCAAGCAGCATAAAATGAGTATCATTTTGAGCCCCTCGTAACTGCTCTATGTAAGCTTCTGCTTAATGAAGAACGACCGCAGATGCGACAGCTGCCAGGCGCACGTCACACCCAGGACAGTGAGCTGGATCAAAATCCACCGGACGACACGGGCATTGGTGCTCTCGGACTGGTCCCGGAATTCAGCCTCTCGCTCCTGCGGTAGGGAGTAAACAATCGGCGTTAGCATCTTTTTCATCTTCCTTTGTGTCAATCTCCTGGTCGCAGGGGCTTGTCAAACTTACCCGCTGGAAAACCTGTTCTCTCCTGATGTCGTTCAACCTTGCGTTCAGATCGCGCACGCGTGACGCCAGATCTTGCATCTTGTCCTTGTCGGACCCCTCGATGACGCTGGTCTCGCCAATGGCTACGTCGAGGTTCAGGCGGATGCCGCCGTTGGGGGAAGACAGCGAGAGCCAGTTGGACCGGCCGCTGTTGGACGACGGAGTAAAGCAGATCTTGTGGTCGCCTGCCTCGGCGGCCGTAAAGGTAAACTTGCCCGAGGCACCGCCGCGTTGTGAGACGACGCGGTGGTCGTTGTCGAAGATTTCCTGTAGGGTAGGAGGGTCAGGGAGATTCCTGTCTAAGGCGGCGTATTGGCCTGAAAGGGGAACGAGAACCTACATCAACGGAGATGTAGATGCTGATGCCATCGTGCTTTGCCCACGCTTGCCGGTGGTCGTCCCATTCCTCGGCCGTGTAGTGGCCCACCACCAGAGTGTCCTTGGGAAGCTCCTCATAGAAACACTTGGGCGAAGTGACATCGATGTAGAAGTAGAGGGCCCGGGCCATGGCGGCCAGCGATAGCAAAGGGAGAAGGCTCCTCATCTTGTCGACCGGTATCGCCTCGTTCCGCGGGGGACACAGCGGAGTTCGTCGGTCTGGGTTAAGGTGCGCAAGCGCAGGACAGGGACAGTGAGGACGCTTCAATAATTCGGGATGCTGCGCAGTGCGAACACAGGCGCGACCCAGAAAGGTGCCACGTTCTGGAAAACTGGGCCCAACACAGCGGCAGGTCACGTGTGGCCCCGGTGCAATTCAGCCATTCAGCGGCCTAGAGGACTTTTTTAGGTGGTCTTGCACCTGCAAACCCGCCAAAAAGGTCGTTGATACAGAGGCGAACGGAATCCGACGCGAATTCCACGTCGCCCAAACGAGTCCTATACCTCTTCGTCATTCGTGAAGTGGAGTATAAGTTTCTCTCAGATGTGTATTATATCGCGAGACTCGGTTTCAATCTAGGCTGGTCGCTGCCGATTGATTTTGATTGATTTTGCGCTGCGACCGCTGCATCTCCACTTTGCGCCGCTCTCAGACCGTGACGCGACCGGGCGAGACAACCCCCACACACCATGACTTCCAACGATCTCCGCGACGTTTTAAACCTCCCTTCTGAACATTCTCCAGCGCCTCGGCCATCCAAAAAGCAAAAGACCAGCACCCCGCGACCCAATCTCAAGGGACTTGCCCGTGAGGTTCAAAGTCTTGGCGGCGATAACCCAATCGCAATTGTCCCGGAGGTTTCCTTTTTCAAGAAGCGCCGGTTTGCGAGTCGAAAGCCTGCTGCTCGGTGGGAGCTAAAGGCATTTACGAACTCGGCGCGCGGGGATAATGGCGCCCTCGTGTTACGGCACTGGAAGCGGAAGACGGAGGACGGCCCGCCCGGCGGTCCCACGCCGGACGCCGAGCCCGGCGCCGGTGGGGACCGGCCGGGCGAGCAGACGAAGGATGACCAGCCAGAGGATTCGGCCTTCGCCAAGTTTAACGTGCAGGTTACGGTGCCACAATACAATCAAGACCAGTACGAAGCCAATCTCCAGAGTAAGGACTGGACAAAAGAGGAGACAGATTACTTGCTAGAGATGGCGAAGGAATACGATCTGCGGTGGCCCATCATCTGGGACCGGTACGAGTTCACACCGAAACCGCCCCAGGAAGACGAGGCCAATGGCACTAGTACGGCCGTCGTGCCCGTCTCTAAGCCGCGGACGATGGAGGACCTCAAGGCCCGCTACTACGAAGTTGCGGCCAAGATGATGGCAGTGCAGAAGCCTGCGCAGTACATGACCCGGCCAGAGTTTGAGCTCTACGAGATGATGCAAAACTTCAACCCCGAGCAGGAACGGAAACGGAAGGAGTTTGCCCTCAACACCATGTCGCGTTCCAAGGACGAAGCGCGCGAGGAGGAATCCCTCTTGCTCGAGATCAAACGCATACTTTCACGCACCGAGCGCTTCAACGAGGAGCGCCGTGAGCTGTACAACCGCCTCGACTACCCAGCCACCGACTCCGACATCAACTCCTTTAAGAGCTCAGCCGGCCTGCAGGCCCTGCTCCAAAACCTCATGAGCACGGACAAGTCCAAAAAACGAAAAAGCATCATGGGCACCGGCGAGGGCGTCAGCCCGGTACCGGGCAGCGCGGTCTCGGAGAACGGCCCGGGCGGCAACCGGCGCGAGAGCATCGCGGCGCTGGCCTCGTCCCGAGATGGCGGCGAGTCTGCCCGGGGGGGCCGCGCGCCGTCCACGCCCGCCGAAGCAACACCTACCTCCGCAGGGGGGGCATCGGCGGCCGCGGCCGCAGCAGCCAACAAGAAGAAGGGCGGCAGTGCCCCGCAGCAGCCCGAACGCCGCAAGCTCTCGGCGCAGGAGGAGCAAGTGTACGGCGTGTCGCACCACGACCGGCTCGGCAGCGGGCCCACGTTCCGCTACGAAAAGATCAACAAGCTCTACAGCCACAAGTCGGGCCAGCAGCAGATGCGCATCACAAACGCCCTCGCCGAGCTCGACGTGCCCCCCCGGCTGGTCATGCCCACCGCCGCCGTCACGGCCCAGTTCGAGGTGCTCTGGGGCGCCGTCACGGCTCTCGTCGATCTCCGCAAGGTCAGCGACAAGCTGGACGCCGAGATCAAGATTGAGGAGGCCAAGAAGGCCGAGAGGGATCGCGCCAGGGGCGTAGGGGCTGGCGTTGGTACGGTCAACGGGGAAAAAGGGGCCGGGGCCGAGGCAGGTGGGGAAACCAACAACAGCAGTAACAACAATACTGACTCATCTGGACCGTCTGAGCTGGAGAGGAGGGATAGTAAGCAGGGCATGGACGGTACGGGCAGTGAGGGACTGGCGAATGGCGGTGGTGGGAGCGCTGCTACTGCTGCCAACGAGGGCCAGGCAGGGACGGGAGGAGCAAGCGCCGGGGATGCCGCTCCTGCAGATACTAATAATAAAGCCATCAAGGAGGAGGAGTCTGGCCCCGCGGGCGGCAGCACGGCCAGGCCTGCGAGTAGCGGCGGCGGGCCGCATAAGCGGAGTGCCAGCGTGCTCAGCGCGGCGAGCGATAAGAGTGCCAAGCGGCAAAAGAAGTAGAAGACAGCTTTGCCGCAGGATCGAGAGAGGGAAGATGTCTCTGCATCTCTCCGTTGACTATGCATTTGCTGCCCGTTCGTAGCGCTATGTGTTACATATAAGAGTACAGCAAGAGGCATCGTGTCCTCGAGGCCCAGGGTTGACGGGAGAAAACCGGACCTCTCTGTAATGAAAACCGTTGAAATGAAGCTCGATCGCCTCGATTAGGATTTGAATTGAGCTACAATGTTGACTTCCAGCCCAAGGTTCCGGGTCACTTTCGAATAGTTATTTCTGAAAGTTTGAGGTCATCAGGGGCTGTTAATTCCTTCAGACACCCATCTTACCGCCTCAACAGCCTAGTCCGCCGATCAGCGGCGAGAGTAAGATTCCCCGCCGAGGCGGGCTTGAGATCGTAGTTCTCTCCTTGACCCTCGACATCGGCCCAAGCTCGCAACCCCTTTTATTGCGGACGGAGAGAGACCCGAACCAAGCAGTTTCTTCGTGGAAGAGAGATGAATGGATACGACGATGCAACCAGGCAGGCCAACACCTATCATCCTGGCGGTATGTTCACAAGGATCCTCTGTTACGCCTCAATGATTCCAACGTTCAAAGACATCCAACGAACTAAAGGTGGATTACGAGTCAAGCTAGCACAAAAGTATGCCGTCCAATCGGCTGTATTGCGAAGGTGCATGTTTCGCAGGGATAAGGCGTATTTATGCTTACTGCGCCAACTCTCACCCAATCCAATGAGTTGTTGGAGCCGCCGAGGGGTTACTTGAGGGATGAGGAACTGGCTTGTACAATTTGCGAGCGGGAAGAATGCGCGGTAAGGTCACGTTGTTGTGGGCTCTGTGAGAAAGCCGCCATCGCATAGGCCGCGTTTCGGATCCGGGAAAAAAAAAGCAGGAGGGCTGGTTGGCAGTGTGGGGAGTATCGCTAGATTGGCTGCTTCATTCGCTGTGATGTTTGTTTGTATTAGGGTGTGAGGTTGGTGCCCAAACCTTGGGCTCGGAGAGTATATACTGTAGTTAAAGCAAGGTTCGATGGTGTGTTCCCGGTGAACTGGGAGATATAAGAAGCGGTTTTATATAGAAACCAATGAGAACTCGGGATCTTGAGTCTTCTAGAGTGGAGGTGGCCGGTCCGCCCGGTGTTGCTCATGTTCGAACCTCACTCGAGAAACTCGGACGTTGAAAGTGGGCCCAAGCCAATATGCACGTACAACACCATGATGGGATGTACCGGTACTTGGAGCCCTTTGTCCCAGTACAAGTTGACAAAAGCTGCAGCGGGAGATCTCGCGTGCCCGTGACGGGGCCTGGCTTGGTGCAGACGCCCATCGTAGCCGCTACGGCCCCCAGGAGGGGATTAAGACGGGGGTCTAATGGGAATGTAGTGTAGACCGCCTTGCGTCTGACGCAATGCCAGGAGGACCCTGGAGCTGGCAAGTTCCTGTAGCCGGTGGCCGTTGTTTGTCCTTTGTCCTCCAGGCACGCGATCACCAGACGTTGCCGCCAAGATGCGTTCCATCTGGTTCTGATAGCCTCAAGCCGCAGCCGCCCAGATCTGCAGGCTGTCAGCCCGTTCCTGAAAGACGCCGCGGAAAGGGGAAACCATGGGTGTGGCTGGCCTTGGCGATGGTTGCATGAGGTTCCTGCATCTCGAACAACATCACGGTAGCTGTGGGTTGGTTGGCCGTTTGCTGTTTATCAGCGTTTGGGGAGCCGTGTCCCGAGCCCGATTCAAATTTCGTCGACCTCTGTCATCCAATGCCGTGACGGCGGGCGAGCTTGTTTTGAGAGAATCGAGACCAATGAGATGGTCATGACGAGATCTGGATTCTATTTTGGTGATGTTTTTGGTGGAGGTGTGTACCGGTAAGCGCCATGCGGCGTCAACCGATGCAAGCAGAGCCGCCTCGATCCGCGTGCCAAGGACGGTCGCGCCATCGCGCATCTGCGGCCGACAGACAGGCCATATGTGCTCCCGAGTAATTGGTTCCTCAGCGCCAGATCTTGCGGGAAGAAATCTGACCGGGGCACCGCGTTTCGCCCGATGATCAATCGTCCATTCAGCACCGGGGACCAACCGCTGATCAAGTCGAATGTCACCGCTGCAAGGGTCAGCGGTCAATTCTCTGCAGACAGTGACTGCCTACCATGTCGATGCCTCAAATCCCTCGATGGCCTCCTTGATACGCAACAGCATCGCGTCTACCCGGCCCCAACTCGCTGGAGCGAAATGAAGGAGCTTGGAAGCATCCCAAGGAGGCTTTTCAGATACTTCGTATTTGTTTCTTTAAAGGGGTGATTGAAATCATTGTGGATAACGGCAAGGAAATACTTCGTACAGCGCTGCGGCTTGCCCTCAGCGAGTGACAAACTTCTCAGCTTGCGATCGATCGACGCCCTCACGGTGTTGAGCCTATACACTGCGCTGAAGCTAGGAAGATTGATGAATCAGTGAGTGTGCCCTTTCGGCCTCAATTGCATTGTGACTTCGAGACTTGGATTCGGAGTTTTTGAGTCGTGGGTTCCGTGGAAATCCAGAACAGGCAAGAGCACCCAAGTAGTGTCGGGAAGGATACGGAGGTATTAACTTAGCTGTCTCCCCTGAAATGTTGAATTTCCTGGCATTACGGGCAGTAACTTCCTGTGAGATGCCTGTGTAATCGTACATTACACAACCAATACATGTACTTTTCGCCTGTACTGTATCTATATATGTGTAATTAATGTACTGTACGTACATACAGTACACCGCCTATGCAGTGACCATTCCTCTGCTCAACATTGATCCCAAAGTTGGGCAAGTGCCCGTTTGACCATTGACAATCAAAGCCATTGCGGCCTGTGCCTCAAAGCGTCGATACTGCGCAACAAACTCTTCGTACGGCATGATCTGTCTCGGGCACGCGTTTCCGGACCTGTGACGATGGCAGCCAAGCGCAGCCGCTAACCGTGATAACGAAAATGCTCGTCACGGGGTTGCCCACTCTGCGAGTGCAAAGTCTGCCGGGCACCAATGGCGGCTGCGTTTCTAAGAATGGGACATACTTTGGACGGCCTACAATTCGTCTACCTCTGCTTTTGCCGTTTCCGCGTCCTATCGGATCTGACTTCCAATAGGCTCGAATTCTCCTCTCCCCAGCCAATGAGATTTCTGTTTCTGCCGACAGGAAACGCGCGCCCGAGTGGGATGCCGATTGATGGCGCCGCCTAAGCCAGCAAACTTCACACCGGTCGCTAGCTAGCGGCTTCGGTAGCACACTGTTCTTCGCGTCCAAGAGGGTAGACGGCCTTCGTCGCCTTCCATTTGCAGGTACAATAGCTATTCTGTCGCAAAAGTGCGGTCATGTATAACTAACACGCTGTCCTGGAATACAGTTCAAGTTTTGATGGCTCTCCGTTCTGGTAGTCAAAGTTGGGCCGTGGTGCAGTGGTGCTAAATTTGATCACCTTCCCGAAGCCTGACCCCTGTTCCCCCGAACACCACCTCTCTCGGATCATTAATCATTAGCGGCGTTTGATGGTGAGGCAGAGGCCCGGAGCTCAGAGTGACTGGCCCTGAAGCAACCTAAGCGCAAGCTCGGTAATCGATTAAATCCGGATAGGTAATGGGAAGATTGGGTGCCTCGTTGTGCTCCTCATCAGCAACTCGCCCAATCCTTTTCAGTGTCACCGGCTGACGGGACCGGCGTTCGGAGCCGCCGAAAGGCCGTCAAGCGCAGGAAGCGACGCAGTCGCGGCCGGCGGCGGCTGGCCGCCCGGTCAGGTCCCTTCTGGCATTCTGTGCTGGGATCGGAAACGGAATTGGTCCGTGTTGGTCAGGATGGCAGGCTGTATGAACCGCAAACACTGGGATTGACTTGCGTAACCTTGAGCCATATGCGTGGACGGGCAACCGCTGTCACTCCAGCTGCTCCTCGCATCACTTTACCGCCTTCGTGGAGGGACAAGATGTTCAAGCCGGCCAGGCGTACAGACTGGGCCTAGCTGACGGCCATGATCGTCAACGGATTGCTGGGCAATACAACATGGTGCAGGTTCGCTAATTTTGTTTGCCCTTGATCCTGTAAGCACCATTCCATTTCTGCAGGGGAAACGATGCTTCACACACATGCACGAGGAATCAGAGGTCATCCACACGACGTTTCTCGGGCTGTGTATGTATGTGTATGCAGGTGCAGAACAGACAGGACAGCCATTATTCCCAAGTGGCAAATCAGAGGCAGCTTACACAGCATTTTGAACCTTTGAAGATGGGGGCTGTAAGACACACGCTGCCGGCCCAAGACATTTTGATTCCCCGCAACACAAGCCTCAGTTCAGTCCGCTCCGCGAACTCCAACAATTGACCACCTCCATGCGCTCTCCGCTGGACTACTGCACCGACAGCTACCGGATTGATGCCCATACAGCTCTTGAGATCCACGGATATCGGACACGACACGGTAGCTTGGGCAAAGCGATTGCCAGGACGGCGAGAGTTTCAACTGTGGTCCGCGAAGTCAATAAAACACACAACCCCCCTATCCAACCAAAGATTGGCCGTAGCGGAAGATAGGGTAGGCGCAGGGTGTTTTGTACAATGCTGCTACGCTCGCTACCTACTACGAAGTGGCTGGAGCCTTCCGAGCCTCTCGAGCCTCATGGGACTTGTAGGTATAATGGGGGACGATATGCCTGAAAAGGGAGAAAATCCGGCGGCTTTGGGCCCCTGTTGCATGACAGACCGTCGCTACCAGGTGTATCTAGCTGAGTGGCTACGACAGCACATAAAGAGCATCCAGTCGGGAAAGATGGACGCCATGCTCTGCTGGTCAAGTTGGACAATTCCCCGCCCCCTCCCCCGCACGCCATGTTGGGCGGTCGAAGGCAAGTGCGGCCAACAGCAATAAGTGTAAATATATCAGATACGGTACAGAAAATTCCCATGGGAAAGAGACGGGTTTCCTTGGTTTGGCCGGTCTGTGTGGTCGTCGGAGCCATTGTACCCGGACGTCACGTTGCCGGCTTCCTTCTCGCTGTTCTTTCACTCCGCTTGGAAGAAAATGCAGCACCCGGCTGGTAGATAGGTATCAAAGCAAGGGGATGATGCTACGTACCCCTTTTCTTTGGGCGAGGATAGGCTACCGAATATAGGGAACCGCCTGGGATATCCAATCCCAAGCGAGCCGCTCTCTCACACGCAGATGTTCTCTTTGCGCTTGCCTTGTGAGTCGCCAGATTGGCCCGTGTTATGTGGGAGGTGTGGGTTGCAAGCATCATGATCCATGTCCAAAGTGTGCCGGCGGAGCTGCCCTTGGCGTGCTCGTTACTGTGAGAATGGAAAGGCAGGGGGTGTGTGTGTGGTAACTGCAGCTCGCCTTTTGCAAGTGCCTGGCCCGGCTGCTCAACCTTGGACGGGTGGGATTACCCCTTCCCGCCCGTAACTCATTCCCTTCCCAAGAAGGCAATCCAGCCTGCAGTGATCCAGAGCCAGGTTCGTACCGATACATATCTTGGCGCCCGCGGTCCATCACCCGCGGGAGACTTAGGTACCTATCCATGAACCCTTCGTTTTTCGCCAGTCCCTGAGGCACGTACTGTCCAATACATAATTCACAACTCTCCTTGAAGCTGGGTAGTAAGATAGACGTCATGCTTGCAGCTCGAGAGTTCCCGAGGTGCTGACGGCGCGCTCGGCGGCAGGGTATCCAGCGTCGTGGCTGGAGCATCCTGCGCATTCCAGGTTTTCAAGTGTGATGCGGGCAGTGACTTCGGCTGCTCGATTGCTTACACCGTGATTCATGAAGGGTAAATGGCAAGTGTGCCAACCAAAGGTCCTTTGCAGATGAAGTATACTTACCGAGCTTGCCAAGACACCCACTCGTCCATAAGAAAGACGGTCTGTCTGTCTCTTTGGTGTTGTTCGTCGCTTTCGCGGTTGTACCCACCTTTAATGCTGGTCTTCGGTGCTGCTGGCCCACTTTCAGCGCTTGTATGAACTTTACTGTACTTACTGTAATACAGCACTGTCTACTTTACTGTATGTACTGTACAGTACAGAACAAGTACGCGTACACATGTATAGTACCGGAGCTCAGGCACGACCCTGGTAGGGCCCCACATGGCGCTGGTTCCAAGATCTCGCCGCTATCTGATTCCAGCCCTTTGCGCCATCGGCGTCTGTGCGTTGCAACTCGTTTTCTCGCGCGGTACGGAGTACTGCGGAGTACCTACTTTGGTCACAGTACATCTTTAACACTTGTCGGTGGATGCCACACTCTTGGGGGAGCGGCTGCCGGATCTCATTATCTTACCTTACTTTGACATTCGCAACTTTTGGGTTTCTGTTCCCTTTTGCTTGTTCCCAAAATCATTATCCATACGCCGATTTTCGAGGCGACGTTTTAGGAAACAAGCAACAATCCTATAGCCATTTTGTTGGGAGCAACAAAACTGAGGTCGTAATCCGACGCACCGTCGCCCTCCTGTTACGACCCACGAGCCACCTTTCCCCAGTTCTCCTACCGCTGCGGCCCCAGACCCAGGCGAGCTCTTTGTCCGCTTTCCGCCGGGCGCAGCATAATCGCGCGTTAAAAGGGGCCAAGCGCCCAGCAGCACCGCACGTTCCCCGGACTCGAAAGGAAGCTTGGGGACTTTTTTTAGCTTTCGATTATTCGGCAACGAAGGCCACAGCATCGGCTGGCTAGTAGAGTGCATTGGGACTGCTCTTGCCGGCACTGTTGTACGCCCATCGTTTTGAATCTGCGCACGGAAGACGAGACGGCATATTATTTTTACCATATTTTCTCTTTTTTGCGCCTGTAATTCGTTGCGCGCATCCGTCTCGAAGCATCGCATTGGCACAGAGGCCAGCCAAGGACCCCAGGACAGGGACGGCAGCACTGACAGGCGCGAATGCTTGCCCAAGTTGCCGGTCCGATTTGCGCAAATCAGTGGTGCTAGCCCGGCAGCATCGATTTAGGTTCATGCCACTCTGACGTGTCACACAAGCCTTGCTAGAACATCAGCGTGCTCGCAGGCCCTGATCGCCTCCAATTCTCTGACAACGGACTCGAGCACCACCGGCTGGCGGTTGAATTAGCGGCGGAGGACTAAGATCGAGAGCGCGTGTGTGAGCGAGCGGGTGGGATTGAAAGACGGAAACAAAAGCGGCCATCCAGTTTATTTGCCAGCCTCTACGACGACCCTGCACTGTTTTCTGTTTTTGCTGCCCCATCCGGAGGCTTGTGTTTGCACACCGGCCTCCGGGTTTGCCTTGCGCATTTCTGGGCCCGACCGCTCAGCCTCGACGGTCTTTGCGGCCCCGATACAAAAGGTCCAAAGCTCGCCCAGACATACGCAAATCCCATTTTGACGGCCACATCACTCGCGCGGGCGCATCATCCAAAACGAAGGAGCCAGGACAGGGCCACCGGGACCCCACCTTCCCTCACTGGCGCATCACAGCCGACGTCCGGGGATATCCTGCAGCCTGATCACACCCTTTTTTTAAACGCTGCTCCCACCAGCCGATTTCACGAGCCCGCCGAAACACTGCCTGTCACCGTCTGTCTCGTTGGATGCTCGTTAAGTCGGCTTGTTGAGCTCGTTTCATTTATTATCAAGCCTGAAGCATTATCTGGATTCAAAATCATCATCAGGAAGCGACTTGACTGGTGCCGGACTGGGCCGTTCAGCCGCTTTTCTGCCTCACTTGCGCCAGCGCCATTCATTACCATAGCCGCGCCTCATATTTCAGCTAGCGCTTCCGCAGCTAAGGCAAGCGTGCCTGCCAGGGTGCTGTCTCCAGCGAGGCACGCACGGGGTGATGACCACAACGTTCACGGCCCTAAATGGGGCCTCAGCAAAACCCACGGAAGGAACCAACGGGACGACAGATTTGGATCCGCCAAACGGCCAGTCATCTGCCCCGGAAACCAGGAGCTCCGACTTGTCCAACAATATCCAGAGGGATTCAGAGACCCGGAGAAGCACTAACCACGACAGGCTGCCCTTCCCTGGAGCCGCTACTCACCTTGATGTGGAGATCTCGCACAAGCGAAAGCGGTCAATCACAGACTCGCCAAGGAGAGAGGGTGTCCCATCGCCCCCAGAGAGACGGGGGAGAGATGAGAGGTTAGACAGGCTGGAGAGACTGGAGAGGCTGGAGAGGCTGGAGAGGTCAGAGGAATTGGAGAGGACAGAAAGGACAGATAGGAGCGATTTGGCGGAACGGACAGAGCAGCACGGGCCAGCCAGGCGTCAATCGGAATCACGCGATGGGTACAGCACACCACAGAAGGATGCTCATCGAGAGCAGCGCGAAGAAGGGAGAGACAGCAGCGAGCAATGGCATTCGCAGCAGGGCAGGGAGGAGCGCAATTCGAGCTATGAGGGGCCATACTCGGCTGGTCCGGTATCCGCCCAGTCAGACGATCAGGGGGGCGATCTGCTCCGGAGGGCAGGGAGCCAGGGCGACAGCGTGGACTACGGGGACCATGGGGACAACGGGGAACAAAGCCCAGATGCGGACGACCACACCATGTATTCTGTCCAGTATTCGCATGAACTTCGCCGGGACGGTGTTATCCAGTCTGACCCCAAGAAGCGCAAGCGGAATTTCAGCAACCGGACCAAAACGGGTTGCCTGACCTGCAGAAGACGGAAGAAGAAATGTGACGAGCAAAAACCCGAGTGTGAGTTAGGCAGCTGCATCTCATATTCTTTCGTTGCTTCATTTTGTTTTGATATTTTCTCTTGTTATCATTAAATTCCACGCGCTTGTTTACCTGGCCTCGCTTTGCGGTCGCGTCGGCCGGTCATGGGGGCTGACAAAATATGCAGGTAACAATTGTATGAAGGGAGGCTTTGTCTGCCTCGGCTACCCCCAACAAAAGGGTGGGTGGTCTAAGCCCGAGAGCAAGCCCACGCAGGTCAATATTGAGTCGAAGGATCCAAATTATGTCCCGCCTGGAGCATATGGAATGCCTCAGCAACCGCCCTACAACAGCAGCCAGCCATTATTGGGCCAGCAGCCAAAGCGCGATCCCTTGCCATATAACCGCGGCCAGCCCGGGCTGCGAATTACGCCGCCCCAAGGTCGTCCCTTAAAGGCAGACGACGATAGGCCGACAGCGTCGACACTCCCAAGTGCCTCGATTGTCAGCAGTTCCGACAACAAGCTCTCAGCACTGTCAGTATACACGACGGCAACATCGGCGAACGTGTTCCCCACCCCTGTTAGCGCCGCCACCATGTCTGCCTTCTCGGATCGGACACCGAAGGAGTACCAGCGGGTACCACCCCTTCACGATCTCACGCGGACGGAGCCAGATCAGCAACAACCACCACCGCCACCGCCTCCCCAAAGCACAACGATGGCCCAGCCCCCGTACCCCCTCCCGCGTGCCGGCAGGACCGCTACTCCCCCAACGGCGTCGAGTTTGACGCCGCAGGCACCGTCGGTCAGCGGCGTGCAGGCGACAGCGCAGCTCGCGCTCTCACACACGCACTCTTTCGCGGCCGACCGGCCACGTCACGAGAAGGAGGAGATGATCCAGGGCCGCCTGTACTACCCCTTCGACAAGGAACTGGTGCTGGAGCGGGAACGGTGCAACGCTGCCTGCTGGCGCTTCAACAACTCCACCAACCCGAACCTGGGCGTTTCCCCCGCCGAGCGGGCCCGCCTCTTCCGCGACATTCTCCACCCCCGCGAGGGCGTGCACCTCTCCCCGACCATGATGTCGCCCGTGACCCATACGGGGCGCGTCGGCGAGGATGTGACGGTCGAGGCGCCCTTCACTTGCGACTACGGCTACAACATACACATTGGCAACAATGTATCCATCGGCCGCAATTGTCTGATCAATGACGTCTGCGAGGTGCGCATCGGGAAAAACGTCATCATCAGCCCCAACGTGTGTATCTACACAGGCACGTGCTCGACGGATCCGCGGCGGCGTGACGGGAATCGAGGGACTCAGTACGGCAAGCCGGTCACTATTGAGGATGATGTCTGGATTGCTGCCAATGTCATCATCCTCCCTGGCGTCAGGATCGGGAGAGGATCGACTGTTGCGGCCGGGAGCATTGTTACGAGGGTGAGCCTTATCTTCTACACTGGTAGATCGTTTCGGCCGTTGTGTGCTGTGTCTAACCGCTCCGTTTTCCAGGATGTGGCCACGTTCAGTCTCTACATGGGTGTCAAGGCCGGGCATCGGAGGGGAATTGCTTTTGTGCCTTAATCTCTAGGTGCTTGGTAATAAGGGTTACTCTACTCGGGACTCTCAATATCTTTATCTCTCTATATTTTACTTATTCTTTCCTTCTTCCCTCCCCTCGTCATGGTAATATCTGGGACTGCTGCTGCTGTTTTGGACTCTCAGAGTTACATTCAGGTTTTGTTATCCTGGTCCCCCGACTCCCCCGTACTTATGATACCCCCATGCCTTTTCGGTCCTGTTTGTTTGTTTGGATGTATGTATGTATGCATGGACGTGTATGTATGCAAAGCGATGGCCTCTTTTTGTTGTTTTTTTGTTGTCAGTTCAGGAGTGGCGCGTGTGCGTTGGGGGCGGTTTTAATGGTCTTGTCGCGCCCCCCACCACCTCACCCTCCCTCTGTATGTGCGTAGTGCTGTGCTGCTGGTAGGCTGGATCCAACAGAATCAATTTGGAAGACCATACCTTGCGTTACTTCACTTGCACGTCCGCTAGAGTGTGAGTGGTATGGAGACACGGCATTTGCCGGCTCTAACTCAAATGCGATGCCGGCTCCAGTTATCGTTACGATGCACGGCGAGGATTCTTGGGAGGGATCGGCGGGTTAGCCGTGGCGGATTGCGCTTCGTGCTCGGCTTCTACACTATAGGTATTGGGCAATGATTATCCGTATTGAGAGTGGTGCATGGCGTGGGAAGGCGTTCGCCAGCTTTGGTATCTGCTCATTGGCAGCCTACTGATGCAAGAGGAGCCCAACCACATTCAGTAAATTATGCCTCGTCTGGATGCGGTTGGATCTCTGTTCACATTGAAATTGTGGATTGGTACCGTACTCTGTATACTGGCCCGTTTCTATCGCTGTAAGACGTTCGTGGAGGACGGCGGACGCGGGACGTTATTCTGATGCTTCTTTTACAGTCTTGCAAGGAAGCTGCGCATAAGAGGCTTCGTCAAGAAATAAAAAGTGTTAGCAATACCGGGGTAAGTGCGCATCAGGTATGTTACTAGTGTAGGTGTAACATCATGTACTGTACGTTGGTTTGCTGATAGGCAGACGCATAAGTATGTTTCTATGAAGGAGCTCCGGTGGATCTCCGGCATCGGGTCCGGGGTCGGGATCCATCGGGGGGCTGCCACCGGGGCGGCCCCGCCGGGGTTGTTGTATAGGCGGCTGAAATCTGTCACTTTAACAAAGAAATCAGGCGGATTGTTCCACTTCACAGCCTTACAAGTGTTTTTCCCTGGTCGTCGCTGCGCTGTCTTTGTATCGTCACAAGCTGCTGCTCATAATACATAAGCCATAAGCCGTGTGATGGAGGATAGGCTTTATGCTGGGATCCTTCTACAAAAGTTCCGATGCCGGCCGTTGGTCTGTACAAATCCCCAGAATCCAACGCGGATCACAATCGGCGCCCGCACTGCGTTATCAATGTATCATTGCCCGGCACCGCACTGTTGCAGCGCAGGACGGCGCAGGCCAGATTCAAGATGGAAATGGACTTTGTGATGCGGCTGATATTTGGTTCGGTACCCGGATCACACCACAAAGGCCCCCCACTGCTTCGAACCGAACCGTACACAGTAAGCCCAACAACCCGTGCCCATATGTATTCCGCCTGCTGCTTCCCGCGGATCGAGCCCGAGCAAGCGCCTATCCGAGATGACTTGCCCCAAGCGAACGGCGGGACTTTGCCTGGCGCCGCTGATGTTGGCTCAGCCATCAAACCGAATAATCTTGGTTGTAAACGAGAACACCCATCCAGTCTGTGATTCTGGCCATCTCCCAGCCGTTATGAGGACAGATACATACGGAGCACCACAGTAATGCCGTCGTGTATGAGGCCAAGCGCATGGACGTGTTGCTGCATGCGGCACAGCCTTGGATATTGAGAGTACGTAGGATTCTTCGTAATTCAGCCAACGGTAGACGCTTGACCGAGAGCGGGAAGACTACCCCGGATTGTGCAACCTTACACAGACAACAGTTGGTACTGCCTGTCACACAGACAAAAATAGCACTTTCATCGAAAAAAGGGTAAAGGTGCGGGCAACCGGGCGGAAGAGGGCTTGGATTGAGCCTCATGCTTAGTCAAGGCCTGTGAGAACGCCGTAATGTCTAAGTCCAAAATATGCAGCGAGGACGCCAGAGAAGCTGATGCACGGGCGAGGACTGCAATGCGTTGTGTAGTAAACCCGTCTGTATCTTGGCCACCAACAAGGGGCATCCAGATATTAGCACCTAATCTCGACGCCGCCATTACTCACCGTCAGGTACTTCACCCCCTTGTATGGCTTCACATGCTCAGCCAAGCCTCGACTCTTTCTGGGGTCAACAACAATGCTCTCCACCCTGATCCCGCTCGCCAGCCAGCCCTTGACGGCGAAACTAACCGAGGCCGAGCTTGGCATCAGAATCCTATTCTGCGCCGTCTTGCGCTCATCCTTGTCTGCCCCTCCCGTGTCCGTCGCTGCCGCCCCTGTCTCCTGTTTCGCTAGCGCGGCAGAGCTCTGGTACGGCTCATCATCGTAAGAGTAGGCACTGTGGTGGTGCCCCGCGTTGAATCCGAAACCGGTCGGGTCTGAGTCGTCGTCCTCGTCCTCAGCCACGTGCCCGACCACGGTGCAGCGCAAGACAAAAGAGGTTATGCCCTGGGCTAGGTCCTTGTTCGAAATGGACCACTCGAGCGCCCGGTCGCCGGGATTGTAGGTGGCATCACCCTTGCTTGGCTTGATCTCAGACAGGTTCCGCACGTCGGCCGGCAGCGGGACAGAGACCTTCAAATCGTAGAGCGATGGCGACGCCGTCGTCGCACCCGGCCCGCCTCCACCTCCTCCACTCCCGGCCAATCCCAATCCCCGCCCGGCGGGCTGTGTGCTCCCCGTCGACCCAAACACCCTGTTCACCTGCGCCCTGACCTCAAAATCTGACCCGGCCGGCCCAAGCCCCGTCTTAACCTCCAAACTCACAGGTAGCTTCAGCTGCTGGCTGGCTGCCGTCAGCGCGCTCCCACTACTACTACCAACCCCCTCCCCGCCAAGCGGCCCACCAAGAGGCATCAGATCGACCTCGTAGCCGGCTAGCGTAAATCTTCCATCCGGCGGCACGAAGCTCAGCAAACCGGGCTGCTCCCTCCAGCGGGCAAGGCGGACGCAAGGATGAAAAACGGGTAGGTCGAGGACGTTGCGCAGGTTGTGCTTGCCCGAGGGCCCCGTGAGCGTGACCAGGATGTCGGGCACGCCCGAGACCTTAGAGGTGAAGGCGATAGTTCCCGAGGCCAAGGCCGCGAGGGGGCGCCCGGAGGGGGCCAACGTCACCGACAGCGTCTCCACCACGTCGGCGTACAGCTCGTTGGACGTGTGCCGCACGTTGGCCCGCCGCCAGGGCAGCGCGGGCGTGTTGTTCTGCAGGTGGAGTAGGGAGGATGAATGTGATGGCGATGAGGTGGAACCGCTGAGATTGGGTTTTCTGTGTTTAACTGGGTTAGTAAATGGCTAGCAGAGGTGGTAGGTAGGTAGGCGGCTGCATACGTAGGCAGGTTGAGATTTCCCAAGAGCTTGTCCATGAAACCCTCCACTTCGACCAAGTCCCTCAAAGCGTTGGGCTCGGTGGTGCTGATGGTGCCCGCATCGCACATCTCGGTCAGGAGCTGGGCGGCGACATCGTAGTTGCTCTCGATCTTGTGGGCCAGCAGGGGCGCCCCCAGGAACTCCTCAAAGGCATCGACGACCCGGTGCAGGAACTCCAGCACGAGGAGCGGCTCGATCTCGGAAGACGTGGTCACGAGAAAGAGGAGGTTTGCGTGAGTAAGGCTGAAGACGAGGGTCGGCGGGTTTGTGTTGGGGAGATAGATGAGGTTCGGCCGTGGTACAGGGTGTTCGAGGTAGAGGGGTAGCAGGTAGTTCGCTGCGAGCGGGCGCGATGTGTATGTATGCGAGAGGACTAGAGTGCTGGGCCGGGGTCAGTCTACACCTGTGGACAATTCCTCTCATTGATAGGCCCTCCTTACTTGTGCTCGTCGTAAATGTGCAGCGCCTCGATGACACCGTTCATGATGGTTGAGGTAGTGGTTTGCTCTTTTTGAAGGCAGTTTCAGGCCGTAGTGCACTGTACTCCTAGGTCCAGGACTCCAGTTCAGTTGCTAGGCTCGCTGCGGCCGCTGACGCAATTGCAAGCAGGAGGGTTTAGGACCCACTCGGAGGTTAGCGGATCTTCATTGCGCTAACTTTAGTGGATCAACCCCCGGCCTAGACAACTCCAGAGTCCAGACGCTACCCGGTGGGTCTGGGCAGTTTCTCTCGAGTCTCACTCTCATCCCCATCACATAAGCCACCTCTATCCGTCCATCTGGGGTACCGCCAGTCCGATCGAGCGATTGAGCCGATGCCCGTTATGGCCCGGGACAAGGACATACCGTCAGTCCAGTCCTTGGATAAGCCGGAGAGGCTGCAAGACCTTCTCAAACAAGATCGCGGAGATGACTGCCTCCCCTGCAGGGTCGTGGGTACGTTGACCTGCCATTCGAGCCACTGCTCATTCGTTTGAAGCTCTGAGCTGCTGCTGAAATGAAAATTCAGGTGGCGGCGCTTTTCTAGGGCTCGCAGCATACAGCTACTTCTCCGGGCAGGCGCAGCTTGAGCAGCAAAGGGCAAAGATCCTGGCCAGCGGCTCCAGGTTCGGCATGCGCAGCAGGAGTTGGGCCATTACGGGCATATCACTCGGCCTCGCCTGGCTCGGCATTTGGAGGCTGGCCAAATGAGTGCGCTTCAGCTTTGCTCATGTACCGAGCTTGCGGCAAACACCCTCACACCTCACCCGTCGCTGCGTCGCAGTCATCAGGTGCGCGCGCAGCCAGGCATTGGCTCGCATCGCTCATCCATTGAGAGTGGGAGCATGTCTGGCTCACGGGCTTGGGCCTTAGTTGGCAGCGCAGTGTCTTGAACCAACACAACAGCGCGCGCGGCCGGCGACTTCGATCCTCAACAGATGGGTGCTCCGAACTCGCCGTCTAAGGCTTCGTTCTCTTGGGGCGATCAGCTAGGTTATGCTGCTCAAGCCATGTATAATATGTGTTCTTCTACGTGTATCTATACCCTGTTGTTCTTATGCACACAGCCATCCGCGCCAAGTTGCCATCGATTGACCGAAAACCAGGACACCTTCGAGCATTGGAGCAGGCTAAGAGGGGTCGGCCTACGGCTTCCGGTTTGATTCCACCGCGCTCCAACCAGACTCCGGCTGTCGGGACCGGAAAAGCATATGGCGCCGGCAGCTTGCTGCTCGTCGTGCCTAGAGTCACAACTGATCCTTTTGGATGATTCAGTACCTAGACGCTCTCCATGTGTATTGATGCAAACGCAATGGGGCTATTCGCCCTACTTTGGGACTGGTTCGAATTGTGTTTGACGTCAAAGGGGATTGATATCTCACCCTAACTCTGGCAGACTAGTTCGCAACATCACCTCTTCACCTCGTCTGTCCAAAAGACATCCTCTCATTTCTCGCATCCAGGATACGGTGGTTCAAGTACGGCGTATGTATGGATGCAGAAGCATCAGTGCTTGGAAAGATCACAGCTTACTTCGATATTGGCACAACCAACAATTTCCACAACACCGTTGCTATATACAACCGTTTGACACTGCTACACCAAAAGGGGATATGGCAGGTAGGCAGCCAAGGTACGGCGACAATTTTCCAAGCAACAGAGCGCCAGGGCGGCTCACTTGTTACCGATCCAGTCTCTTTTTCCTGTCCCCTATTTTCTTTCTTCTCCGACGCGGAACACCATCCTCGAAACGAGGCAACCCGACACACCGCACGCAAAACCGACTCTCGTTTAGAAAGGCGGCTTGGCGTTCTTGAGGAGCATCTCAAAGTAGGCCTGGTTCCACTGGCCGGCCTCGGGCGAGGGCTTGAAGGACTCGGTCTTGCCGCAGAAGCTGTCGTAGCGGGCGGCCGACGGGTCGCTGGTGCCGTCCGACTCGCCGCCGGGCTTGACCCAGACAAAGGCGTCGGCCAGCTCGAGGCCCGTGTTGGTCGTGAAGCGCTGCCCGAACCCGGCGCCGTTGATGTTGCACCAGTTGCCCCACTCCTCGCGCAGGCCCTGCACCGCGTTGCGGCCCGTGTCGACAATGGCGTGGTTGGGCATGCCCGCCGACCGCAGGGAGTTGCCGAAGGTGCTCACGTACGTCTTTTCGTTCTGGCACTGGTTGTACTTGGCGTCCGACTTGGTCGAGAACTCGCCGGGGCTCATGTCCCTGTGATTTTTCTTGGTAAGTCACCTGCGTGTGAGAGCAGAAAATGTTGCGGAAGCTTACCAGGAGTTCCAGCCAGCCACATTGGTGGCAAAACCACGGAGCTGCTTCGGGCTACCGGCGTTCTTGTATGCCTTGGCGAGTTCCTCAGCGCCGGGCTTGAGGTTGGCGTCCCAGCCGAGCCAGCCGCCGTGGCCGGCATCGAGGTACATGATGACGTTGGGAAGGTTGAGCTGCCTGAGCGCGTAGGCAACACCCTCGCGGTAGCCAGAAGCGCTCTGCTGGCAGGTTTGCAGGTCGCTGTTGGTGACCAGGTTGGGGAGCGAGTCGGGCTCGATGACGAGGGCAAAGGCCGTGTTGGGGTGCGCCTTGATGATCGAGACAATCTCTGTTCGCAGAGTACTGTGTTAGCACAGCTCATTCCGTTCTCCCATCTCTCGCGGTTCTGAATCAGGAGGCACTCACTGTCGATGTACTCGGTCTTGTACCGGCTCAGCTCGCCAACCTTGAGCTCGCCGTTGGAGGCCTTGGCGGCGCAGTCACGGCCGGGAAGGTCGTAGATGACGAGACCCAGGATATGGTCGCAGGGGACATCCTGAAGCGCGGGCTCCAGCTTGGCAATGTTTGCAATGGAGTCGAGCCACAGGAAGCTGCCAACATCGGCAACCTTGGCAGCAGCGGCGGCAAGGCTGGAGTCCGACATTTGCTGGACGGCCGCCTCGACCTCTGCGCGGTAGAAGCTGTTGGCATGGAGCGTGTACCTCTTGAACACGTTGGTGCTAGCATCGAGGGTGACGGCAGACGAACAGCCTGCAGAAGCCTGCCGGGGTTGCTGAGGAGTTGTGGGAGAAGGAGCGGCGATGGCCGTAGCCGCGAAGGCCAGGGCGGCAGACTGCGAGAACTTCATGTTGGGCAACAACAAACAACTTCAGACTGAGACGAGATGCCTGGTCAGTAAGGTCTCCTCCCGTCAAGCGATGGAGGGCAGCTTGTCTTTATACCGGGAATTAGTCCCCTTGGCGCTGCAGAGCATCCCTGACGGCAACCCGGAGTCTCTGAGGCGAGCATCGGAGCCATGCAATCAGGAAGACAGGGCCGCTGAGAGCGAGAGGCCTCGGCCAGGAACCTCCGAGGAAAGCTGGAGTGGCACCGAGCAGAGCCGGCTGGGATATAGGGTGCGGGGCAGCGTCTGAGTGCCGAGCCCAGCGAGTGGACAGCTTCCAGATCCCATCTCACCTTTCATATAGGGCCTCATTTGTTCTCAGTCGACCACCGCCGGTCCGGCCCTGGATTGGCGGCAAGGCCCATAGGAGCTTGGCTTGCGATTGGCAATCAAATTGTGGGGAATCGGGGTACCGTCCTGGTAATCTGGGGGAATTATCCCACCCTCATGCATGTCCTTTCGATCTGTCGCTCAGTTACACTCAAGGAAAGGGAGCCCCCATTACCCCTTGCAGCCATCGCAAGGCTGTGGAGAAACCCCACCCATGGTGGCCGCGGCTCGAGGCGCCCAGCCATATTGGAGGAACGGTTGGCTACAGTTTGAGCTAATATGCGGAGACAGGATAGGCACTCGCCATATTGCTCCGGGAGGATGAATGGTAGTCGCCTGGGAGCAACATGGCTGCCGCATAGACCTTGCCGGAAACTGGCCACACAGGATGGCAGTCTGGAAGCAGCCTTGAAGGATGAGTAGCGCCGAACCTTCGTTCCTTGGTTAGTTCGACTGGTCATAGGTTTGTTGTCCTGAGCTGTACATCTTGAATCGACTGAGCTCACAATCACTCCACATCGTCATCTGAACCAGATGCTTAACTGGGAGGGATCATCGATGCGGGGACCCCGGCCTGCTGCTGCGAACCATGAGCTGCCCTCCTCCACGGCCGTGTCATACCGGCTGACCTATGGAGCCAAGCGGCAGTTGATGGCTAAAATACGCCGTTATTTGAAACCGCGCTTCATCATTCGCGACGGTCCTATATGATACTCACATTAAGCCGCATATTATTAGCCGGAAGCCCAGCCCAGAACCACGGGAACAGCGGTCTTTTGCTCGGTTCCGCACGGCACGCCTCTGCCGGCCCAATACGACGGCTTTGTCGCCGCCTCGGCTAAACCGCCCGGAGGCCTTCTTGACAACGGAGCGACGACCGACAGACACCAAATAGGATCTCGTTCCTAAAAACCGCGCTCACGTGGAATCTAGATGGGTTTGGAAGTAGTGTATTGCTCGCAGACCTCAGCTCTGTCCCGCGCAGGACACAGAGACAAGACCTGAGGGCTGGTAGCGTGCCGTGAGGGATTGAGAATGCCACCCCTCTCTGATTCGACCGGCGGTGGCGATACTACATTATGACTCGGTTGGACAGGAGATATGTAGTTCAATTCAAATGAGTCTTGCTGACTCCGGTAGCGGGTTTCAGAATCCTTTCTGGTTCTAGGACTCGATATAGTCGGTCTCGGGCCGGATCCCTATAGCTGCGGAGCTGACATCGGTCCGGTGAGATACGTCGACGTCTATAGAGCTCTCCCCCAGAAGTGCCTACCTGTCTGATCAACAGCTCGTTTCGTGTTGGTGGACATCAACCTAGCTTTGTTTCTAGGCAGTCTTTCTGTCTTGAAGTTCAAGAACAGGAATTAGGTGCCATAGGGTGACGACCGCGAAGTGATCTATCAGATATGCGTGCTTGTCGCCATTGAGAAAATGATATATCCATGGCCCAATGGACCGCAAGTACAATGCGCGAACCCGACTATTCAATGCTCATACGACCGTCAAAAATGCTGGCTTAATAGCTGCCGGATATGAGTAGGATGAGAGCATAGAAGCTAGCATCGATGGCGAAAGCGAAAACTGTCCAACGTTTTCCTCGTCACAATGGGAAGATCATGCTGAGTCCAATCAGTCCAAGTGCACATGGGCTATTATAAGTCACAGTCAAAAAGGGAAGACCTAAAATTATAAAGTTCCAATGCTTTAGGCATCCATGAGGCGAGGGTGCTGGTAGTCAGAATCAAAAAGCAACATCTGGGTTCTGAAAATAATAGGAAGAAATAGATGACAAGAGCTTGAGCATGGTGTGCTTGATGTGTGCCCTGTGTCATGTGTGCTAGTTTCGAGGGAGGGAAGTGACACACCTTCCATAGCTCCTTCGAGTAGGCATAGGTACGAATGAGGTTTAGGCAACAATGCCTCAACACGGAGTTGACTGTTGAACTTGAACCCTTAAGCACAGTGAACACCTGGATAACCCTTCTCGAGAAGAAGATAGTCAAGGCTGTTAAACCTATCTAAGACTTCCCCTTCGGGCTCAATGCATTCCCGTCTAGCAAGGGCAAGAGACCCATCCTTTTGAAATATCGTCGCCTACCCTGTAGAAAGACAATCATCAGATTTGACAGATCTACCTGCAGTCGATAGATCGAGTGGATCAGTTGCTTTCCCTTGCTCTAAGTGAGTATTGCTCAGAATATCCTTGAGTTCAAGAAAATTCGTCGTTCCATCCTCGGAACTCATACGAAGCATTCGAATACGAGTCGACGTGCAACAGCGTCCCATTATACGGGCCATGTACGAGCTAGGGTACAGTCAAATGAAACCATTTTAATTCCTCTGTATGCGCCACCAATGAGCCTATTCGTACATACGGGTCTCCTAGCTGTCTCCGAAGCTACAAACCCAGGTTTTAGTCTACTTGGAACGGCTTAAAGAACGTGAGAAATGGTCCGCCTCTAGCCTTACATGAAAGGCGGCAGCGCAAAGGGATACCCGGCATTCTTTCCCCGGAAAATGCTGATGAGGAAGCTGTACATGACGAAAAGGATGGCAGCCCACACAAAGACGGCCACGCCCTGAGCCTTGGGGTCGCTTATCCTGGGAACTTTAATCGCCAGAGAAATTCCAGAAAGGGCGAGAATGCCATCTGGTATTGTCAGGAATGCCCGCAAAGAGAGAAATAGGGTGCCGGACGACTTACACATGGCAGCCACAATCTGGGTTTCGAGACCGTACTGATTCTGGAAGCCGTTTGCAAAGTACCTGATGCCTCCCTTTCCATCGCCGGCAACGTACGGGACATTCCTTATGTGGTTGAACATGTGGCCGCTCGTGAACAGCAAAATTGAGATGAGGGTTACGGCGGCCCAAACGGTACGGCTTTGGATGATGGGAAGGATGTAGGGCCAGGCGACGTAGGAAGCCGTAAGCCCTCCAGACAAGATAACAAATGTCGAAATCCATTTGACCCAGTTGATCGGCCGTTTGACAGGCGGGTGCGGGCGGTCGGGAAGATGGCGGGCAACCCAACTGTGAACCTGTTCTGCTTGTTGGGCCCTAAAGCCGACGTAAGACTCTGTCCTTTTGACCTGGTATCATATGTTGCTTACCCGCTCGTGAAGTCATATCGGATGGGATCGGGCGACGCAGCAGCGTGAGGGCCGACGGTGGGCGGGTACAGGAACAGCACCGGGGCCGTTTGCAAGCCCAGCTGTGCCATAGTATTAGCCATCTGCGCCGTCACGAGAGGATGGGAAGACTGGGTGTTCATACGCTCATAAAAATGTCCCTCCCATCAGCAAAATCCAAAGTCCCAAAGACAATCCGGGACTCGCCAGCCTTGTCTCCATTGACCCAGCTCCTGGACAGCAGATCCCACTCGGGCCCAAAATCGCGGCACATCTGGCACCCGAACCGAGGGTCCATGGCCGTCAAAAGGACGGCGACGGTGTAGTCGCGCGGGGTGCTGGTAAGCTCCCGGTACGTCGAGTCACCGAGCTTGACGGGCGTCGAGGAGAGGGACTTGGCGTGGTAGGTCTTGAAACGCTCTTCGCTAGACTTCCTCGCGGCGAGTGACCCGGCCGCGAGGAGAGAAACGGACAGAAAGGAGGGTAACCAGCGCATCTTCGCTGCCGTGTGTGAAACGCAGTGAATGAACCGGAAGTGAAGAAAAGTGTCCCTGTCGTTAAGGGCCAATTGCTCCCTAACAGATGCCGTCAAGGTTGTCGATGGGAGCTTGGCGGTTGATTGGGCCAGAGCTCCGCTGGAGTCAATCAAAGGTGTCCTCAAGGCCAGGCTAAAACGACAGCCCTCGGCCCCGCCTAGACGTTGTCCTCGGTACCTGGAGGATCTGTATCAACGGCGATCCATGCTCTCCAACAATAAGCTATACCTGAATGACTGAAGCTTATGTTACTTTGAGTATTATAAGGCGTGAAAAGTCAATCCCTCTTGTTCTGCCAATGACGCCGTTTTGTGGCTAGCAAGAGTCAGTAGTGAGAGTTCTAAGGTACGTTACGGTACTGGAGTACAGTACCTTCACTTGTCATCCTCACTAAACCCTAGGGTTAGCCGGCTCCAAGCAATGGAACCAAAGGCCTGTGCGCGGCAGCCGGCCGGCTTGGCACTGACGGCCCGACAGTCTGGCCGTAACCGCGGGGTCCATCCAGCTAGCTAAGCTGCTTTGGGAACAATGTTTACATCAAGCCAAGTGAGCGTCAATTGTTGTCTCGGACTGCATTCCTCTGACTTCGAACTACACCCGCTCTTCACATTGTCATCCGGCTTCACACTGCCAAGAAAACCCCTACTCAACCAGCGATCTTTTGTCTTTTGGTTTAACTCTCCTTTTCCGCTGCTGTGTCCACATGCCGCCGCTGAAAAGCGCGTTGCCATGTGTAAACATGGACTCTGAAAAGGTACGGTCTTCAACGATCAATCAGAGATGTAGCGCAAACAGTTCCTGACATTCAATTGATACTAGAAGACCGAGATCTTGCACGACCTTCAGCTGAGATACCGTCATAGCATCCATGAGTGCGAGCTTTTGATTAAGGACGAGGAAGCGCGTCGGGCTAAGCTGCGCGGCATGTTGCTCGGAGATGAGGCGACATCCCTGAAAGAACAGTTGGCGAAGAGAGATTCACGCCTAAAGGAGCTGGTCGACGCAGTCGAAGACACACGCATTCAACTAGAAGGCGCGCAAGAAAGGTGCCGCAGGCAGGATATCCTCGTGGCCTCGCAGGCCCGCCAAATTGCCGATCTCAAGGTATTATCACATTGCCAGTACTAGAATCTGCCGTTGCTTCTGACACCACCTTGAGCAGGACGAGCTTTCCGCGTTCAACGCCGTGTCTCAGGACTCGGCCAAGATTTTGTCCGAAAAGCTTGCTCTCTCTCGCGAAGTCGCCATTCTCAAGCCGGAGATAGAACATTTACGATCCCAGCTTGCGCATCAGAAGGATGTGCTTGCCGAAAAGTTGGCCTTGGAGCGCCAGCTCAACATGCTGGAAGTCGAGCTTGCCAATGAGAAACGGGCTATGCAAAAGATAACACAAAGACAGGATCTTGGGCAGCAGGATGAGGCAGATCTGCGTAAGCAAGTTCAAGAGCTGGAAAAGCAATTGGCGGGTGAGAGAAGGCTCGTCGAGAAAGTCAGGAAAGAGCACGAAGGGACGAACCGCCAAGCCGAGGAGGAATTGACATTGCTTCGTGAGCGACTGGCAGCGGCAGAGAAGAGCCTTGCGGCTGAAAAGCGCAGGGCTGAACAGGCACAAACCAAAACTGGCGCCGCGTCACAGATGCAAGAGGAGATAGAACAGCTTCGAGAGAGCCTTGAAGAGGCTCAAACGGCGCTTAGTGCCGAGAGGCGCGCCGTGCAGAAGCAGGCAAAGACCCAAGCCAGCGGGACTTCGGCCGCTGAGGAAGACATCACAAAACTGCGGCAAGAGCTGGCTGAGGCTAGGCAAGCCTTAATGAACGAGAAAAAGGAACAGGAAAAGCTGCGAAAATTAAGCGAGCAGGCCCAGACCGACGCTGAAGATCGCCAGCAAGCCCTGAGTGACAGAGTGGAGAAGCTTCGAAGCAAGCTGAGGGAGACGCGCGAGGAGCTCGAAAAGTGCCGGGCCGAGTTGGATAAAGCGCAAGACAGGACATCCAAAATTTCTACCGTTTCTACGACCACAGTGCCGCTTAAGAAGCCGGGCGCGAAAGGGAACGCTAAAAAGAAGCGGGCTCCTGATGAGATGAACATGGACGACAAGGTCCTCCTCACGCCAGGCAACATGGATGACCGGCCGAAACGCCCTCTTAAGAAGAGGGGTATCGACCTGTCCATGGTCACGGAGAAGTCCAACTTCTCCATCACCCCGTTCCTTAACAAGACCGCCACCATCACCGACACCTCGCCCAACCTGGCCGGCGAGGACAATACGCCAGTGCCCCGAGCCCGGGCCGCTACCGCTACCGCCGCTCGCGACAGCGAACCAGACCCAGCCAACACAGCCGAGGAATCCGAACCACCCAAGGACCCCGCTGTAAAAGCTACCGTAGCTGGCAAGACTCTTGTGGAGAAGAAACCGCGCGGCCGGCCACGGACAAAACCGCTAGCCGACTCTTCCGCTTCAAAGAAGAATCTGACCTCACGGCCAGTCAACAAAGCCCCGCGCGCCGAGCCGACCCTGGAACAGGTTGCCGAGGAGCCCGACGATGACAGCGCCGGTCAAGAAGACCAGGAGAACCGCTCAACAGAAGGCAGCACCAAGACCGACAAGACAACAGCAGCAACCGCCCCAGCCGAGCCCAAGAAGAAAAAGCGCAAGCTCCTCGGGTCCAACGCCCCAGCCACCCTGTTTGACAATGATGACGAGGGTGAGCGGGTGAAGGCTTCTGCTTCTTCTGCAGCTGCCGCCGCTGGTGCGGCTGGAATCTCCTCCAAGCGGCCGCCATCCGTAAAAGCTGCCGCTGCCGCTGCCGCTGCCGCTGCGGATGGAGAGGCAGCGGGAGGCGCTGCTGCCACCAAGGCTGCTGCTGTGGCCAAGACGGTGCCTGGTCGTGCGGTTGGCGGTGGGGTAGGCGGCGTCAAGAATGCCTTTGGCGCTGGCAAGACGTTTTCGCCGCTGAAGAGGGACCGGAGGGGCGTGGGTGCTACCTTCTTGGCTTGATGGCACTAACGCTTTGCCTTACTTACCTGGGTAAGGGATAGGCTGTCGTGAGGCTTTGGGGTGTAGTTGTATTGTACAGTAGCATGTTCGGGTTGGGATAGGGTGATTGCTGGTGGGTGCAGGTTGGGCTTGGGTGGTTGCATTGTTCGGCGTTTGCGGATTTTGTTCGTTTAGGTTTTGTGCTTTGGCTGGCTTGGTCTGGTCTGAGGTTGGGCTTAGGCTGGGGGCGTCGCTTCTGGTTTTGTCACTCTTACTGTTCATCAATATGGAGGTCCGTCTACCAAAATGTATTCCATCGGTTGATTGTCCCCAAGATTGGTGACGCGTTATGGTGGGTACTTGTACCTGCCCGGTTGATACTTGGGCTGTGGCTCGAGTCTGCTAGAGCTTGCTTGAAGGCTTCGTGTGATATGAGCCGGGTCTGCGTCGTCTTAGACAGTGAACTGCCTCGCGTGTTTTTGGATCATGATGATGCTGCCAATAGTGACGTGAGAGGTGATTCCCATGAGACCGTCGGCAGTATTGAGCGAATACAATCACCAAGTCTCTCTCACAAGAAGAAAGTTACAACGTGAATTTATGAGAAGGTTCAAACGGAAAGTGACGTTGACGAACAATACCCCTAACCTGAGATATTGAACTCACTACCAACAACCGAGGTTATGCTACTAAGGAAAAGGTCACACCGCTTAATGTGATATCCATCATGCTGAGTTCATATCAACATGCAACGGACTGAGGGGTTGTATGTATCAAGACAGCAAGCATACTGAATTCTTCACTTAACCACACGCTCAACACATACGATTCTTTATCTCACAATATTCCTTCCATTCACATCCATAACCAGAACTAGAAAGGACGATCACGTTCCAAGTCTCTTGCTTATGCGGTAACACGTTGCAAAAAGCCGCACTTATGCAGGCGCAATGGACCCGGGCGCCGTTTCGCCTGGCAGGGCGTTCATGTCCGCGGTCCATCTACAATACAGGCAGCTCACTCCCGTCCACCGCCCTGCCAACATCCATCCTCTCCGGATTTAGTTCGACGTTACAGCCATGGCCCTCACCACTCCCAACCCATCTAATCACCCGCCCCTCGTCTTCAGCCTCGTCCCGCTGGAAACAGCGCCAGGGGGCCGACCATTTTGCGCGCGAGGCCCGGGTGATGGGGCTTAAGTCGCGTGCCGCCTTCAAGCTCCTTGAGCTCGACGCCAAGTACCACCTCTTTAGGCGGGGCAAAGGGCAGGTTGTTGTGGACCTGGGGTTTGCGCCGGGGTCGTGGTCGCAGGTGGCCGTGGACCGGACGGCGCCCGACGGCCGCGTCGTCGGCATCGACATCATCCCCGCGCAGCCGCCGCGCGGGGTGAGCACCATCCAGGGCAATTTCCTGTCTCCCGGGGTGCAGGCTATGGTGAAGCAGTTTCTGCTGGACGGGGAAAAGAGGAGGAGGGCGGAGTTGGCGGCTGGAAAGGGGAAGGGGAAGCCGGCTGAAGCCGAGACCGAGACCACCGGCGAGGAGGACGCTGAGGGTGAGGAGAGCATCACGGACCGCCCGAGTTACATCGACCTGGAACGTATGGCCGCGCTCGACATCGAAGTCGGGTCAGTCTCACCCTCATCCTCCTCCCCCACGACAGCAACAACAGACAACACCATTTCCAAGGATGTCAAGTCCAAGCCAAATCTCCGGTTGGTAGACGTGCGTTGACCCAAGCCATCTCGTCCGGTCCCCCAGGATCCGTTTTCTGAAACGCAAGACCCAAGCAACAACGAGCCCTTTCACCTAACTGGTCTAACTCGTGGGAACAGGTAGTTCTCAGCGACATGTCAGCACCCTGGCCCCAGACCCACGGCTTCTCCATCCGCAGTTTGAGTAACCCGCATATCAGGATGATGAATACGAGCGGCGTCGCCTTTCGGGACCACGCCGGGAGCATGGTAAACCGCTGCCCTCCTTCTTGCCCCTACCCCCAACTTTCCATCCCTCCCTACCCCACACCGTCACCCCTCCTCCTCTCATATCCAGATACCCGCACCGAATAATAAATGAATCACATCCATAACCCCGATATTCAAGCTTCCCCTCATGCTAACCACACCGGTCCCTGCCACCTCGCACCCCCAACACCAGGACCTCTGTAGAGCCGCCCTTTCTTTCGCCTCGGACACGCTCAAGACGGGCGGGAATTTTGTCTGCAAGTTCTACCAGGGCGCCGAGGACAAGGCGTTTGAAGGCTTGCTCAAAAAGATGTTTGCGCGAGTGCACCGGGAGAAGCCCGAGTCGTCGCGGAGCGTGAGTAGCTTTTCCATTCTTTTTTGGATTTTTCTTTTTTTTTTTTTTTTTTTTTTCCCCACGACAACGGCTGGATTTGATCTTGTCTGTGAGCATGCTGACACCAGGTCAGGAGTCCAAGGAGGCCTTTTTTGTAGCGCTCAGAAGGAAAGGAGATGTCAAGCTCGAGGATATTGACCAGCCTGAATCATAGTTGGGAAAGTATCCGGATAGTTTGCGAGGAGAGGTAATACCCCAAGATCCTACTTGTATGTACAATACATACCTAGAGCACATGTATAGTATGTCACGATATCTGTACAAATAGATTCACAATCACAGCATTCCGATAGGGAGGGTTAGCCGTAGGGCAAATGGCACTTCGTCATTGGTAGCCATGGCATCAGCAATAGCGCGCCAGTCAATTCCTTTTTCATGCCGTCCGTTCGAAATAAACAGGGAAAATGACTTTTTTTGCCCATATGCTGCCAGTAATGACAAGCCCGGAAAGCACATGCCCAAACCCATTGCCATGCAACCGAGAACCCCACGCCATGTTGCCCCAAACTCCCTCCAAGGGTATCCTCCTTTAGACCTTGAAGCCACGAGACCTTCTGCGACCACGGGCACGCTCGAACTTGCGGCCCTTGGACGCGACATAGGGCTTCTGTTTCCGGTGTCAGTCCAGTTCTCAGGTTCCAAGCCAGATACCGGCGCAGAAGGTGAGCAAGAGGGAGAAGGGAACCAACCTTGTGCTTGTGGGGACCGAAGCCAAAGTGCTTGACGGCCTCACGGGCATTCTTGGGCCCGCGGAGCAGCAGGGTGTTGGCGCCAGTGGGCTTCTCGAGGGCCAGCTGGTCGAGTGTCAGGGTCTGGCCGCCGGCAGCCGTGATGCGCGCGCGGGCCGTGGCCGTGAAGCGCAGGGCGGCGATGTTCATCTTGGGGACCGTCAGGAGGCGATTGTCATCGGTGACGGTGCCGACAACCACAACCGTCTTGTTCTCGTTGCCGTTCTTGAGGTTGGCCGCGATGCGGGATAGCGAGATGGGCGGGCGGTTGATGCGGCTCATGAACAGGCGGCGAAGGACCACCTTGTTGAAGGGAGCATCGGTGCGGCCTGCAGATGGCGGTGAGCACAATTTTTCGAGCTTTTGGCGGCTCAAGGCCTGGGAACAAAACTTACGGGCCAGGAAGCGGTAGAGCTTCACCAAAAGCTTCAAGTAGACATTGTCGCTCTTGGGGGCCTTGCGGTGCGTAGACCGCTCGTGGTGCTTCCGCAGATCGATACCTATTACCGGGCGAGGACTCCAGTCAGCCTTTTGGTTCTGGTATGCTCATTTTGGCGCGCTCAACCGGTAATGGATTGTCTCTGAGCTTCCGCAGGCTCTTCTCGCGATTGAGAAGAGGACTGACAGCAGCGCAACGACGACGAATCTCAACCAGGAACGGAGATGCCATGGTTCGCAGAGAGAAACGGTATTTCCGAATCTCTCCACTCGCACACAAAGGCTTCTAAGAGGCCTGTTTACGTACCCATCGTGACGGTGACTCGCGGATTGTCGACGGAATCCGAGTCGATGGGAAATTCGTTGGGCGATGAGTGGAAAAAATGGTGGTCCCAGATTTTGGAGGGGATTTTGGTGGAAGTTTCTGTGCGTAGGCGGTGAGCAGCGGCAGTTCAGCGTAGCTCTGCGAGGCAGCCCCACTCTCCTTTGCTTGTGGGGATTCTGGGAATTGGGGAATTCACACTTGACCCTGACACTTGACACTCCAGATTTCAACACTTCATTGCTTCGAGTCGACAAGCCCATGTGTACCCGTATTTACTTGCTGTTAATCTATCTTCATGATTGATTCTAACTCTATCTTTGAGTACCTATTTCGCCGTAAAGAACACCAAGCACTGCTGCATCTCTGCTCTACAGCAGAGCACCGGTATCACAGCGCAACAGTATCCACCCCGAGAAGCTTCAAGCTTTGAGTGGCTGAAAAGCGACTTGCCGTTGTTCAGAGCCGTTCCTTAGCCTCACTGACATGATTCCGACATCCGTACCCTATACCCACCGCGTCCCGCCATGGAGATGGCAAGGAATGTAACAAGAGATGTATGCACAGGAATGGAAGCCACCGGTCTATTATACATGCGACAAGTCCTTCGCGAAAAGGGTCAAAGCAGCTCGTTGCCAAGCCGCATTTGGCCTATCCTCACTGCCGTACAAAGTAAACTCGAACGCGAAAAATGGTGGCCGTCTGCAGCGCTCATTGAGGGTATCGAAACCTTCCCAACTATCCTGTTTGGAAACAGCGTCGAGTTGCAAGGGTTCGGGAGACATAGGGGAAGAGATAACGAATATGCCCGACCCAAAACCGTCCCTTCAGGGCGGTGATTCGTTTTGTACGCCGGGAGAAAACCCAGCGTTATCAAGATAGTAGGATGGCAAGAAATGGTTGCGGGAAAAGGGCTTCCTGGCGTGCCCGTGAAAGCGGCAAACCATGTCTGCCGTGTATATAACCAGAATTCCGTCTAAACAATTGTGGAATCCGGAGTCTAAGGACATCGAGAGTCAGGGCCGTATCGTGGAGCCGTACCGTGAGGTCGTAGTCCAATTTCAGTTCGTGAGGTGTCAAGGGTCATTGTAGCGACGGGTCTTCTTCTGGCTTCAGGCTGACGAGGAAGTCGCGGCAGATTTCAAAACTCAACCAGCTGGAGGCCATACTGGGGGCCACTTTGAGCAAGTTGGGGACGATACCCTTATATAGGCCCTTGACGCCTTCTTGGGCAATGATTACACGGACAGCGTCGGCAAGGGACTTGTATTGGTAGCCCAAACCCGACATAGTGTTGATCTGGAACCGGCGTCGTAGGACGTCGCTGCTGGCGGTCAGCACCGGGGATACGGCAAACCCTGCTTTGGCTATACCTACAATGGATATGTGCAAGTCTGCGCAACGGCGCCAGAGATTGCGCCAGCGGCGAGCTTCCGGACAGCGCTAGGATGCTGGTCCCCTTCCAATGTCAGGTATTGCCGCACAAATTCGTAAGTCATAAAGTTCAGGCCAACCTATGCCTCCCGTCAGCGCCACACTGCTCAATGCACACTAGGTATGCCGCCGGATTTCATACGTATGGCGCAACACCAGCCACGGTGGGGACAATTCCTCTGTACAAGGCTGTAAACCCTCCCTCCGTCTTGTACATCAGCACCATGGTCTGCCACATGCCTGGGAGTTTCTTTGGCCTTTCGCCAAGTTCGGCGAACGAAGCGGACTGAATTGAGAGCCGCGTGCGCACAATGTCGAGCGGGTAGGTGAAGGTGACGGATGTGATACCAGCCATGCCGCCGCATGTTAGACGCGAGATAGGCGTGAGAGTGTCGCCCTGGTATCGTTCGAAGAAATTCTGCGGCCGCACAATTCCCAGTCAGCACAGTGCATCCCAGCGAATGAATGCTTAGCGCCACGACAAAGCCTCGAGACATGACTCCCACCCGCCCAACCATGCTAGATATCGCAAAGTACCCACCCTCTTGTAGAAGTTGTAACTCCCAAACTGAACCGCCGAGTAGGGCACAATACGGATGCAGTTGGTGCCGTTGCCCCTCATGAAACCGCGCCAGCCCTCCTCTTTCCACATCTTCATCAACGCCTTGCCCACACTGAGCTTGTACGCGTCGCGGCCGGCACTCTGGACCTGGAACAAGATTTTTAGACGTTCAAGCGGCGACACGACGGTGCGCGAGACGGCACCGGCAACGCCGCCGGCGCAAAAGGCAGCTACTACGGGCTGGGAGATGCCGGCGCGGAACTGGTCGAGTGCGGAGAGCTTCTCGGACGGCGGAGGCGGCGTCGGTGCTAGATCGGGGTCCTGCGAGCCCCGCCCATCTTCGGGCCCGGCCATGGCTTGCTGTGTCTGTGGTGTGGGTTGTACCGTCAGTCCTCTTCTTGCCTATCAAGCAAGGTTGTGACGAGCTGGGGCTCGAGTCTACACAGCCGCACTGGCGAGGCTCTTCTCAGCCCAGATACCAAGAAGGACACACGCACAGCTGACATTGAATGAAAACAGGAATAGCGTAAGGGCCCAGATAGCGCTCCGAGACCAACCGGAGCCTATCTGCACGGCTTACGGGCTTCGCAAGGACTATCGTTGCCGAGGAGCGCCGAGGGGCCTAGTCAGGGCTGGGCGCATTCCAAGTGCCGCGACACACCGAGAACGAAAGCGCAGACCAGATCGAGGGGGAGGAACAGCCTGGCCAGCTCCAGTTCTTCGGCCAATAAGTCCCAGCAAGGGTTGGTGGAAGCCGGGGGTTTAGCTGTCCAAGAATGGAGAATCGAGTTTGATGTTATGGTAGGGAGGACCACATATCGGGGAAAAGAGGTCTTTTTGATACCGCAAGTCGCATAAGTGGCGCTGCTGTTGGCGTGGTCGTAACGTTGAGTACGCTGCGTTTGGTCGTCGGGCCCGTCCTAAGTTTCTTGGGCCTGGTTCAGGCTCTGCAAACGAACGTTTAAAGGGCTCGCTCGGCAGGGCAATTGGGAGTTTTGAAGATTGCAGGGGGAAGATGAGGGTTGGAGCTTTTGGGAGTAACTAACCGACTTGGACCGTGTGGCTGGTGGAGATTGGCTGAATCGGGAACCATGGCCCGGATGACGAAAATGTCAAACAAGGCAAAGGCGCCAAGCCAGCTCTGCTGCAGGGCGGCTTAACGGGTCTCCTGGACAGAAAATGCATTGTGCCCAACTCACTCAGCTTCTAGAAACCACTGGTAGGATCCAAGACACGGCGCAGCCAAGTCATACACTACAAATGATATGCGGCCCAGGAACTGTTTGGATAGGAATGCTCCCAGTCTGGCACAAGTCATGCTCACTCGACCACTGCTGTCTTGAATAAACAGGGCTGAGAAGAGCTTTGGCTGGCGTTTGTCATTGGCAGGCAAGCAGGCTAAAGTTAAGCCGCAACCTTCAGCTCTTCAACAGCTCTGAGCGTTCCCTACTTTGAATGTAGTACGACGTGTAAGGTTTCCCAGTGACTTGGGCTTGGAGCCATGGAGTTTTAGAGAGCAATGGGGCAAGGAGGGATACCTGCAACACAATACTTGTTCAGCCAAGTAGACCTGCGTTTCGCCTGGATACAACGAAAACATTCTCTTGAGGTTTCTCAACTGTCGGTGATAACCGCTTGCATAGTATCTGCGCCAAGCGGACTTCGAAGGCTAAGTCTAGGTTAAGTTGGTGCACTCCTATCTATGGTATCCTCCGGTTTGACATTCTTATCCAAGCACTTCGCTTCGGATCTTGAGGATTGGTGTGCCCCTTGAATCCGAATCGAGCACGAAATATAACCTTGGTCGGTAGTGTAGTGGCCGGTTAGTCAAGTCAATCGACCACTGTGGGCATCCTGTGACCGTTTGTCGAAGTTTGAGTCTAGGGATGCCAAGACACCGGCAGGGTTGATAGAGAACACGGGGCATTGCCACAGGATGCCAATGCAGAAATCAAAGTTTCGGTGCTACCTACTACAAGTTTATCTATCTGCTTTTCCCACGACCCCGCCTAGCGTTAAGAAATGAGGACAAACATCGCCTGTGTAGGTCTACATTCGGTATCTCGGGAGGCGGTGGCCAACGTTAACCCGGTGAAGGTTCTCGATGTAGAAGGATTCGCTGGGGATTAACCGGCAACCTGGGTCCGACCGACTCGCAGCTAGAAACGGGGAATTGAGGTTGATCTTGTTGAGCGAATCGCAACGCCCAACATCAGTAGTCCACCATAAAAGGGAAGAAAGGACCAAGCACATTAACAGTCTTACAGCCAGACTCAACGAGAATTGCAACTAACAACTGTGCCCTATCGGAGGTGCTCATTCGGCAACGTCGAGGTCATCGTGCGCCGGCCGGTCGGGACTATCTATGGCTGCATGGGTGGGGTTAGCTGCTACTAATTGGCTGCTTCGTTTTTGATGTGTAGTGGGAGCACCATACGCTTCCTGTCATCTCCATTAGCCCCGTTTTCACGGCGATCGCGGTCGTCACGATCGCGGTCGTCCTTGGAGTCACGGTCCCTATCGCTACAATGGATTTTAGTACGACGAAGAAGCGGATAGACTCGGGTGTGTCAGCTCACCGATCGGGGCTGCGGGAGCGGTCACGAGTGTCGCGGCGGTCTCGGTCGTAATCCCGGTCGCGGTCCCGGTCACGGCGGTCATCTTTACGAGGCGAGTAGTCGCGCGTGCTGCGCCGCGGCGGGCTAGGCGAACGACGGCGGGGAGAACGGCGCGGCCCACGGTCCCGGTCGCTACGATCAAACCGCCATGAAGCGGAAGGAGGAGTGCGGGCCCACTGAAGAGATGTCAGCAGTTGCAGGGTTGGGCGCGGATACTGGAGAACTCACCTCGATTTTCAGGATGTCGTCACGGCCGATACGCTTGTTGTGCATGTCGTGGTACGCATCGTCCGCGTCGCGGCGATCTTCGTACTCGACGAAGGCAAACCTGAACTCGTGTTAGAACAAACGACTGCGACAAAGGATCGAGTAGGGATTATAACTTACAGTCTGCTGCTTGCAGACCGGGGAGCCGGGATATCACACCGGACAAGGCGACCATAGCTGTATCGATCGGTATTGTCAGCATCTCGAAATTCGCGGGGCTGGTCTAGGAGGACGTCTATTCGCTAGCCGCGCGCTGTTCACTCCATATCTCTCTGCCGCTTCAAAACGCGGCTCGCCCGAAGTGGGGAGGGGTTCATGTCTTCGCCGACCGCTCGATCGAAAGGAGGTTCACGAGGACGAGGGCGCGAGAGCCGGAGCCCCGAGAAAAATCGAGGGCGGTCGCGGTAATGGTAACGAAGGGCGGCGAGGTACATGGAGATAAGGAGGGCGGAGGGGGGCGCGACGACGAGGAGGGAGGGGACGGAGGGAGGGGAGGACGGTAAGAGGAATGTAATCGAGGACGAGGACCGAGCTCGAAGCTGACAATCGAGCCATCGCCGTGCTTGCTAGACGTACCGCTCGAATTCGTACGCGAGGTCGCGCGCGCGAGTGCCGTGGCTGAAGCCGGTCACGTAAAGGGTCGTCCCGTTGCGAGACATGGTTCCGGAATGGAAGAAAGGAAGGTGTCGTAGATGATTTTGCTGTGGTGAGAATACGGTGAAGACGGCTGAAGCAACCTTCCCAATGAGTGTCTCTGCGGCACAACACTTCGCTGACTGAGTCTCTCCCTTGCTGGTTCAAGAAAGAGAACAGGTTGCAAAAGCGATTTCGAAATCGCGATGCTTAAGCTTAAAAGGGGACCAAGAGTCGCTGTTCGATAAAGGTCGATGGTTTGATCCAGGCAGTGGATGAAGAAGCGAGAATCGAAGCATCGAGAGAGTGGAAAAGGCGAGCCAAAACCAACCTAGGCTGCAGGACCCACAAATCTGCAGGCGTTAATTGGCCAAAGTAAGCACAGTGCGGATTCAGATGGGTCCCTCCGAGTCCTTTGAGACGGTGTTGGCCAACTTGAAGGGCCCAAGTTGAACTTCAACTTAAAGTTTGCTGCAGTGATTTGGATCAAAGAAGCATGCATTGTTCACACTCAGCTGCTGTCCTCCGTATAGGATCCCTTATTCATCGAGCCATCAATGTGGACTTAGACTTACGCTAATTATTGATGGATTTTCTTTAGATACCGTTTTCTATTGTCCGTATTGACTTTTGGGTATCTTACGCGCGCACAATACAAACATCTCAGCAGACCATCCGTTCCCCTCGGCCTCAACCACCGCATATGCTCGATCATAGTATCAGATAGAGGCTGCACAGGATGCTGGGGCCTGTAAATATGCCGAGCCAAAATATCATATTGCCCAGTGTGGCACGATGGCGGAGCCATTTAGTCCTGCTCAGTCTCACGAGCTGGTCGAGATATTAGCCACTTTGAGAACGACATCCTGAGCGGTAGCTACTCACCGGAAGCTGGCACATCTGCAGGAAAAGCAGATAGCCTCTCAGCTTTTTGAAGATGCACCACATGACTAGCTCGTGCACACATGCCGACAGGAAAAAGGTGATGAGGGTGGCCGTGTGTTTGTCGACCCTCATGGCCGAGATGGAGCTGTGGTAAACATGTCTCAGCAGGAAATTATGGACTGGCCTGTTCCAGTCTCGGGCAAACTGATCCCAGGACACGCAATTCCACCACGCGCCGTAGAAGCTGCGGTCAGCAAAGTACGTCAGCTCCGCCAGCAGATTGAGGATGGTCTCCCAGATGAGGTACCACGTCAGCAGGTACTCCATCATGAAGGGAAAGATGAGATCCGACAGCATCCAGGGAAACTGGCGGAACCGTCCGGCCAGCGGGACACCCTCCTCCTTCATGCGCACCGTGTCCATGACGACCGGGTAGATGAAAGCCTGCGAGATCACAATCATGACAAAGATGATCCCAAAGCAGGCCACTAGCTTCTCGGCGGCATAGTACCAGTTGATGGAGTCGGAGCGCGGGTATTCGAGCTCGTAGACCACCGTCGGCAGGACGATGTACTCGTAGTGGTTGACTAGGGTGAGGTTGTTGGGGTACGCGCGCGCAGGTGTCGTCGACTTCCCCCTGAGCTCGTCCGAAAGGGCGTCAACTTCCCACTTCAGCACCCGCTCGAAAACCTGCACCTGCGTCTCGTCAAGCGGCTCCCGAGATTCGATGGCCGCGGCAATCTTGTCAACATCCGGCACCTTGACATGCGGGAGCGACCTCCGTCTCTGCTCATACTCCCTGGCTGAAGGGGTATGGACGAGATGTGACGTGGTGATGGCAGACACGGGCGGCTCGGTGTTCGAGGGCGCTTTGACCGGGGCGATCCTCTCGAGCTGCTTGAGCTTGGCCAGCAGTTGCAGACGCCGGTGATACACCGTTGAGAGGTGTCCGTTGTAGAAGGCATACGAGTGCTGCTTCATGAGCATGACCAGGCCATGCAGCACAAAAAACACCGTATGCGTCCACGGCCACTCCCTGAGCATCGTCAGGCCGATTACCCCGGCAATAAACATCGCCTGCCATATCTGCCATCCTCCATCAGCCATTTTCACATGCACGCAACAAACCCCTCCCACCGCAAGGCGATGATAACAAAACAGAAACTCACATTCTGCAACACCCACCCAACCCCCTCCCACCTAACCACCCGCCGCTTCACCAGCACCTGCAGGACCCAACTGACGCCCGTCAGGGCGCACATGGCGCCGTCGGCGGCGAGGAGCAGCACGACCTCCGGGCCGGGGGAGAACATCCCCCTCATAATCTCGTTGGTCCCCAGGGGGCTGCCGTGGCGGCGCCAGTTTTCGGCGCCAATCTTGACCACGAAGAGGAACACGCCCATCCAGAACAGGGTGAAGAACCCGTGAAAGGGCGAGTTGGCCGCGTTGGGGTTCTGCCGGTCAAAGGTCGAGAACTTGCGCGTAAAGACCAGGTCGGCAAATTTCCCCGGCGGCCGTGACGGTGGTCGTTGTTGTTGTTGTTGACGTGGGAGGTTCATGTTGTTGGTATCCTCATGATGGAGTACGGGTGGTAGCGGGGTTGGAGTGACTTCTGGCGTCGAGGGCGGCGAGGTCGACGAGGGCGGTGGGCTGCTGCCGGTGCTCGTAGTGACTGTGGTTCCATTTTCGTCTGCTGGCGGGATACCATCGGCTGCTCCTGTCTCTTTGAGTTCAAAGTCATGAGTGTCGACTGTAGATAATGTGGGGGGGTTGTTGTTGTTATTGCCAGGGGCCTTGGGGGAGGATGGTGCCTTTCGTCGCCTCAGTCTGACGGACTCAGTCCAATTGTTGACGTCGCCTTCACTCGTAGGGGCAGACTCGGTGTCGCTTGTGCTTGCTTCGCCGCCTGCCACAGAACCGTCTACTAGCGGATGCGGTGTTGCGGAAAACCCGGGTCCACTACCATTCGGTGGACCCAATTCGGCGGTCCTACCACGGGTGGAAATATTGACGGTGCCGGTGCCGAGTCCGGACCCGGCACCACTAGCATGAGGTTTGCTGTCCCGATCCATCCGCGATTGACAGCCTAACGGCGACGCTGTTTAGTATTCAAGGTTAGAGGAATCAAGTCGTGCTAGACAATGCCAATTGGATTGGTATATGGCAGGTAAGGTATGAAATCCGTAACGCCGCTTGGGATTGATGTGAGATGATGTCTCGGTGGGGTGATGAGCATTCGATTAGGTACAAGTACCAAGCGGCTCGGGAAAATGGACGTTGCGACTCGGTGCATTTCCCATGATTTCACGCTGCTCTAGATAGGCCGAGCTGTCCGGAAAGTAAATCTGGACTCTGAAGGAAGTTAGGAGCCGAGTGACCCGGATCGCCATTGAGCTTACGCAAAGTCGCAAACCAGGTAAGTACTGGTGGCGGATCATCCAATTGTTTGCTGTGGCAACACGATTCGCACACAACACTAGCTGTAAGGTAGGTGCAAGGTTTCAGAATCGCTTTTTACACTCGTAGGTTCTCAATTGGCTGGGCCTCAAAGTACGAATGCAATCAAATGTTCCCTTCGCACTTCAAGTTGAATGATGATTCAGGCCCAGGGTTGGGGTTTTGTGCCAGACGCCTTACATTTATCGGTGCTTCCATGTTGGCTGTCTATATACGCACATTAAGAGCAAACATCAGGCTCAAAAAGCCAAGTACGCGCTGCCTAGGTATCTCAGATATGCCTTTTCCATACCAATTGTGGGCCTTGACGCCTTCCCCCGAACCGGCCGTTCGCTTAGACGGCCAGAATCACATCTCCGAGACAGCTACTCTAACGCAATTCTCAAACATCGTCCACTCAGGAGCGGGCCTATCGGGATGGCTGGAAAACATGCTGGTCGCATCTAGGCGGACCGCGCGTGTTCTTGAAAGAGGCCCGCGTTCGTCGGCCCTGTCAACTGAAGACTAAATCGTGATCAGAGGTCAATTAGGCGTCTCTCCGTTTGGACGGATGGGCAACTCCTTGTCGTTTTCCGCCGTCTTTTCTTGAGCCCCAGGGTAGCGCGTGCCCTTGTTCTTGACCTTCTTCTCTTTCTTCGGCGGCGGGGGGTAAGCCTTTTCTGCAATTTCTTGCCACTCCTTGGAAGCCTGGAATTCCTGCTGAATGGGAGCCAAGAGCGCATTTAGTTCCCGAGCGATAGCGGGTTTGATCAGTTGCGGTGTTAACTACAGATTGGTTAGTTTCTGAGCGCATTGCCGTCGGTAGAGATAACGTACTATATCATTCTTGTAGTCTTCCCGAATCTTCTCGATGTCGGTGTAGATGAGTGTTTCTAACCCATCCCGCTCACGTTCAACGCGGAACTCGCCAGTCCCACGTAGGCGAGCAGCGGGTAAGAGCACGAACTCGATGAAGGCGAGTAGCCCGTTTTCCTCAACTTGCTGAGGAGCAGCATGGGCCTTCTTGATCTTCTTGGCCACGGTCTCGGGTGGATCGAGCAGGTCGATCTTGCTATCTGGGTCACTTGAGCTCATCTTGCCGCCGTGCAACCCCGGGACCATCGGGTTGAGCAAGTGGGCCCTCTGCGAGGCGTCAGTTCAGGGGTTCGTTGGAGTGTCAACAGGCACGTTGCAGCTCACCTCTCTGTATCCAAGCTTTGGAAGCCACTCCTTCGCAGCGGTGAACAACTTGCGTTGATCCATCCCTGCAAAGAATTAGCTCTCGTTCCAAGGCTGCATCATCACAGAACCACACTCGCCTCCAAATTGTGCGTCGCAATCCAAGTACTGCTCATCGAGAACCTGGAGAATGGGGTAAAGCAAACCGCTCAGGGGAGCATTATCCGTTTGCTTGACCACTTCGGCACCGGCCTTCTTCGCATCATGCTCGGAAACCAGAGACGCCATCTTGTACACGTCCATGACATACTCTGGGCTCTTCTGGTACGAGCTGCCCAGCACAACTCTCAGCTTCTCGGTTGACACGCCGACAGCCTGGAGCATTGAGGTGATGATTTTTCGGTAGAATTCGGCGCGGTGCATGACCAATTCGAGCGGCGCCTTCAGATTGTCAAGAAACCCGTGGATGTCGGCGAGAAGGATGGTCACATCGCAGCCGGCGGCGAGGAACTGGGCGATCTTGATGGCGGGGACGAAGTAGCCGCAATGCGGGCGCCCGGTTGTCGCCGTGCCTGTTCGTACAACGGTCAGCATGTGCCAATAACGACATATCAGAAGAGAAAGTAGCAACTCACCCCAGTAGATCTTTGGGTGTTGCCCCTCATCGAGGATTTTCTTAATGATCTCCTCGTTCAAGACCTCGGCGAGGTTCTCCTTGATGAGGGCAAATCTTTTTTCTGAGTCTGAAGCCGCCATTGTGCCGGGCAGTATCTTGAACTGCGAAGTGGATAGGTCGAAATTATGTTGCTGTCGTCGTCAAGGGGTAAAATCACAAGTTGCCCGAAACCGTTGACTCAGACCTGTGGTGGGGCACCCCGGTTATCGTAGTGAATCGCGGGGTGTCTTTGACGATTGGGAAAACTGCCGCTCGCCACCGCCCGGTGCGCCAAGGCGCCAGCGGCCCTCATGCATGTCCACAGGGGGCCTTCTTTGCCATGTTGCGTTCAACACCGAAGACAAACGGTATCAACGAAGTGTGGAGCGACATCTCTGGCTTCCAAAATCCAAACAGTTTCCTTCGCAATGCGGACTCATCTTTCGTGGTCTCGGGTACAGATCTGACGGAGGCCAGGGCGGTAGTCGTTTCATCAGATTCCAATGACAACTGGGGTTTCAAGCGCACTGTTGCTTGTTAGCAGTCTTTTGTAGTCGAAGAGTCCTTTGTTTTGGAAGTTACCGAGTCAATCACATCACTGCGCCCAGTGTTGGATCCCCAAAACTGTTCAATCGTGCGACCTATACAACTTGCCGAGGAGTGGAGATGGCGCTTGATCCATTCGGTTAGAGACCGCCATCATGCTGGAGCGTAACCGACCATGTCCCCTCTCATGGTGATGCTCCATTTGTCGATCCATCTTGACAGATATCCACCCTCAGGGGTATGACCCCTCCTCGGGTCACCGCCAGCATGCCCTACCGGTACTTGTACACAGTTTTCTCGAGAACCATCCAGTTCTCTACTGGCCCTACTCACTTACACGAGACAATGGCAGCCACCACCACAATCGAGGTGCCCCATATGGGCGGCATCCAAGCCGGCTACGCCCTCTCGGGCCCGGGGGGAGCATACGACCCATCCAAGCCGACCTGCGTGCTGATCAACTCCATGTGCACGACCGTGTCTCTGTACAAGGACCAGTTCGCCGACGAGGAGCTCACCTCGGCCATCAACCTGCTCGCCATCGAACCCCTCGGCCACGGTGCCACTAGCTTGCCATCCTCCACCGAGCACTTCACCTACTGGGACTCGGCCATCATGGCGCTGCAGGTGATGGACAGACTCGGGATCCGCGAGGCTTTCGCCTTGGGCACCAGTCAGGGCGGGTGGATCGTGACCCGCATGGCGCTGCTGGCTCCAAGAAGGATCCTAGGCTTGCTGCTGCTGGGGACGTCAATAGACTACGAGTCGGCCGCGTCGAGGGAGCAGTTTGGTGCGTGGGATCCTAAGACGCTTCTTACGCCCTTCTATGACAAGTGGTGCAGCGCGACGGCCACGCCGGAGTTTGTCGTCGACGACGTCTGGTGCGGCATGGTGGCCACGCTGGGGTTCGGCGCTGAGGCGACGGCGGAGTTGACGCAGTTCTGGATCAGCACCCTGAAGGACGTGTACAAGGGCGACGAGGGGAGGAAGAAGCTCAGGATGGCGCTCGCCTGCCTGCTGGACAGGGACGGGCTCTGCCGCAGGGTTCGGGACATCACCTGCCCTGTGCATTGGCTTCAGGTATGTTATTGTGCTTGAGGAGACGGATAGGTTGACTGCTGGCTAAACGATATCACCAGGGGACGGAGGATGCGCCTTTTGGCACGAAACTCCCGGCGGAACACATCAAGCTGTTCACTTCGTCCAAGGAGGCCAAGTTCACTATCATTGAAGGAGGCAATCACTACCTGAACGCGACTAATCCGAAGGAGGTTGGCTTCTACTTGTCGCAGATGGTCAACAAGCACAGCACAAGGTGAAATAAGCCTCACATCATCAATCTAATCCTAACCGTCATACTATGATTCTGTGACCGATCATCCCCCTAATTACTGGTGAACCTATACATAGATCGAAATATAGAGCAAACTACACGTGTATTCGAGAATAACAATCTCTGCTTCAACTTCAACCCCCATGCTAAGCATCGTAGGTGCAGGATGAAGACCGGCTTTTTATCATACTACGGGATGGAGTGAGTCTAGACTCTATAAGGCTGACCATTTATCAGATGAAAGACCCTGAATTGACCTGCAAAGATCTTTCGCCAAGTACACGTACTGATAATCGAATCTAGAACCCGAATGGTAGTTTCTTAAGATTCGGTTCAGCTCTAGGTCAGGCTTAGAATACTTGTCGCTGCGACGGAACGACTCATACCGGTAATACTCCGTTCCTACACAATTCAACTCCTATTCTGATTGAAGCATCACTGACACAGCTACGGCGCAAAGAAACCCGACGGCTCGAATACTTCAAACACAGGCAACAGAACCATGGACTCATTGATCATCAACTTTTGCTCGAACCCGCCCGCCGACCCATCCCATAATCCCCCATGTTCCCCGCCGCTTACTGCATCTTCTCGTACGTCGCCATCAACGAGCCTGTGTCACTGTTAGTATGCAGCTTTCTTCACTGCAGTATAACGTTCAAGACCTACCGATAAACGTCGTAACCAGCCGGCTGCGAACCTGGCAGATATCCTCCGGAACAAGCCAGATGGTTGCTCCCATCTTTCGCGCAATGCTGATGCTGAGTTTGGCATTCAGGTAGGCCTCCTCGTCGGTGCGGCCGGACGTGACAAGGTCGTAGTCGACATAGCTGCTCTTCATGCCATTGAGGACATCCAAAAGGAAGATGCCTGTGCCGATGGCTGGGTCCTTGAACGACCGGATGCTCGAGTTGCGGCCGCCCTTGCGGCTCATGTCGTTTGCCCACTTGACCATCTCGGCGTCTGTGATCTCGCGCTTGCCCAGTCGCTGCGCCAGGCCTTTGAGCGTCAGCGTGATGTCCTTGCGCATCAGCTGCCAGACCAGACCGAGCGTCAGCGTACGCTGTCCGTCCGTGATGTCTGCACCCTGGATGCCGACCAGCGAGAAGCCGTTCTGCTTGCCGAGCTCGATGGCGTAGTTGGTGTTCTCCACCGCCTTGAACCGGAGCATCTCGCCCCCATGCGCCGGAGGCTTGTTGACGTGTCGCCAGTTAACCGAGCCCTTGATCACCTTGTCGTAAGCCTGCAGCAGGATGGTGCCGTCGCGAAGGTCGTCAAAGAAGGATTGTACGGCGGGCTGCACGTCGAGACTGTTGAGCCACAGGGTGAAGACGCGGGCTTCACGTTCTCCTTCCGCATCAAAGTCCTCGACTTGGAGCTTCTCCTCTTCGGTAATGGGGTCGAGAGCCGGGTGCGTGTTGAACAAGTTGGCAACAAAGGCGAGGTTGAGCTTGGGGTTGCCGGCGACAAGGGAAGAGGGAGTCAAAAACTTGCGGCATCCCAGCCTGTCGGCGTTTTGAAGCACCTCCTCTGCTCGTTGGTGCAGATCTCGCGTCTGCAGAGGCGCTCGAGTGCAGCCGTACTCAGAGCCGATCTGGGCGAGCAGCACAGTGTAGTTCTCCCCGTCTTTCACGTCGCTTGAGAAGTTCTGTACTCTCCTGGGCCAATTGGCGGCCTTTAGGTGGTAGTTGAACCAGCGGAGGAGGATCTGCTCAGGCGGCAAGCGAAGGAATTGCTCTAGTGTCTCGTCCTCCTCGAGCAACCGGTACAGCTCGGGATGCAGCTTGATGTCAATCTTGCCCAAGAGCCCGCGGCGGATGATCTGCCAGATTAGGCCAAGAATAAGGTGTTCCCGGACCTCGATGATATCCCCGCTGCCAATGTTCACTACTGAACAGCCAATGCCCTTTGCCGATTCAATAACAATATTGTTGTTTTCCGTCATTTGGAAGGCATTGAGATTCTTGGTCTTCTTCCCCGGGATGTTGAGTACTCGCTCATCGATTGTATCGGGAACACTGTCGTTGATGAGCTTCGCAAGAACTAAACCGTCCTTGCACTCGTCAAACATCTCAAAGGTGTCGGTTGGGAACGGCAACCGGCGACCAATGTCGGGATCGCCGGCAAGGACGGCATTGATGTGTCGAGTGAATTCAGTGCGTTCGTCCTCGTTGATGGTATGAGTAATGTTAGCATTCGAACCTTGTACGAAGATCTTGCCGCCCCCGCCAATGCTCCCCTTGGAAGCATGACCACCGCCTGTCCGCTGTGAGATAACGGCAGCGGGTGAAGAGGTTGCGGCAGCGGAAGCCCGCTGCGAGCCGGCGGAAGAGTCGCGGAGTTTGGCAATAAGCTGAGAACTGTCGTTAGCTGTCTTCCATTACAACCACGTCTTTCGTGCTTGTAGCGAGGCCGCCGCGCCTAAGAAGGCCCCATAACGACCTCACAGGGGTGTTGGCAGTCATAGCGTACCCCGACGTAGTCTTCTAGCTCAACTCGCCTGGACGAGTCGAGTTCAACCTCCTTGAGAGCCTGGCGCACTACATCGTAGGGCTGGCGCTCGCTCGCCTGGGTTGCCTTAATGGCGGTAGCCTCGTCGATGTACCCCTTGTCCTCCACATCGAGCTTGCGGAAGGCGTCGGCTAGAGAGAAGATATCATTCTGCTGGAATTGAGGAAATTTCCTTGCAAAACGTCAGCTGCGGTTGTTCTCAGGCACGCGCTGGCTTTTGCTTGGCCATGATGTGACCAGCTAACCTACCTCTGGAGCTTGAGGACGTTCATGGCTGCGCGATGGCAAGGGGACACAGATGGTCTGACTGAGCTCTGGGAACGAGGCTGCGGGGTGTAACTGATAAAGAAGGCGCCTCCTATAACCAACCCGGAGCACCGCAAGGAAACTGGAACGAGAGAGAGTTTTGATCAGATGAGAGTCGCACCCTCGCAGTTTTTTAGTATCCTGGAAATCAAAAGCATGGAAGCAGTTGCATGCATTCCTCGTTGGGGTAGGCGGGGGTGGGGGGAGGCACCCTGCTCGACTGATGTAATACGGCTGGGCAGAAACTAAGCCACACGAGGGATTGCGTAACTGCCCAATCAGCCCTTCCAGGCAGCGCTATTTGGGACAAAACCAGTCCGAGCACCAGCCCAAGGTAAGCAGTGACCTCAGCGGCTTGGAATTGGAGGCTGACATAAGCTAGCGAAGGTACGGTGTCACTCTGTATTCCACTAACAGGCAGAGCTGCAAATTTGTTCCTCTCTTTTCCCTCTCTGAGCAGCACCCTTGCGAATAGCTTCACATCGTTCAGGGGACACATCGAACCTCAAGCACACGTGGTGCAAGTGAGACATCTAGCACACTACACTAGGCTGCCATATTTCACAAACTACCTAACCGCTGCCTGGCGTCGACGTAACTCAAGCAAACAAATATCACCACCGCAGGTAATTTCAGATTTTCTCGCCCCTGTCCTGTCCGGTGCGAGCTCAGACCATGTTCAAAAATACTGACTCCGTGTCGCAAGACCTTTCATCTCAGTCAGGTCACACAAGACACAACAAAAATGGCAGAAAGCTGCCGAACCTGTCATGACCCGCTCACGCTAACCCTCGACGCCGAGGACACATGCTCAGGCGACGAAGGTCAAAGCCAGACCGTTCCCGACGACCTGCTCCTGCCCTGCGGCTGCCACTTCCACTGGCAATGCCTCTTGGACCAGGCCGCGTCCGTAACCTCCTCGTTATGCTGTCCCTCCTGTACCAGTTACCTCCCCTCCTCCAACCCATCATCATCATCAACCGCACCCACCACCACCAGCACTAGTATCCTGGCGCACTACACCAACGAGGGCGGCGCGCAGCCCGGCTTGAACATCCTCCCCATTCTCCAAGAAGAATCCTATTTAGCTTCCCACCCGGAAGCGCGGCCCGCGCGGGCATTCCACGCGCTGGCCGCCGAGGGGGACGTTCAGGGGCTGGTTGCGCTCCTAGCTGACGTCGACGACAACGACGACAACCACTACGAGGGCTGGGAGGACGAAGAAGGGGAAGAGGAAGGCCAAATCCCCCGGATGTCAGCGGCCTACCTTCTGACCTGGCAGGACCCGCTCAACGGGGGACGGAGCGCGCTGCATGTAGCGCTGGAGGCGCGGCAAGAGGAGGTGGTTTGGCTCCTACTCTGGCTGGGGAGCGGGGTGGAAACGGAGGAGTTTCCGGCGCCGGTGGTGCAGGTTGCTGAGGGGATGGGGCTGCCTCGCGGCGCGGTGGCGCCGGGGAAGGATGTGCGGTTTGTGAGGGATGAGAAGGGACGGCTGCCGGGGGATGTGTGCTTGGAGCTTGGGGGGAATTGGAGCAGAATGGTTGAGCTGGGTTTGTTTGGGTGAACGACATAGAAACGGGGGTGAGAATGGATTGTTTACATCCTGACAGTATCACCTGTCCATTCCGACGGGTGAAGACCTAAGCATTGGCTGCTAGAGGTACTCTGGGGAACGGCAGGAGCATCTGGAGCAGTGGACTGGGGAGAAGGAAGGAGCGAGGAGGGTATATAGCCATTGTTTCGTCCGAGGTCAAGCAAGTTAGACTCTGTAGTGGCCGAGTGGATATTTCAGCTAACTATGAAATCGTTGTGCACGGTTTCGTAGGGCGGGAGGTTCCCGGTTCGAGTTCATGAAGTTCGAGGAAAAGCCCCTCCGACCAGCTTGGAGAACTGTTCTATGAAACCGTGACCCCCGCCTGAGCTTTATGCCGGTTTATCTCTTTTTGTACATTACCCTCAACATTCTCTCTCGATAGAACTTGGAGATTGGTCTCTAGAAGAAAGAGTCCAACCTGAGAAACTAATACCATCTGCCTATTTTGGCAGAAACAAAGGTGCATGCCTTCGACCTGACTCCAGTTCCGTCATGCAATATTCTTCATGCAACTTATCTCCCTGGTCTCATAACGCCTCTGACCAACAAGCCTCCCTGAACTGGGGGAACCTCATCCCGCAAGCAAAATCACATTGCACAACCGAGTACCAATCAACCCTTCGGTGTCCTCATCTTGCTTGCCAACATCTGTGACAAGATGAAATGGCTCACATCCTCGTCGGCCCAGTAACTCATATGTGAAGCAATGGTATTGATCGGATTGAAATCAAGCACACTCCTATTCCAGGTGTTTAGTTCAACCGAATGCCTGGAGGGCGGGGATAAACTCACTCCTGGATGCAGTAATCAATCCTCCCATTTCGGTTGAGCGCCCGAATTTTCATTTCTTCTCTCCTCAACCGTTGTGCTTTCCGCTCCTCCTCCATCCTAAGCAGCAATATCAGTCAGGTGTCTCTGCTTCCGCAGAAGAGAAGGAAACAATTCTGCACCTACCACTTCTCAGCACTTAGGTCACTGTTGCCCGCATTTCCGGTCCCGCCCTTCTCCTTGGCCATATCCACGCGGTTCTTCTGAAATCTGCTGAAAAGCGTCTCGAGCTCGTCGTCAATCAGCGTGGCATCGTTGCCATTCCCGGTGCTGGCAAGCTGCCGCATGCGCTCCGCAGTCTTCTCGCTGCGTTCGGCATCAGAGAGCTGTTTCGTGGTTGGAATCACGCCCGCGGATATGTTGGTGCCCGCGCCAGGGCTCAGGACGTGCTGTTGGTGTTGTTGCTGCTGTTGATGTTGGGAGGCGGTGATTTTGGCCACATCTTCCTGCGTGAGACCCAAGCTGCGGTTGAGCAGGTTGCTAGCAATGCCTGCACTGAGACTGCTCCAGAAGCCGCTGACGCTCTGCCCGACTTTGGCGCCGATGCCCGTGAGTCCTTGGTTTGCGACAGAGCCAAAGATGCCCTTCTTTGTGTACGGCAGCGCCTGTGGTTTCAGGGTCGTCATGACACGCGAGACAAGGGGCTCTAAACGGTATGCGATGGGGTCGGATGGGTGAAAAATATTGAAGAGCTGGCCGACCTTGGGAGATGAGACGCTGAACGGTAGGCCGGTGACGGGCGAGACGCGCTGATTGGCATAAGCCTGCGAAGCGAAGGGATCCTCCATGTAATCCGGGTTGAGCGGGCTCTCGGACGGCAGAGCATCCGGGAGGCTCCGAGCCGAGATGGTCCGGCCCTTGAGCATCTGGAAGAGACCTACAGGTGAGCCAAGGCAGTAAAAGCCCTCGACGTCAAAGTCGAACGCAAGCTCCTTCGGATCCTTTGCTTCGTAACGGTCTTGAGATGGCCAAAACCGAAGCGGGTTCCTCGGGGCCTCTAGCATTTGGGACTTCTCTTTCTGCCGGCAAAGAATATCGAACATGATGGCAGACCCTAGTGAGTGACCAAAAATGTGTACTTTGCCATGGAACTCAGGGTTACGTTCTTTGAATAGCTTGTAGACCCGATTTGACTCTTTCAACACGATTTCGGCGATCTGCTCCCGATAGGCGCTTTGGTAAAGCAGAACATCGAGAGCCAAGTCGGATATGAGTGACCGTGCGAATGCTACGCCCTCAACAGTGATGTCCTCGAGGGAAGGGTCTGGAATGTGTTAGCCATATGGCGAACCAGTTGAGTTCAGAGAAGCCCTACAATCATCCTCTTCGTTGAACATCTCCCCAAGATCATGTTCCCCCTTTTTCTGTCTGCGCTTGGGGAAATCCAAAAGATGACGCCACATTACGGGCAGCACCTGGACACGGCAATTGCCGGGTCCAGGCTCGCCGATCTCTGAGTTGAGTGCTCGCAAATCTTCGGAAGCCGAGTAAACAGACTTCATGGTTTTACGAAGTGTGTTGACGTCGTGGATGAAGTTGATGCTTTCCATCCTGGGACGTTTTTAGCTACTAGACGGATTGGGGAGAAAAGGGTGGTCGAATAATCATCTTACCTGCGTGAGAGCAGTTGTCCTATTCCATGAGTGACAAGAACAAGATGCTCAATCTTACGGCCCTGGTTTTCATCAGCTCTCGTGTTGTAGTCTCCCAGCATTTCCTTTTCTTCACGCTGCCAAAGAGCCTCTTCCTCTGCCTCTGGGTTCTCCACTCCCTCTACTAGGTTTGATAACTGCCGCGTCAGCCTGTTCCTGGTGCTCTCGAGGTCGTTTGATACTTCTTTCTTCACATCCTCGGCGGCAGATCGTATGCCTGACGTGGGTGCAGACCGTCTCTTTTGCGCTTTGGATAGACTGTCACTTCGTTCCTTTGATGCAGACTTCGTCCCGGGCGGTGTCGACGGGCGTGGCTCATCCTTGGATTTCTTTGGCTCGGTGTAACCGCGGACGAGCTTTATACCACCTAGATATCCACCACCAGCAAATCTCTCGTAGACGGTCGACGTTACCCAGGACAACATGCTATCTGACGATAACCATGCGACGGTTGCGTCTTGGTACGTCGCAACGCTATTCATGTAGCTTCCAAACAGGCGGTATGTCTGTGGCTGTTGCTGAGGTGCAGAGGGGCCCTTCTTGGAAGAGCCGTCGTCCTGGGCTGTAGCGCTAACCTTCAAACTGTCTGTCGAAGTCTTTGACGTAATGGCGGTCTTGGATGCCGAATTGCTACGCTCCCTCGACGGATACTGCCAAGGCTTGATCTTGAGGTAGCCTTCCTCCAGTTGCGCGGCCAAGTTCTCTTCACAGGGGCGCAGAGACGACCCCTCTTGGTAGAACCAACTGCCGCGCCTAACCTCATACACGGGTCCTTCCCAGTAGACGGGCGCAAGCTCGCGTTCCTCAATGTCGACGTCGAAGAGAAAGTCCTCATTGACGGCGACTCTTGTGTGCAAAGCCGAGGGGTCTGCACTATCCGCAGTCCCAGTGGAGGTTGCGCGTGCCCTCTTCGACCCAACGGTATTCACCTTGCCCGCTATCCTTTCTTCCTCAAGTTCCTGCAATCTGGCTTGATAGGCGGCCTCAATGGCGCGAGAGTCTTCGACTGAGAAAGCGACGAACTTCTTCGGCTGCGGGGGTTTCGGGTCGCCAGCAACCTTGGACTGCATGAACTGCGGTTTGCGCTTCGGCACCTGGTCAAAGCTGGCAGTGAGAATGGATGCCACAGGGCAGACAACTCAGAATCCGATGTGAACTCACATCGACGGCGTGGAACCACTGCACGCTCAGCGGTGGGCAGTCCTTGGGATAGCGCCCAATACTCTGGCCATAGAAAGGGTTCGTGGTGTGATCCCCCGGGTTGGACGGAGCAACGACGGGCTGGGGATCTTTCGGCGTCGGGGTTGCACTGCGGCTTCCTGCCCAGGGATTGATCGAGTCAACGGCTGAGGCCAGGTACGACTTTTCCGCCTTCTTCTCGGCGGAACCGGGCGCCATTGCGCCGGTATGGCCTAAGGGCCAACCGAAAAGAGGTCTATTGGCACGGTTCGCCTGTGCAAGTCGTCGTCGGCCTATGTGCAATGCGCAACGGGCTACTCCGCAACGCGGTCCAGGCCGTAACACGAGGAGTGAAGCCAAATTTCCAGGAGCAGTAGGGTGCTGGAACGTGTCTTCCAGCACCAACAACCAGGTAGTAGAAATTTTGTCGTTGCAGATGGATGGTGAGAGCGGGACGTAGGCAAATGCGGCACAGGACGGTGAGAACAATTAACTACAGCATGGAGAGTCAGAAATATTCACATTGGTGAAGGAAGCATGTTGTGGTGTCTATCAGCGGGCCAACAACAATCCTCATGAAATATGTCTCGAGTGTGGGGCACGGAATGCTGACAGCGGGAGGTGTGGTCGTGGTTTTGGTCTCGGACTCGCTCAGGTGGGATGGAAGCTCGTGATGGAAGCACATGCTCCAACCGAACGATGACGGAGTGTGCTCACAGCTTGGCTGATGATTGGCGAAATCAGATGCTTGCCGGCAGGCAATTCTGCGAAAGGCTGCCAAGAGATGCGGGTGGACCTGCTGGAGTTCCTGGGCTGGCGCATGGCAGGGGTTAACGTTCGGTGGTGGGGCACGAGTTGAAAGTCATTTTAAACACTGTTTTGTAGCTGCCCCGCCTCTAACAAAAATTGTTCGCGATATCCGTACAAGGAACTTGAGAAAGATCAACCTCTGTCTCCAGCGTCTGCAGCGATCCAACTATCGGCATCTCCACGCAACTGAGAAAGAACAGTCTCGAAAAGTAAAAGATAATTGACGACGAGGGATTGGCTTCACTGCTAGATATCGCCACTGCCCGCAATGAGCAGGTAGCATTGCGACACCGAGGGGCACTGCCGGCGCGATTCGATTTATCCTACATCCCCCAACCAGCAACTCGCGACAACCATAGTCATGGCAAACGATGTGACGGAGGTGCCTACGCGGCGCAAGGTGCGCCGCAAGGAGCAGCTGGTCGACCAGCTTCCAAAGGGCTTCAAAGCGCTCAAGTTCGGTATCCAGTGAGTTTTCCCCGAGGAGCTGCTCGTGTCAACCATACGCTGACAGGGGCATAGATCTCACCAAGACATCGTGAGCCAGGGCGTCCTCGAAGTTTCCGACAACCTATTGTATGATGTCGAAAACCGGCGGACACCATTCCCCCATGGGCCGCTCGACCCTCGCCTGGTGAGTGTCCCCGGCAACACATTGCAGCTGTGACGATAACTGACGGGTTCGCTTTAGGGAACCTCAAGTACGAACAGGGAAAGCAAGTGTAGCACCTGTCAGCTTGGACTACAAGACTGTCCCGGGCATTTCGGCCATGTTCGGCTGCCGCTCCCTGTCTTCCACATCGGATTCCTGAAATACATCCAATCGACGCTGCAAAATATCTGCAAGGAATGTTCAAGAATACTTCTCACGGAGGACGAACGGCGGCAATTCCTCAGGGAGTTGCGCCGCCCGGGAATTGACAATCTGAGGCGCTCATCCATCCTCAAGCGGATCAATGAGCAGTGTAGGAAAGTTAGGCACTGCTACAATTGCGGCGCGCTCCAAGGCGTCATCCGGAAGTTGAGCGTTATGAAGCTCGTCCACGACAAATTCGCTGCTTATAACAAGTCAACTGCTCAAAAAAAGATCGCACCGGAAAGCAAGGTAGAGTTCGACGCATCCTTTGCCAACGCCAAGAGGTACACTCCCGAGCTAGAGAAGCACTATCGGAAGGCCATGGACGATCTGAACCCCCTCAAGGTCTTAAATCTCTTCAAGGCGATTAGCCCAGTTGATTGCGAACTGCTCGGCTTGGATCCCGCCGAGGGGAGACCGGAGATGTTTCTGTGGCAGTACGTCCCGGCCCCTCCAATTTGTATTCGACCCTCTGTTGCCCAGGAGAATGCAAGCAATGAGGACGATATCACCAGCAAGCTCTCCGAGATTATTCTTTATGCTGGACACCTGCGGGAATCTCTCAAGAAAGGAGTCGCCTTGCCTGTTATCATGGAGCAGTGGGAATTCCTGCAGTTGCAGGTTGGCATGTACGTCAACAGCGACGTTCCTGGTCTCTACCAGCCGGGTTTCGGCAAGCCGATTCGCGGATTTTGCCAACGTCTGAAGGGCAAGCAGGGCCGATTCCGCGGCAACCTGTCAGGAAAGCGTGTTGATTTCTCTGGACGAACCGTCATCTCGCCGGACCCCAACCTGAGCATTGAGCAAGTAGCAGTCCCCCAGTTGGTGGCAAAGAACCTGACCTATCCAGAGCGGGTAAGCTTCGCCAATATAGAGAAACTCAGGGAGCGCGTCAAGAATGGCCCGAATATATGGCCAGGTGCCCAGGGAATTATCAAGAAGGATGGGGCAAAGTATAACCTCAAAATCGGTAGCGAAGCACTCCGCGAGAGACATGCAAATGACCTCGCGTTTGGAGACATCGTCGAACGGCATCTGGAGGACAACGACATCGTGCTGTTTAACCGGCAACCGTCTTTGCACAAGCTCAGTATCATGAGCCATCTTGTCAAAGTCCGGCCTTGGCGGACGTTCCGCCTCAACGAATGTGTCTGCACCCCCTATAATGCCGATTTCGACGGAGATGAGATGAATCTGCACGTGCCCCAGACGGAGGAGGCCAGGGCAGAGGCTATCAACTTGATGGGAGTGAAGAACAACCTTATTACGCCAAAGAATGGCGAACCAATCATTGCTGCTACCCAGGACTTCATTACTGCGTCATATTTGCTGAGCAGCAAGGACCTGTTCTTGGACCGCCAATCCTTCACACATATTTGCACTCAGATGCTTTTGGGGGACACGCATCTCGAGCTCCCTCCCCCCGCAATTGTCAAACCCAAGCCGCTTTGGACGGGCAAGCAGATCTTCAACGTTCTGATGCGCCCTAACAAAGATTCACCAGTCTTGGTGAATCTCGACGCGAAGAACAAGATTTACAAGAAGAAGAAGGACGGTCAAATCCCGGATATGGATATCGACGACTCGTTCTTGGTTGTCCGGAATTCCGAGGTTATGTGCGGGAGGATGGATAAGTCGACCGTTGGCGGAGGCAAGAAGAACTCCGTCTTCTATGTCATTCTCCGAGATTTTGGGCCAGACTATGCCGCCGCTGCCATGAACCGTCTGGCAAAGCTATCCGCGAGAGCGCTTTCACTGCGGGGTTTCTCCATCGGCGTCGGAGACGTGTTCCCCTCTGGCCCTTTGACAGAGCACAAGGCTCAGCTGGTTGAGGACGCGTACAACAAGTGCGATGACCTCATTGAAACTTACAGACAGGGGAAGCTCGAAAAGCTGCCGGGCATGGACCTCGAGCAGACGCTGGAAAACTCGGTTTCCGGCATTCTCAGCAAGGTCCGGCAATCCGCTGGTAACTATTGCGTAGAGAATCTGAGCACGAACAATGCGCCACTCATCATGGCTCGGTCAGGATCCAAGGGCTCTGACCTCAACGTGGCGCAAATGGTGGCCTGCGTCGGTCAGCAGATTATTGCCGGACAGCGTGTGCCTGATGGCTTCCAGGACCGCAGTCTTCCGCATTTCCACAAGAATGCGCGTCAGCCTCCATCCAAGGGTTTCGTAAGGAACAGCTTCTACACTGGCCTCGTCCCTACCGAGTTCATCTGTCACGCCATTTCTGGCAGAGAAGGCCTGGTTGATACCGCCGTCAAGACGGCCGAGACGGGTTACATGTCTAGACGGCTGATGAAGTCGCTGGAGGATCTCTCAACGCAGTATGATGACACTGTCCGCACATCGGAGGGGGGTATTGTGCAGTTCCAGTACGGAGCTGACAGACTTGATCCCGTCGACATGGAGGGCGATGCCAGGCCAGTTGACTTTGCGAGGACGTGGAATCACGCGCAGAGCATCACCTGGAGCGACGCGGACGCGTCGTTGCTGCCGTGGGAGATACAAGAGCTGTGCAAGACTCTGCTGGATGAAGAGCGCAAGAAGTATGTGCGGCGACATCTCGTCACAAACGAGGTGCTCAACTACGACGACGAGAAGATCCGTGACAGCGAGGATCACGATGTCTTCATGGCGATTGACGAACACGAAAGCGCGAGAGTCTACCTCAACACGATCCGCGACTACATCGGAGAACGTGCCATGAAGTTGGCCAAAGCGCGGAAGGCGGTTGGATTAGACCCCTGCATACCGGCAGACGAGGACAAGATGAGAAAGGAGCTTGAGACATGGGAGCCGACAAGCAAGGAAGGCGGATCTGAAATGCAAACGGACGCGTTTGGCGAGCCGTGCAAGCCACTACAATATGTGCTCAGGGAACTGCGGCATAAGCTCGAGGAGGAGAGCGAGCTCGACGAAGCCACCCGACGGGCACGGACACAAGCCATGGCGCAGGCTCACGTTGACCGCGTCGCCAAGGTCTCGGAGCGTACGCTGCGGCAGTTCATCCAAATGTGTCTCCAAAAGTACAAGAGGGCACGGGTAGAGCCCGGCCATGCGGTGGGCGCAGTTGGAGCGCAGTCGATTGGTGAACCGGGCACACAGATGACACTCAAGACTTTCCACTTTGCCGGTGTCGCCTCTGGCATGAGTGTCACGCAAGGCGTGCCTCGTATCAAGGAAATCATCAACGCCTCGAAACTCATCAGCACGCCGGTCATCACGTGCGAGCTGGAGAACAAGGTAGACCTGAAGGCGGCGCGTGTCGTCAAAGCCAGGATTGAAAAGACGTACATCTCGGATGTCGTAAAGTTTATCGACGACGATTGGCTTCCAGACGTGGCCAAGATCACGCTACAAATGGATATGCGGGTGCTCGCGGATATGCAGCTGGGCATCACCATAAAGGACATTGCCGATGCCATCATCAAGGCCAAGAAGCTCAAGCTCAAGGTGGAGCCGGAAGACCTGCGCATCGGAGGCGACCGGATCGAGGTGATCATTCACAACACTTGGCAGGACGCTACGGCTGCTCGGAAGGCGGCCAAGGTGCGCGCGACGGCAATTGAAAAGGGCCAGGCCATTTCGGCCACCATGGGCGAGTCTGCGGCCGATTTCCAATTGCGAGTCAACTTTCTCAAGCGCATGCTCCCGGAGGTGGTCATCTCGGGCTACCCGGAGGCAGCGAGAGCCATCATCCAGAATGAAAACAACGAGAACAAGGTGCTTGTGGAAGGGTACGGGTTGCGGGCGTGCATGACGACGGAAGGCGTGGTGGGCACCAAGTGCGTGAGCAACTCGGTCCTGGAGTGCCGCGACGTGCTGGGCATCGAGGCGGCGCGCATAACCATCGCCAAGGAGATCGCCATCGTCATGGCGGATATGAACATTGACCCGCGGCACATGGAGCTGCTGGCCGACGTCATGACGTACAAGGGCGAGATCCTGGGCATCACGCGGTTCGGCATGGCAAAGATGCGCGACAGCGTGCTGCAGCTCGCGTCGTTTGAGAAGACGCCGGACCACCTGTTTGATGCGGCGGCGGGCATGAAGAAGGATCCCATCCAGGGCGTCAGTGAGTGCATCATCATGGGCCAGTCCATGTCCATCGGCACGGGCGCCTTCGAGGTGGTGCGGCGGTTGGGCATCAGGGATCACCAGGTTGTTCCCAAGCCGACGGTATTCGAGGCCGCGTGGAAGAAGAACGAGATGGGCATGAGGAAGAGCAGAATGGACAAGCGGAGGAGTGCTGTGGCTGTGTGTTAGGGCGGCCTTGTGATGACGGTCGCGGCTGGGCTATTTATTTTGTCTCATGGGCGAAGCAAAGGTGGGAGTTCTGGGCGCCACAAGCGGATCCGAAAAGGGTTTTGACGGGTTGTTCTTTGGGTGACTGCAATAGACAGGCTGGATTGCTTGCCGTAACACTTCCCTACCTGCTGTGTACTTGGATCGGAGCAGCATAGGCCGATAGGGGGGAAATGTAAAGGGGGTGCCAAGAAGATATCTAATATACACATCACGTGGTCAGGCGCCCTACCTCTTCGCGATCTCACCCCGCGTTAATTCAAGTCGCGTCGTCTCATCGACGTCATCGCGAGGACAAGGGAAAAAAAAGCTCCAAACTTCAACCTCAGATCACAGAACAACTGCATTTGACAGCAAATCGAATGCGTATTGAATTACCCTGAGGAGCTATTCACCATGTGCGGAAGGTATGCACTGGCTTTGGTAAGTAGATGCTTGTCCGCTGCCTCTATTCATCGGTGAAAGAGATATAGAGTGCTAAGAAGGCCTATCTTTCAACGTCTAGCGTCCGTCACAGATCCGGCAGATGCTGGAAGAAGACCTCATGCCGGTAGATGAGGCCCCTGCCGACGAGGGCGACGGCGCTCCACGACAAAGCTACAACTTTGCACCCGGGTACCATGGCGTGGTATACCGCGCAGACGTGCCCGATCGCGGAGCCGGCTATTCCCACTCTAACCGCGCCGGCCAAGACTCAGAAGTACAGGGAGAACAGCAGGAGGAGGAGGATGCAGACAACCATGCCGACAGTGACAAACCGAAGCAAAAGGAAACGGCAGCAACTCGCTACAAGCTGCAGGCAATGAAATGGGGGCTAATCCCCTTCTGGACCAAGCGCAGCCCAGAATACGGCGGGGTCCTCAAGACCATCAACTGCCGCGACGACTCGCTCGCGCAGCCGGGGGGCATGTGGGCGAGCATGAAGGCCCGGAAGCGCTGCGTGGTGGTTGCCGAGGGGTTCTATGAATGGCTGAAGCAGGGGAAAGACAAGATCCCACACTACGTCAAGAGGAAGGACGGGAAGCTGATGTGCTTTGCGGGACTGTGGGATTGTGTCCAGTACGAGGCTGATGGGGAGAAGCATTACACGTATACCATCATCACGACCGACAGTAACAAGCAGTTAAAGTTTTTGCATGATCGGATGCCGGTTATTCTCGAGGCTGGGTCGGAGGCTATGAGGACTTGGCTGGATCCGGGGAGGTGTGAGTGGAGCAAGGAGCTGCAGGCGCTGTTGAGGCCGTTTGACGGGGAGTTGGATGTGTATCCGGTCAGCAAGGAGGTAGGGAAGGTGGGGAATAACTCGCCGAGCTTTGTCATTCCGGTGGCGAGCAGGGAGAATAAGAGTAATATTGCGAACTTTTTTGCCAAGGGGGCGGCTGCGGCGAAGAAAAAGGAGGGCGGGACGGTCAAGCCCGAGGTGGAGGTGGAGGTGCCGAAGGAAGGGGCTGCTGGGACGACCGAGGCCAAGACGGAGACGGTGGAGGAATTCGCGAAGACGGCAGATGATGGTGGGATGATGAGCATGACACCGTCGAAGAAAGCCTTGAAGCGGGAGGCGAGTTCCCCACCGGCAAAGGGCGAACAACCGCCTGCGAAGAAGAAAGCGGACTTGTCGTCGGCCTCCTCGCCTGTCCAGGAGAAACGGCAGACGCGAAGCAGCAAGATTAGCGCCACGAGTAACGCCCCAAGGAGCCCTGTCAAGGCGAAGGCGGCGGCAAAGGCCGCTGGGAGTCAGAAGATTACAAAGTTTTTTGGGAATAGCGCCTAAACTTCAGTTGTTCGTTGCGCACTGGATGGTTGGCTGGGGTTAGGTACCTACCTATCTGACGTGGTTTACACCTCCATGATACCAATACCTACGTTCAACGAAAGAAAACCGCCAACGTTAGTTTGTGTTGCAACGTCTCACGCAAAAACAGGTTGATAGGTATGCAACATTGCAACGGAGACTACATAACTGTTAAGATATGAGACCCCCTGGCTAACAATGGCGCTGTAGTACACATCTGCTGGCAGGCGACTTGTAACCGATGTTTGCTGCCTCAAACTTCCAAGATCTCCAACTTCCGACTAGTTTGGCTAGAAGGCTTGCGCCAGATATACCACACCAAGAATCATCAGAGTCATAACGATCAGCGGCGACATCCACCCGTGACTGAAGTTTGATCCTCCCAGCATGCTGCCTCTCAAACCCGAACAGCCAGACGTCCCGGTCGCGGAGGGGACATCTGATGCCGACAGCGGCGTTGAATGGAGTCTCGTTGGCCTGGCGGTGGCTTGGCTGCTACCCGGACCACCACCTGGTTTGGCCAGTGCACCGTAAGTCTCATACTTGTCGGATTTTGCACTGTCAAGTTCCACGCTGAACGCGCCATAGCCACCGTCTGCAGATAGATGGTCGTGGAGAATAGCCGCGTCGGCGGTGCCCGGGTTCTCGACCGGACTCATGGAGTAGGCGTAGGTGAAGAAGACGCTGCGGGTGTTGCCCCATGTCGGGTCGAAAGAGTCTGCATTGATGCAGCCGCGGCAGAGGAATGTCGAGGAGATGTGCGTTGTGTTGACAAAGGTTCCTTGCTGGATTGGGACGAGGGTGATGGGGTGGACGCGGTACGGGACCACGCCATCAGATCGGTAAGCCGTGGCTATGCGTGGGCTTGTCATTACTTTGTCTCCATTGGGCCTGTTTTGGAATTCTGTTAGTGTCTTGATCTTCATCTCTCTGCCTCCTCGGTGCTATCGCCAGTCTCCTGGAGACGACTTTACTTGCCATGTTATGAGGAGCAGTGTGCCCCTCATGTTGGCCCGGAATCCGACGCCACCCCATCCGGCACCATTCTTCAGAGGCGATACCAGGTGCACAATGAAGTCGGTGGTTGGCTTCTTGGGCATCACCATGCCGAAGCGGTAGCCCTTGTCGACCACGATGCCGTAGAGTGTCATGCCCGTGTTGGGGTCAGTGTAGGACTGCGCGCTGAGAAGTCCCTGGGCCGACACCACGACCGGAAGGGCGAGCAATAATGCGTTTACAAAAGTCGAGTACATCTCGAGTTGTGGAATGCCCTGCAAATGTGGATGGGTTCTCACTGTATGGTAGATGTGATGTTCAAGTCCGAGTCGCCAAACTTGGAAAGGGGAATGAATATAACGGAATAAGAACTTTTAGGGAGGTACTTGACGCGTAGGTGACTGTTCATAAACACATCAACACAACATGAGTATACAAAGAACAACTGGTCTTCATCCGATCTGTTTCCAAATGTGACCTACTGCTCTCAAGCTCCGAGTGTTTAGATGGCTATGACACGTCTCGGATGCAGAATCTAACGACAGCTGTCATTTGGCAGAAGATAGTTGTGTACAATGGAAACTTGCTCTAGACAACTTTCAGAATTTGTGTCTTGCTGTTCTGTCCACGTTGCAAGTGAGTAATTTCTAACTATCAGTCAACAGAAGGGCACAAAGACTTTATGTCTGCCCTATTATTTTCTGGAAGATCTGTTTACGAACACAGCTATCTCCCGCTGGCACAACTTCTCCCCTGAGAGTATAAGAACTCGACACCCTACCGCACTGCCCACATACTACTGTGCTCCGCAAACTGAAACTGCTAACCGATACAGTCCCCCCAGTCTGCGTAGTCAGAACCTCTAGCTACCTATCTTACTCATGGCGCCCGACGCTCTGGATTGCCTGATCTGGCTTGCCGGCGGAACTCCCCATGCCAAAGCCAGAGCACATGTCGAGAAGAAGATGACAAAGAAGAAGCAGAAGACGAAGAAGGACGACAAGAAGGGGACAACAGCCAATGAGAATGAGGACAAGCCTCCTTCCACGGCATCCTCCCCACTCATCCAGGAATGCCCTCCCTCGCAGGTTTCGGGTGCCTCGCATCACGGTCCGCCGCGTCCCTCAGGTGCGTTGGGTTTCTACAACGACCCCCCGGCATCAGTTCATTCAAGGTCCCACCGCTCAGATGCGGACTCGATCCGGCCAGAGTCGTCTGTGTCTCAGCGCTCGGCGAGGGCATCGTCTCATTATTCCGGGTCACGCCATTCTGGGTCGCGGCACTCGGTGCATGGTATGTCCAGTTCGGTCTACTCTCAGTAGCGGGCCGATCCCCAATCTCTCCAATCCATGATAGTTGTCTGGCAGAACAAGCTGACTTTTGAGCACTGACATAGATGCGTAAATCATAACATCATAGTACGAATGTTAGTCCTGGCCAGTACCAAGAGGTAGGGCATAAGTGCTTTGCAGATGCAACAGCAGTGTTTTCCTATCAAAACTGAGTAACCTATATGCTATTGGCTGGTATAGTGTCTTTGACTTGTGACATGTGAATCGCCTTTCATCAGTACTAATATTCTGCCCGAGCTGGTTGTGTTTGCCAGGGTGCACGTCAGGAACCCTCCTTCACCCTTCCCGTTGCTCCGTCTTGCTAGATATCTTCCACCCATGGGCCATTAAAACCCTCACTACGCGTCAAGATCTGTGCAGCAGAAGTGGTGATAACTGCTTCTGCAGCTAGTTACGTGCCTGCCATCATGGAGACAAGAACCCGTTGGGAGAACGAGAAATACAGAAGTCGTTCTCTGCCAGAGAACATGGCAGTCTCTAGCGACATTTCCCGGATCCCCGTCGAAATGATCAGAAAGACTGCCGGTTATATTGACAACATCGACGACGTCGTGAAATTCCGCAAGGCCAGCTTAACAATCTATTATGCGACCTCAGACGTCGTTCGTCGGGAACTTCGTTCTTGGTCGGAGAAATGAAGCTGAATGCTTGGCTTTGCCTGTACCGGTGCCGTCTCCATCTGCCTCGCCGTCGCCATCCGTCGCCATCCGTCGCCATCAGTAGCCGGGCTGTCTCCTCGATGCCAAGAAGCTCATAACCTCCTTCGTTATCGGAATCCTCATTCGAGAAATTGGGACATCTTTGCCCGCTGGGTCCAGAGTCTGCGAGGGCTCCAGTCGTCGCTCCTCACAGGCTTGAAATCCTGGAGAACTTGATTGTCAGCAACGCCGCCTGGGTTGGGGAACTGCGTGTTCTTTGCCTCACGTCGCACTACATCCCATTGCTCCAGCGCCACGGCTCCAATCTCAGCTTCGTCCTGGTCGTGAGGCTCGCTCACGTCTCAAGGGTGGAGGAGCAAGTGTTGCCTTGCAGGTAATTGCATTGCCGGTGGGTGATGTGCGTAGGATGTTGATTTAGTGGTGGTGGGAGCAGAAAGGTGGAGGATCCTGAATGAGATTAAGTTGGCTGACGGTGAAGTCAACTGCAACGAGATGCTTCCCGATCTGCTGGCCCCTATCTCAGCCCAGAACTTGTCCCGGCCTACAGAGGGACCCGAGACGTGATCCGCGTGCTGCGCAAGGCGATCGACATTCTCGAAAAGCAAGCCGACTACGACGCGGCCGTTGAGAAGCGTCACTTTGACTGAGGCAAGCTCGGAGATTCTTCCAGCTTCAACAAGGGCAATGGCGCTATTACGGTTGACAAAGCAGCGGTTTTCTGTTGAAATCAGTCGGTTTGGCGCAAACCTGGAATTGTACACTGGGGGTAGTAGGGTCGACGACGCAGCAAGTAACACGAGGAGTTCTGTATGTGAGCATCATCAGAACATGTGGGATAGTACCAGCAGTATCAAAGACAGAAAACCCTTTGTTGTGGCTGTCTGTAGCAGCAGACGAATCTTAGATAGTGCCCTTAACATGGACGAGCATCCCGTGAACAGACCCGATCTCCGTAGCGCCTTCCAAAACACATTGTTGTCATCCCTCCCAAGCTCAAGTCAAGTGGGTATCCGCCGCTGGTGAGTGAGACCACAGCCCTGACCCAAAGTCCCAGATCCAGATCAATGTAGCCGCCGGCAGGACAGTTGCGGCAGGCCTGAATGGCCCATGTCCCTAGGTAGCCCCGAGCCCAACTCCTCCGCCCGAAAGAAGAACCCATGTTGCCCATCCCAACCCAATCACCAAACCCCCTTCTCATATTCATCTCCGGTGTCCAACGACTATGTCGACTTTGTTCTCAATCTAGACGAGGTCGTCGAAGCGGTGCTGGGTGCCCAGCTCGGCCAGGACACGAGCGCACTCGTCGATCGGACGGTGGGGGAGTAATTTCTAGACGGAGAAAAATGAAGATCAGATCCTGCTTGCAATCCCAAACTTTGGATGAATCATGATGAGATGATGGAACTTACCGGAGCAGCCTCGGCAAGGGAACTGCCCTTGGAGATGCACACTCGGCACAAGAGGAGCTTCACCTTCTCCTCGTTGGTCCAGTCGTCCTTGTTGGCGGCGGCGTTGCTGGTGGATGCGGCAGCAGGCGCGGGGGCGGGGACCGGCGCAGGAGCAAGGCCTTGGCCGCCTTGGGCTTTGGCTGCTCTGCGGGCAGCAGCAAGTTCTTGGGCTTTGGCCTCGGCGTCGGCCTTGGCCTTGGCCAGTCGCTCCGCTGAGAGAGGGGGGCGGCTGTCTGGTAGCCGCTTGCGCGGCTTGATCGCGGGCTCGCCCGCATCCTGGTTGTCGGCGGAGACCTGGCTGCTGGAACCTGCAGCCTTAGTCTTAGTCTCGTCGGCGTGCGCAACGTCTTGATTGCCAGAACAAAGTCAACAACAGTCTTAGTCTTAAAAGCAGCATGGGACTCACCCTTGTTGTTATTGCCGGGCATCTTGTTCACGTCTTTAGTCGGGGGGGAGAGAAAGACCGCGGGGTTAAGAGGACAGGGTCACGAGGAGGGAAGAAAAGGCTGCGTGGTGAGAGAAGGAGAAGAGGGTCGCGTGGGTTGAGAGAAGACGGTGAAGGTCGTGTGGGAGAAAAGTAGGTCGTGAAGAACCAGAAGAAGGTCGCGTGGGCGAAAGAGAGGGGGTCAAAGCGGCAAGAAGTCAAGAATTGCAGAGGGGTATGAATGAGGAATGAGGTACCTCTCATATGGTGCATGGTGCTGTACTGAGGCAAGATGTGGCTGGCAGGCAGGTGGGAAACCTGTGGGATAAGTAGTTTTCGGTGTAAGGCTTCGATGAGATTGTTGCCATGGGCAGGCCAGAACAAAGCCTGGTAGGTCAGAGACTGAACCCGAGTCCGTCTTTCTTCTTGTTCACTTGAACTTGATAATCTTGTGGCCGCTAATTGTTGTTGTCCCCCCTGTGACTGGTGATTCACCAGCTAACGAGGAACTTGAAGTCATCTCTTGTTGAGCTTCAGTGATCCTCTTTTCTACGCCTTGTCTCAGAGCTTAGAGGGCCGTCATCAACATACACAATGATACTGAACTCTTATCCACGTCTAGTACACATCCATTGTCGCTACACGACGCCATAGCGACTTGAATACACGCTGTTCCCATCAACACCAAGCAGATATGCCTCTCTCCGTCTCCGTCCAGCCACATACGACCATAGGTGCTGGAGAATTCGGGATCCCGTCCGCTCTCCCCCTAGACAAACCAGCAACCGCCGAATTAGTAGTTGGGTCGGTGACGACCAGCGAATCCTCGGTGTTGTATGTCTTTTTTGTATCAGTTTTCATCCCCTTCGATTGAAAACCTCTGCTAAGTTGCTCTTGAAATGGCAAAGTGGCTGTCGTTATGAAGGATTACTGCCCACTGTATGATGCTAGTAGTCTAGCTACTAGGCAGTGTACACCCAGATTGAGCAGAAGGACAAACAATGCTTATTATGCCCAGACATCTACCTGATACTTATATTTGTCATGAGCACTAGTAATTTGCTTCAGTTGAGGCCTGGAGAGGGGAAAATGAGAAAAGCCAAAAAAGGGGCCAACACCATTACACCTCTGAACTTTGATCCGTTCTCCAAAAAGCACTCAGACTTCGCTCCACCCTCCGAATACACAAAACCACAAGAAGGCACCGATCCTGGGATGCAAAAAAAGATCGGTATCGTATTCTCTCCCGCCGGGAATTGAACCCGGGTCTCGAGCGATGTCCAGACCTCTCACACCAAGTGGAGTCTGTCAATGACAAGCTCACATACTGACCACTATACTACGGAAGATTGTGTGGATGTATGGCATCCACCGTAGCTTGGCGGAGGCAACCGCGGTTTGTCGCTTTATCAATCCCTTTCGCAGACACCTAGAGCAAGTAGGTGCCTTGCAAAGGACATGCTGGGCGAGCCATGTCTTACAGTGCGAGAGACACATAATGCACCCTCAGGGGGTTGGGGCTTGTCATTCAGGGGTAAAAACACGGAAGTATCCGAAATTCGAGAACTTCACGGGCCCAGCTACAAAAACCACCGGGCACTGCGGGCAGCACAGACCTGCAAAGATCATCTCTCAATGTCAATGGTCATCACTTTAAAGAGCCTATATTCATTTGAAGGTATTGACTTAAATATCCCGCAAAATACGGACCCGAGCCTTGACTATTGTTTGACCCGGTACATCCCCACTTATCCATCCCAGGCGGCATAGCCGACTGGCAGATCACGCCCTCTTCTTCAGTGCCAAGATCTTTTGCGCGGCCTGCTCTGCCGCAACCACAATCATGGCTGACGGATTGCCCGTCGACATGCCCGGGAAGATGGACGCGTCCACCACAAACAGGTTGTCGGTGCCATACACCTTGGTGTTGAGGTCCACCACGGCCGTGCCGCCCCTCCGCCCGTCGTCAGTGCCGAGCTTGGCGGTACCCATCCAGTGGTTTGAGCGTCGGTTCGAGGGCGAGACGAGCATCTGGAAGCATGTCAGCTTTTGCGGGAATGATAACAGGAATCCCGACAGGTGAAGCATGTGACCTACGTTGTTGACAAAGTCCTCAACTGTGGTGTTGGCAGGAGGGAGAACCCAGCTGATGTTGGGGATGACATTGAGGGCTGCAATCATGTTCTTGATGCCCTGGATAACCGCCGCCTTGTCACCGTCGTTGTGCAGGTAAGGGTGCTGGGCAACGCTGGTGGCAAGACCAGAGGTGATCGTCATGCGACCCCTGGAGACGACGCCTCTCCCGAGATACTGGCTGAGGGTCATGGCGTCTAGATTCCGGATTAGTTTACGGGTAATAACTCAAGCTAAAACTGGAACTCACGAGTCGAGTTGGTCACTCGGGAATCGCCTTCGACGCGCGCAGTCCACTGGAATTGGCGGACAATGCCGTCAGATGGGGTAACTTCATCCCACATCTGCTCATGGTTAGCAACCAACCAGGATACCAAACCGAGTCAATCAGGAGCGGCATACCATTGGGCCAATGTTCGGCGCAGCCTGGGCAAGAATCCCCGATCGCTTCTCGAGGTATTGCTCCTTATCCCCAGTGTTGGGCGTGGTCCACGCCTCGTAGAAGTCGTAAAAGACAACGTCAGGATGCGTAACGATGAGGTCAGTGTTGAGATGGTCGATCAGGTTGTAGCCAACTGGGAGCTCAATCCAGTCGCTCTTGGCAATGAACGTGTCCCCGTCTTTGGAGCCTGCGACAACCTCAAGCTGGTCCTCGGGACCGATACCACCTAGTGACGCGGTTAGTTCCAATCTGAGTTTCTGGCTCTAAGTGAAACCTACTCCGTAGTAGCAGCTTTGCGGAGCCGAAGGCACCGGCCGCGAAGATGACGCCACCGTTGGGGTTGAGTTTCACAGTGCCCTCAAAGCCTCCGTTGGTCAGGCATTCCAGCTCGACACCAGTGACCTTGCTACCGGTACGGACGGCCCTCCTGACGGCGGTGTTCGTCCAAAGATCAAAGTTGTCCCGCGCGTCTGCGGTAACAAGGTATGTCGCCAGCGGCCCACCTCTCTCACCACCGGAATACATGAAGTGGGTGTGCGCAAAGGTGCGGTTCTTCTGGTTTGGCACGTCATTCGCGATGACCTGCTTCCACCCGGACTTGGCCAGACCGCTGGATAGAACCTCATAGCCCTCTTGTCGATACAGCTTCCCATCCATTGATGGGTGCCAAGTTCCGGGAATTCGGTCAAACACACGCTTCGTGGCAGCTTCGAGGTCTCTCGCCTTCCAACCGTTGGGGAAGTTGTAGTCCCAGTCCTTCGGATTTGGCTGGCAAAAATAATCAGTACCACTTTAACAACTCTTAGATGCCTCAGGAACTTACCTTCCACCACAACCCTGCGTTCACCGCAGTTCCACCTCCCAGAACACAGCCAGCCATCTGGTCGGTATCGGTGCAAGCAATGCCGGCAGAGTCGACCCAAATCTGGTTGCACAGGCCTGGGACGTCGAAGCGGGTCAGGGGTGTGCCTTCGAGCCACTTCGGCTTCATGGTTCCGTTCCACCGGCCGGTTGAGGGCGGGCCCTTTTCGATCAGGAGAACGCTGTGCCCGGCCTCGCTGAGCTTGTCGGCGACGGGGATACCGCCAGCACCAGCACCGACCACGATGTAGTCATAGGTCTTTTCCGGAGCCGCGGTGCACTGCACAGACGGACCGCCAGATCTAGCTCACGGCTCGATTAGCAACAGCAATACAGCTACTTTGGGGGGAGCCTCACCCGTCGCAGCTCACAACCGGTGTTTTGGTGGCCAGCGCTGCCCACGTCGCGTATGAAGCCTGTGGCACACCCTCGAGTTGCGCCCCCCATTGCCCGAATCCGTTATCGTGGAAACCAAAGGTCGCCGTGTCGGGACAGGTTGGATTTTCGAGACCAGACTTGGCAGAAGCACGGCCAAGAACGAGGAATCCCTCGGTAGTAGAGACGCTACCTTCGTTGCCATCTTGACTCCACGAAAAGCAGTTCTGGCATCTGTAGAGCACCTCGAATGTGGTGTCGGTGACGGTGGCGGAGATTTGGGTTAGCTTGGCATCGCCGGTATACTTTACCGGCATTGTATAGCCGGTAGTGTAACGGAATGATGTGTAAACTGTGCCGTTAAATTGCCAGGCAACGAGTAGCAGTGCCTGGGTCATCTGCCCAGCTTGGCCATGCGAGAGACCGCAATAGCCTGGAGACGTGGCGTCTGTGATTTGGCAGCGCTACTCATGATAAGTACAGCGTCTTGTGTAGCGAGACATCTCAACTTACAAGAAGCCCAATGTACTCGGTGGCATTCTTTGTCAAGGCATCCTCTGGCAGAGCCATGCCGAAGGTGTAAAGCGATTCTCCGGGAGCAGTCCATGTCTTGAACTTGACACCAGTCGCAGCATCGGTGTATGAGCCCTCGTTCATCTGTGCAGTGCATTGCTGGACGCCTTCAATAGGTTAGCATGCATCAAGCATTGCCACAAGTCCTGTTGTCCAACACTTACACGACAAGGCCGCGAGGGCAACCGCCGCAGCGCGGCTCAAAAGCTTCATTGTTACAATGCAGCTAGGGTTCAGCACAGTTTTGAGATCAGCCCGGCGCTACGAAAGGCGAAGCTGCCATTCCCATAGAAGGGTATAGAGGGGAAGGGGGGAGGATAAATAACATCTCGGGCTCTGCCAGGCACGCGCCTGACACAGACAAGCTCCGTTCCCGAACTTTGAGTTCCATGGATGAGGCGCGGAATGGGAGTCCGGAGAAAAGTAATGGGATGTCACCGATAGGATGGATCCTGCGGCAGAATGGGCGCCTAGTTGTTTTAGTAGATGGGGAAAGATAGATTGCGCTGCATGTCTAGAGTATAGCCTCCGCCCAGAGAATATGGGATCAGCGTGTGTAAGCACGAGACTGATATGGCAAGAGCAGGGGTGGATGGCAAAGAAGCTCCAGGGTGGAGCTTCCCCAACTTTTCCCCTGAAGCGGAAGAAAGTGAGATTTGGCAGGGGCGGCAGGAGCGAGCCGGGGAAGGAAGGCCCCCGAGCGGAAGCAGGCGCCGTTGCGGAATGTCTCGCTAGCCAAGCTCAACCCTTGCTGCCCGGAGCTTGACTGGCATTGCCGCAGACAGTACCTAACTGAACCTGCCAATTGGACTTTGGCAGTGCTGGAAGGTGACAAGCAGCCGACGACTCAGCGACCGACAGCCGGCCGCAACGTTGAGTGATACCTCCAGCAGAACGGTACTGTAGCTTGGCGGGACGTTGAGAGAAAACCGGGGATTTGTGGCAAACTTAGTTTGGACTGTGGTCGGTCCAGATACTCAGACGCAGCCGCTTTGGGAGGTATGGACCATTGGTTATGCGAGGCGGCGGCAGACGCAAGCGGAGTGGGCGCCAAGCGGCAGAGGGTCCTTGGGGTCCTTGGTTCGTTGATCGGCCGGCTGTTCAAGAAGAAAAGCCGCTGGTCGCTGAAGAGAGTAATCTTCCCCCCACTTTGGATAAAATCCCAAGCAAAGCCCATTGCCGCCGTGCTTTTTCTTTGCCCCATTGCCCTCATCTATCCTTGACCTCAGGGGTTGTTCGACTCCCAGTTCGTCTGTCAATCAGCCTATACCCAATCAACTTGCGTATAGTGGACGTGGCGGTCCGACGGCCCAGATTCGGGAATTCATAGTGCGTTTGCAGGTGACTCTCATGGCCTCGGTCGGGAAATGCCCTGGCGACGCGGAGCTGGCAGGTGGCGCAAGGTGAGAACCATGGTCTCAGTAGGTACCGAAGGTGAGCTGGAGGGTGACCTCGTCGGTCCAACGTCATTGGCTTCCCATGTTCCCATCCTCAATGGCTAGACCTGCCACAATTGGACAGTTACCGGCTTTTTCAAGTTTCTGCACGCAGCCCATTTCCGATACATCTTCCTGACCAAGTTGGCAACGCTCACTAGACTTCTGATAACAGTATTTGGCACTGATGAGCTCACGGCGCCCATCTGTACGGTCCATGAGAGCTGGGCAGCCGCCTCCTCCGGGTCCTTGCTCGACTCATATCATCCGGGCGAGCAGCAATCCACGATGAAGTCTAGTATATCATCTTGCGAAATTTGCACCGAAAAACGCCTTCCTCGAGAAGCCCGACAATGTCAAGCCCCGGGGTCATCTTTGCCTGAGTGTCCATACGGCTTGTGTCACCTTGCCATGCAGTACAGGAGCAATCCGATCGCAAACTGCTCGGCCTTCGGACAATACAGACCAAGCTGTCCCTAGCCGGCTAGCGGTTCAGGATAGAGACATGTCCAAGGCTAAGCATTGCCGTCGGACGCGTCTTCGATAGATGTGGTATAGTCGACACGGAGGTCGATGAGTTTGAGGTGACCCGTGCCTCAGAGAGTAGATACCTACCTTATGTATGGATGTTGTTTGCCTCCATGGCCAAGGTAGGTACTACCATAAGTCCGGGCACACAGGTTTCAAGTAACCTCTTAATATCTGAAGTGATATTAGATCACATCTCTCAACCCACCAACATGCTTCGCTAACAGAACGCTTAGGACATGGCACTTGAACTGAGGCACCTAGGCGGAGAAGCTGCTAAAGTTTACCTGCCACACATGTCCCTTTTCAGTCGCCATATTCATCATATCTGCCCAATGCTCATCGCCTTCCCTACGCCGTTCCCCCCCCGCCTTGTTTCTCTGAAGAGGTCATCAATGTTGGTCGCCTAGCACTGGTTCCGGAACGACCAAATATGATCATTCAGGAAGGACGGAACAGTGGGCGCACTGCCACGCTGCTGCCAGCTGGATCCGCGGCAGTCTCGTTCACTGCGTGTGATCACAACCATATCAAGATAAACTCCTCTCAGCCACGACTAGGAAACATACCGGAAGAATGTAGTGCATCCAGCATCGCCTCCGACAGAGCTGGCACGGTCTCCTCTGCCGTTGAGATTCCAGCAAGTACCATCGTTGTTGCGGATCTCTCTATGGCTGGCTCCGCCGTAGTTGGCGTCGTCGAAGAGGGCGAACTCCCTAGCCGACGCAATGGAGACGAGGACGGTGATGAGGAGTTTGAGCTTCATGGCGAGGGGCCGGCAGTGTTTGATTATGGTTAGAAGGGTTGTTTTGTCTTGTGGGAATGGAGGGCGATGATGATGGCTGGGACAGGGGGGGGGAACAGATGTGCGTTCGGGCGATGCTTTATACTTGATGTTGGACAATACCATGCTAGCAGTCTGGGAAAGGGGAAGCATTGGCATACCTCACTTTGTTGACTTGTACGACTCTGCTAGACGATGCGAGAAACAAACACGTGCTGTATGCGAGTTCATTTCACATCCTCAGTCATGATCGGCGTTGAGATTTCTCAGCACCTGACTCAGCCCTGCGACCATGCAATGACTATAATGCCAAGGATTCACGCATGGCTTTCTGTCGAGTAGTGCAGGATGAACCTTACCTATCCAATGCAGTTGGTCGCCCGCGAGCGCGGGTAGCGACCCGAAGAAACTTTAGGTAAGTCCAAGCCGCGGAATGGAGAGGCGCCAGGATCTGAATGCGATGAGCCCAATCCGACGTTACTTCCGGGTTTCCGCTCGTAGGATATGCTCATGAGATGATTGATAGAAGGATGCTTACATACCCTATCCAAGCCCATATACGGACCGAAATGCTGTAATATTGTAGAGCTAATCCGTCATCCATTCCACAAGCGTTACACAAGCTACAGCTCGTCAGCCCGCGGCTCCCAGGAGGTTAGCGGCCCCTGAACCGTCTTTTAACTAGGTACCTTACCTACTATTAAACCATCCGCTTGAAAGCGGTAGAGCGCTGTAATTAGATTTCTGTTCGTAGCGTGAGTGTCTCATTCAAAGTTGGTGAGTTCCATGAGAGCTTGGGTGTTCGAATCAGGGGGCAGTGCGTATACACACAGGCCTCAGGGGCAGTCCACCAAATATAATCCCAACCCTAGAGACTCCACCCAAGCGTGACACACCCACCACTTCACTTGATTGCTGAAATTACTGCGATGTCCTTACTGTTGTGTCTTGACTGTGACGCTGTAAATGTATGTTGATTGAGCTGCGATGAATCGACCGCGACGAATCGACTGTGATGAAGTTGACGGTAGATGAAGTTGACGGTAGATGAAGTCGACGGTTAGGGTATCCATCGCTCCACCCTGCTGGAGCGGATGTGCACTCCCCCTCATTTCGACCTCGAGCTTGGCGCTTCAAAGCCCACTGGCTGACTGGCATCTCTCATCCAACAGTGCTGATTTGCAGAAGGTGGAAAGCACAATCGCCTCATCTAGTCCTCTTTAGTATGAGGGCCTCTAGCCGAGTTATCGTTGGGACTATCGACACAGAAAGGTACGAATGAATGGAAATCGGAAAGCAGAGAAGTTAGACTGACTGACGAGGAGATACAGCAGCAACGACTGACCTCGGCATTGTTGCTTTCAAACGGCTCGATATTAGTTGTCCTACAATTAACCCCACGTTGCAGGCGATGATGATCACCCCATTCGACGTGCAATCTGGGGCCCCACGCGATTTCATCTGTCTTCATCTTAGACTCTTTATTTCCCTGGGATATCTGCCCAAAGCTGGGGCTTAAGACAACTTAGCTTGCTTCCGCCAGCACCACGAGGACTCTAGCGATGGCTGAGCCGGCCCGTTTCAGGTACACCATCATCCTGCAAACCCGGCATCTGCGGGAGAGCAACCCCCGGGATGGGCTCAACAGCGCATTCATAAACCGGTGGAACGGCGCCCGTCACAATGACCTCTCAGCACAGTCGGTATCATCACTACCATTGTTCAATTTCTCTTCCATACGGAAACGCTTTTTACACCACGTCATCACCGGACGGCCTGAGTCAAGCATCGCGACGCCATGAAGGTGCTAAGTGCTGTTGCAGCCCTGTCTCTGGCCGTGGCCGATGTGTCAGGACACTACATCTTCCAGCAGCTTGGTGTCGGGTCCCAGAAATTCGGCGTGTACGAGCACATTCGGAAAAACACCAACTACAACTCCCCGGTGACCAGTTTGTCCTCCAACGACTTGCGATGCAACGTGGGCGGGAACTCGGGTGCCAGCACCACCACTGCAAACGTAAAGGCCGGGGACTCGGTCACGTTCTACTCTGATACTGCCGTCTACCACCAGGGGCCCATCTCTCTGTTTGTCCCCCCTGAACCGAGCGAGCCTTTCACAGTAACGGATACCGCTAACAGTACGTCGCTATAGCTACATGTCGAGAGCGCCCGGCTCGGTCAGCGACTACGATGGCTCTGGAGAGTGGTTCAAGATCTACGATTGGGGCCCGACTTTCAACGGCGGCCAGGCCTCCTGGCCGATGCGGAGTGCGTTTATGTTCTTGTTAAACCACTTAATCTCGGCGCTCGCTAACCGACGGGGAACCTGTCAGACTCCTACCAGTACAATATTCCCAAATGCATCAAGGATGGCGAATACCTTTTGAGGAAGGTTTCCCATAAATCCAAACAGCTCTTGAGCCATTTTACTTACTTTTTTAAAGGATCCAATCGCTCGCAATTCATAACCCCGGCGGCGTTCCGCAGTTTTACGTCAGTTGCGCCCAGATCAATGTGACGGGCGGCGGCAATGCAAGCCCAAATCCAACTGCGAGAATCCCTGGCGCCTTCAAGGCCACTGACCCCGGTTACACTGCCAACGTGAGTCTTGACGGATGATTTGAACTCCTGTTGCCCGGGGGTATTTGCGCTGACTTGCCCTCGGCAGATCTACAACAACTTCAAGTCGTACACAGTCCCGGGACCGGCGGCGTTCAAGTGTTAAGCGAGCTACTGTATCGGGGAACGTTTGAGACTGTTGGGAATGGATGTCCCTGAAGTTTACTGTTGCTGGTGCTTGACAAATCGCAAAGCATGTTTTAAAGTACCTTTTTGAGTTCTCTGCCATATCACCGTTGGCTACAAACACAACCGGCGCAAAGTTGTCAAGAACTACACGCGTCGTATCCGTACTTGACTGTAAAGGCCGGAAAGCCGCCAGCGGAATTTCGGCATGCTTCCCGTTGACGTGATCCTGGATCGCCGCTCCTTCCCTTATTCAGCCGGGTACGACGCTCATCCATTCGGATCATCCAAAAGCTGTGTCACCAGGCTGCGTTCATGCGGGTATTGCGGGCCACCGCGTTACCAATTCGCTTTTCCGTGGTGATCGACAACCCTGGTGTGAAGTTCAAGAAGTCTCGAGGCCTTCATGCTGATAGGCAACGGAGAGGGATCAATATTGGTGGCAAGGCACGTTCACGGTCGAACCATAATGTATCTAGAGCCGGGTCTCATTCACAAGCCCTTTGCTAGTAGTGATGTCTCTACTGCATAATGACTGGGTAAGGTATCCATGCCATGGTTATGATGACATGCGTTAAACCTATTGTAAAGTACTATCATGACCCGTCCCTATCCATCCACTGTCTGAGTTAAGGAGAATTGTCTCGGCACAAATAAGGTACACCGTATCCATACCCTAATAGAATGCCTCCCACAGATGCCGCCATATCATATACTGCCATAAAATGATACAGTCAAAGGTCGCTAACGACAGTAGGATATGATAGAGAACGGAAAGCAGGCTAACATGTCAACGGACATATGGATGAAACCGAGAAAGGCACTTGACCGCACTCTCCTCGCCTAATAGGCTTCTTTCGTACATCCCTTCTCGAACATGGACGGCCTTTGCAGGTAAGGTATATTGCCGACGCTCAGAGCCGGGTTTCATGGATTTAGCTTTCGGACCCCAAGACTCTCCAACTGGCAATCTGAACTGATGGTGTGCTATTTCTCGGACTGGTGGTGGCTCCCGGTAACTGCATTGGAGGCCGACTCCTCGACTCCGGCCAGAGTGGGTATCTCCTGGGCTGGCGTCGAGGCTCGGGACGGATTGTCGGGGTGAAGGGAACAGTGGCTGGGGGAAGGGGTGGGCTTTCCGTTGTAATAGTCGCGATAGAGCAAGCTGTACGACATGGACCCTTTCCGCTCGCGAAATCGGTTCGGGCAGACCGAGGAGGGCGAGGATCTAACGATGGAGGCCTCTGGAGATGACTTTGTTAGTATCGTTTGGTAGCAAATGCGAATCGAAACAACCACATACGACAAGATAAGTTGCAATGGTTAGTCAGCGGATGAGGTTGGTAGTGGCTGGCGCTGGACTCGGTCGCTCGAGGTTCGCAGTCGCTGGGGCCGTGGTTGCAGTGCGGGCACCGGTCGTTTGAGTCGTCGATGCTGCTGGCGCTACTTTTTGGCCTGACGAAATATATCGTACAGGAGCATGTTAGCTTGCTGCATTTGGCACCCATTGTTTCGTGCTCACACCGGCTGGGTGTTGGGCAAGGAAAGGTTTCACCGATCACGCGGGCGGGGGAAACTTAAGTAAACAATGGTCGAGGTGGGCCATGGTCGGAAATCAACAACTCCGAAATCGCGATGGCGTTTTCGACGCGTCTTGGAGTATGAACGGTAAGCGTTGGCAAGTGCGATCACGAGATAACGCGATGGACTTGGGATGGAAACTTGGGATGAGGCTGTCCACGGTCCGCCCAACCAAACATTCAACAGTATGGCACAACTTTCCTGATCCCACCATCTACTGTGACTGTGATGACCTGGCGGCACTTCGAGTACCTTACTTTCTAGTTGATAAACTGACAGGTATCGAAAACATCACCGATCTCAAAGGAGTCAAGGCCCAGAGCGGTGATTAGGGGCAGTTGAACGGAATCTCACTCTTCATGGTTGTAACTGAGAAAGCTTGGTGGATCAGCAATCCGGAGAGGCCCCAGAAGAACTAGTAGCTCCTCTTGCAAGGATCATAGAGAAGTGAATAGCTTGCCTTGGGTGATTTGCCATTGCTATTGCCCTGAGTATATAAGTGAAGACCTCTTCCCAACTTTCACCCCCCACGGGTAGTAGTACCATGGTGAAGTCAAGTCGTAAGGTAGGTAGTCACATAGCCACCGCCCATATCTCCAACTGAGGTCCCCAGTTCGATCCAGAGCGAGAACACACGAGCAGTCTGGGGGAACATGAAACCCGATCTCGAGTCCCTTCTCGCCGATGGCACTGACGGAGATAAACCGTTGGTTATCTGGATGCGAAAGAGCTTCCTGAGCATCCTGATTGCTGGGGACAAGGTGAAAGTGGGTTCTGTTGTACTAGCCATTGAGCTTCGAGCCGGAATGAAACTGATGCGAGGAATAAACCTGATGCGAGGAAATGATGAGCGACCGATACCCGAGTATGAAAGCTCGTTGCCTAAGTATTAGCAGTACCCAATCGTTTTCTCCCGGGTACTCCGCTCAGTCGGTTCATTGCGATACCTGACAGCCCTACATGCTCGCTCCGTCACGGTATGGTGCTGGCCCTGGGAGGTCCATGGGCAGTAGACGAAATTGATGCGATAACACTCCCTGTTAACTCAATGCCCAAAGATGGATCAATAGCCGCCCAAACTCCACTCCAAGGCCTTGATCGCCGACTCCAAGGCGGCCTCTTTACGGAGTGCCACCTCCACAAGTGCATCGAAACAGCATCCCGATTCGCTAGCCTGCAATAGCCCTTAGTCAGCTCATATTGCTTGGTTTATACATATGACAGTAGGGTCCGTATGCGTTTGAAGTTTTGTACTTATAGATGGTTGCCAACGCTGGTCTAGAGCAACTCTTATTCAGGCTGCTCTTATTTAGGGCCCGCCCTCAGTCAGGACGACAGGTGTAATGTAAATACAACGACAATAGAGAGACAGGGTAGAACGGTGATTGTATTTCAGTCAAGCGTGGCTTTTTTGGACTTTCGGGCACTGATTGCACCCTTCATCCATCCGAGCTATCTCCCTGGTGAGGTGGTCAGTGGTGGATGCCACTGACCTGAGATCCAAATCGTCCAATCCGGTCCGCCGGGTCCGGCGCTGCTACTCTTTGCCGCCTGAGGTGCCTGCCGCGGAACAGAGAAGCGATGACGTAATGAGCGGTGACGCTGCGTGACCTCTTGCAGTCGATACAGCCACTGGCAAACCTGCAACCTGCTGATGCTGTCGAACTGCCGCGTCAACCTTCGAACGGAATTATTCGCTTGTCCATATCGCCCACTGTCACCTCCATCTGAATTTCCCTCATATACGATCCGCTGAAACAGAACGCCCATCTCCATCAGAGCGACCAGAAGGCATCAATCCGATTCAAGAAGAGACATTATCCGCACCATCATGTCACCTTCGCCCAACGTGGAGATGCGGAACCTCGAACCGAGCAAAATCCAGAGCCCAGAACCCGCGCAACTGCACGCGCCGAGGAATCAGAGTGTTACTGCTCAGCCAGCAGCATTTCAGCCCATGAGTAAGCCCCGCCGCGATCATTAGCATTTCACTTCGTCGAACTCAATAGAAACAAATGCTGACTCGCTGTATGTAAATTGAACTAGACCCGCAGAAGCCACATCCCGAGACAGAACTTGGCTTGCGCGGCGGCGACAGAGGCGGCCTGTGCCCGGGCAGGTTCTGCTTTTGCGTCCCCTGCCCGCTGCCCTGTGACTGCTGCGTTATCCCCTTGTAGTGGGGACCTCGATATGCTTCGGTATTTAGATTCCATGGAATCATGGATACGGAGGGCGTCGGAGAATGCAGAAATACTCACTAGTAATTGGCGGCGAATATTGATTGGGATTTGAGATGGTGTCGACAGGGCGACGCGATATGGGTTTTCTTGGGTTCGTCATCGTTTGTATTCCCTAATTCCGATAATGCTTAGATTTCTCAAATGTTGCTAGCAGTTCTCTACAGATGAATGGGATTGGGGTGCCACTCTGGTCGGAATGCAACCCTAAGGATTTCCGCCCGCTATCTATAGTGGGCTATTGGAAGGCCTAAGTCCCATGTGTCTGGCAGATCTCAGCGCGTATAGGTACCGGTTATGTCCCCGAACTGGATCGGCTTTCGGGCCACGGTCCTAACCAGATCTCGGCTTGAGGGTCCCGGTTGTTGTCTGGTTGCTACGCTCAACGTAGGGACCAAGCCAACGAGGTGGACCGTGGACAACAGAGGTCCCTTTGAGTCCATGACTCCAAAGTTCAATTCATGCCATGTGGGGTTGTGCCTATACAGGAATCTAGTCTACATCGACCCATCCGGCCTGCGTTGCCGTCGCCCCCAAATACGTCTAAGGGGGCCAACAGTTCGTTTGACAGTTGCTACACCTGCCCGTTCCATGAGTTGCCGCCGCCCCTGAACGGAAAAATACCTGCCGCTAAGACATGTGGAGTGCCAAGATGTGTCCAACAGCACTTATCACTTATCCCAACCCCTGAACTCCACCTCCCACACAAAAAGGGGCAAAAAAGGGGGAAAAGGAGGAAAGGAAAAATATAATGAGAATATTCCCAGATGCTTGCCCTCAGCCAGAATCGAACTGACGACCACGTCATTCCTAGTAATACTAGTGACGCACTCTAGCCACTGAGTTACAAGGGCTCTTGAGATCTCGGGATGCCTGGAAAGGGACTCAGATACTAGCCAGAATCCAGAAGTAAACAGACTCCCTTAGGTGGTGGTCATTGGTCTCTTTCTGGTTACCAGTCGAGGCTTGGTGGACAGTTGACAAGAGGGAGACGTATCATGTTACACTGCATCCACGCTGGATACCTCGCTAAGGCTGCTTATTGTAGGTAGGGAACCAACAGTGACCACCTACAGCTGATCACTCCAAGCAGAGCCCGACAATCTCCGTTGGGCTGACAGCCGCCTATGATTCCTCCGTCAGCTTGCATAATGCACGTTCTCTCGGCTGCCCTATCACAGTATCACTGTCCGTGACCCCTCAGACCCCGCGTAGCACCGACCATGTATGTTGGGGAAGTATCATACGAGATGCATGAAGGAGCCCGCTCATAAGAGAGTCAACGTCTCAGAGGACTATAAAGTGAAGAAGCTGACCCCAGCTTGTTCTCTCAACTCACAAATCTGGCTGCCTCGAACCCCCATCACTTCTTCACCCGACAGATACAAAAGTCATAGAAACCTCGCCAAGTATGGCCGCACCGATCCGAGTCGCCGTCACCCAGGCTGAGCCCGTGTACCTCGACCTCGAGGCTTCCATTGCAAAGGCATGCGGCCTCATTGCTGATGCGGCCAAAAACGGCGCTAAGCTTGTTGCCTTTTCCGAGTGCTGGGTTCCCGGTTACCCGGCGTGGATCTGGTGAGTCTCTCGAACGATTCGGGAGAATCTCCTCATATTCCATCCTGAAGCCCTCTCAGCTCACGCTCACTCTGCGTGACCAAATCAGGGCGCGACCGGTCGACATGGAGCTGCAGACACGGTACATCTACAATGCGTTACCGGTCGAATCGCGGGCCATGGACCAGGTCAAAGCCGCGGCCAAGGAAAACTCCATCGCCGTGGTGCTAGGCTTCGCCGAACAGAGCCCTTCCCAGAGCCTGTACATCTCCCAGGCAATCATCTCGCCACAGGGCGAGGTGCTCACACACCGGCGCAAGATCCGACCGACGCACATGGAGCGGACCGTCTTTGGCGACGGGTCGGGCGGTGACCTGAACAACGTGGTCGAGATCGACTTCGGCGCCCCGCACGGCAAGATCAGGGTCGGTTGCCTGGCCTGCTGGGAGCACACGCAGCCGCTGCTCAAGTACCACACCATTGTCCAGCGCGAGGCCATCCACGTCGCCATGTGGCCGCCCATCGACCCCTTTCCCGCGGGGGTTAACGACTTCCCGGGCCTGTGGAGCATGACGGCCGACGGCTGCCAGAACCTCTCCCAGACCTACGCCGTTGAGAGCACCGCCTATGTTCTCCACAGCACGTCTGTGTGCACGCAAAAGGGCATTGATGTGCTCAAAACCCAGGACGGGCTCGTGTGTGCCCGCCCAGGAGGAGGCCACAGTTGTGTCATAGCCCCTGATGGGCGGCGCCTGACGGCGCCTCTCGGGGATGGATCGGCCGCGACGGAAGGTCTTGTGTATGCTGATCTGGACCTGAGCAAGGCCGTGGCGGCGAAGGGCTTCTTGGATATTGTTGGGCACTACAGTCGCCCAGACCTGTTGTGGTTAGGCGTGGACAGGCGGCAAAAAGAACCGGTTGTTACAGTGCGGCCGAAGGCGGTGGATCGGGACGAGCAAGCGGACGACGTTCATCTAGAGGGTTTGCCCTAGAGTGGATTTGCCGGGAGCTAAACGTCAGCCCTAGAGATGAGGTTTCTTTGCCTTGTTGCTGGAGTCGCATGGCGGCTGCACTTAAAATAGGTAGCCGTCAACGAGCAATGCTAGAAGTGTTTTCACGATTTCTGCATCTTATCAACCAGCTTTCCTACTATCCCAGTCACATACGACCACAGGCGGTAGAAAACTCGGGATCCCGTCCGCTCTTCCATAGATAAGCTACCGACCGCCGAATTAGTAGTTGGGTCGGTGACGACCAGCGAATCCTCGGTGTTGTATGTCCTCACTTTTTGCATCCTTCTTCCTGTTTTCGCTCTGTTGCCCCTGACTCCGGTCTCATAATGTGGCTCATCCGGTCTCATAATGTGGCTCATCCGGTCTCATAATGTGGCTCATCCGGTCTCATAATGTGGCTCATCCGGTC